AACCATATCGGAACCGGAATTTGTAGATCAAAATCGATGAATGGGGACTTTGTGGGATGAGTTTTTAAAACTTTGGTGCCTTGATAGCTCTTTTTCTGTCTCTGGCTCTGAATCTAGATCTATTGGGATCATTAATCTAGCTCAAATTGAGAAACGCTTTGTGATAAGGACTGTGAGAAACAATTTCTGAGCTCTTTCTGAGCTCTTTGAACTCATTGAACTCATTGAACTCATTTGAAGTTCAGTGGCTCAATGGCAAAGATTTGGCTCGATTCTTTCCTCGGTTTCCCTTTTTGTTTTGAATTGATTACTTGAAAAATAACTAAAAGTAACTAAAAGTAAGCTCATTTGAAGTTCAGTGGCTCAGTAACTAAAAGGCTTTGTTTTCAGGCAGTTTGATGACTTAATTGCTTACGATAACGATTGCTTACGATTGCTTTTCTTGTCTCTTTTTGATATTGATCACTGGCTGTTAGCTGCTCTTGGCTGTGCTGCTCTTGATCTAGCTTTTGCTGTTCTTGGCTGTGATTGCTCTGATCGCTCTTGATCGCTCTTGTTCTGTCTCTGGCTCTGAATCTAGATCTATTGGGATCAGTGCTTGCTTTCATTGCAAAGTACGATTCTTATTTCTATCTTTTCACATTCCTTCACTCCTTCAAAAGCTCAACCATTTCCCAGTAGCCGTTTCCTTTTCAGTCACTCGCAAAGCTATGGTTGGGTCACACCGAATCGTTCTTTTTGTGCAGTGTGACCAGTCCTTTGAGAGAAGAAGCCTCTCTACCCTTTTTCCTATTTCTCTTCCCATTTCTCTTCCCTTTTCCCAATCGGTTTGCCCAACCGGCCGACCGTGAATTCCGGGCTACTGTAGGCTAAAGAGGGAAGGGAGGAAACGAGAAATTCGACGAGGAAAAGTAAAATTTTGAGAGCAGAGGGGTGGGTACACGCCCATTTGCAGCGATTGGTTGTATAGGTGAGGGAGAGGCTGAGAGTAGTAGAGATAGAAAGAGAGATGGGTAGGGTTGGTTAGAGGAGAGGGGAGTGCAGGAGATAGAAGGGAGTGGACAAGTGGAAAGGTGGAGATAGAGAACTGAGATCTAGAGGTTTTAGAGAAAGAGAAGATAAGGAAACAGAGCTAGAGCAAGATAGGCAACTAGAGTCGAAGAAAACTGGTGTAGAGAACGGGAGATTCTAGAGAGAGGAGATCTAGAGAGGAGGTCTAGAATGCAGAGCTCTAGAGAGTCCAGAGATCTAGATGGGCAAAGAATAGATAGACAGAGACACACAGAAGACAAAAAGAAGCCTTGCAAGAGATCAAGAGCTAGAGAAGCATAGAGAAAGGCGTAGAGTTCTAGAGAGAATTGCCTCAAACAGTGGGCAGGTTTCGCGCGGCTCAGCCCCTCATCAGCACATTCTCAACTCTCAGCTCTATAGAGCCCTTTTCGCAAACCCTACTTAAATTAATTCGAGTAGAGGGTTTATCCATAATCCCTATCAAACCCTAGGTCACCCCAGCGCTGAGCCAGCGCTGAACCACGGCTGAGCCAGCGCTGAGCCTAGGCTGAGCAGCAGCTCGGCTTTCCCTCCATCTCTAATGCGATTGGCAATCGGCTTTTTGAGAGATTTTCTTTTCTGTTTGACAAGTTGACAATGTTTTGAAGATTATATTGGGGTTAATGGGGGGATAAGTGGGTTTAAGACACTGCTTTAAGTGTTGCTATTTCTTTAAGCTGTGAATGAGAGGGATAAACCGGTGGTTGAGATGATGGGGCTTGACAATGACAATGGCTTGACAATGGCTTAACAATGGCTTGACAATGGCTTGACAATGGATGACAGTCTCTAGATAATCACTAGATAAATCTCTTAATATTAATCGCTATTAAAGCTAAAGGTATTCAGCTAAGGCGATTCTTTGAATGCAAATGAGGAACTTGATGTTAAGAACTAAAGTTATTCAGCTAAGCTTAGCTATTTCAGCTAATTTTTCATCTCATCCTCATCTTTTTCAGCTCATCCTTTCGTTTTGAGTCCAATTTCTATCATTGTATGCAAATTTCTATCGTAAAGTCAAAAGCTTAAGTAAATTTTATTGCATTTGCATCTAAATCTGAATGTTTTCCTTAAAAGTTTCAATTTTTAGCTTGCTTCTTTTTAGCTTTTGGATCTTGATGTTAAGAACTAAAGTTGTTCAGCAAAGCTTGGCTAATTCAGCCTAAGCCTAAGCAGCTTTTTTGCTTAGCTTCTTTTGCTTAGCTTCTTTGCTTAGCTTCTTTTGCTTTGCTTCTTTGCTTTGCTTCTTTGCTTTGCTTCTTTGCTTAGCTTCTTTTGCTTAGCTTCTTTGCTTTGCTTTGCTTTGCTTTTTCTTTGCTTTACTTTGCTTTACTTTGCTTTTTTTTGATCTCTAGTTTCTCATTTTCCATTATTTTACTTAATTCTTATAGCGTTTATCTTGAAAATCTTTTATTTAATAGAAAAAAAAACTGTTATTTCAACTATTTTATTTAAAAACTAGAGAAAATCACGTATTATGTGTGAGCTTAGATCTTGGCTTAGAGCCTGGCTTAGATCTTGGCTTAGATCTTGGCTTAGATCTTGGCTTAGAGCCTGGCTTAGATCTTGGCTTAGATCTTGGCTTAGATCTTGGCTTAGAGCCTGGCTTAGAGCCTGGCTTAGAGCCTGGCTTAGATCTTGGCTTAGAGCCTGTGCATGAGTAAGCGCTAGTTTTTGAAGAATCTTATTGATTTTTAAAGGTTTTGCATTAAACTGTAAGAATTTGAAAAGAAAATAACTAGAAAAGAGAATAACTAGAAAGAAGAATAACTAGAAAACAATATAACTAAAATAGAAAATAACTAGAAGAGAGAATAACTAGAAAAGAGAATAACTAGAAAGAAGAATAACGAGAAAACAATATAACTAAAATAGAAAAGAACAAGAAAAGAGAATACCGTATTCTCTCTAATAGTAGTACACTCAAAGCGTCGCCTAAATTCCTCGAAATCTCGAGAACCGCTTATTAGAACCTATCGATGTAGGGTCGGAAAATGTAGCTGACGATGAGATCTTGTAGCTGATTTGAGGGTTGAGCTTCTGTGAAAACTTTGAAACCGTAAAATCGTAAAAAACCAACTCGGCTATGCACCACTATTAGAGAAAATACAGTAACTAAAAAAGAAAATAACTAGAAAACAATATAACTATAAAGGCAAAGAACTCAAAGATCTCATAACTAGAAAAGAAAATCACTATAAAATAACTATAAAACAAAATAATACAATAAAATGCAATAATAAAATACAATTTTCCAAAAAACTATTACAATCAAATCAGTTTTTTGCGCTTTCGAAATCCTCTTTTTCTTTCAAAATCGAAATCTATTGATCTATTGATTTCGATTTTGAATTTACTATTCCTGCAATGTACCAGATTTTTTCTAAGCCTGACTCTTCTTGCACGACTTCTATCTGAATCTAGCTTTGCTTATAGCCTTATAGAGCTTTGTTAGACACATATGACCAAGTAATTTGATTGCAATAGTACTATAACAGTACAATTTGGTCGCAATAGTACAACAACAGTACAGTTTGATCGCAACAGTACTACAACAGTACAATTTGATCGCAATAGTAATACAACAGTACAATTTGATTGCAATAGTATTACAACAGTACAATTTCATTGCAATAGTACTACAACAGTACAATTTGATTGCAATAGTACTATAACAGTACAATTTGATTGGAATAGTACTACAACAGTACAATTTGATTGGAATAGTACTACAACAGTACAATTTGATTGGAATAGTACTACAACAGTACAATTTCATTGCAATAGTACTATAACAGTACAATTTGATTGGAATAGTATTACAACAGTACAATTTCATTGCAATAGTACAACAACAGTACAGTTTGATCGCAACAGTACTACAACAGTACAATTTGATCGCAATAGTACTACAACAGTACAGTTTGATTGCAATAGTACTACAACAGTACAATTTGATTGGAATAGTAATACAACAGTACAATTTGATTGCAATAGTATTACAACAGTACAATTTGATTGCAATAGTATTACAACAGTACAATTTGATTACAATAATACTACAACTCTGGAAATTCTCTTAAAAAGTACATTCTTTTAACACTTTTCAATTCAATTCAATTCTAGCTCAATAAAACTAGAATATAAAAAGTAAAATATCTTATTTATTCAATTGAAAGTATATAAGAAAGTGAAAGTATATTGCGATCAAATTGTACTGTTGTAGTACTGTTGTAGTACTGTTGCAATCAAATTGTACTGTTATAGTACTGTTGCAAGCAAATTGTACTGTTGTAGTACTGTTATAGTACTATTGCGATCAAACCAAATCAAATAAAACCTTTTTTCAGATCTAGCTTAGACTAGCTTTTATTTTAACGAAAATTTCTTTTCTCTCTTGCTCTTTTCTCTGCTCTTAAACCCAAAAATTCGTCTACAACAACAAGGATTCTTTCAAAACCCTCTAATCACTATATTTATCAAAAAATTTTACGTAAAAACTTTGAAATCCTTTGTGAAAACGTCGGCCCAACACCTCAGCATAATCCTTGAAAAGACAAGGAAAATATGGAGCCAATGGGGTGAAGCTGAGGCTTCGTTATCACCGCAATTCACTCGCCCAATGCAAAATCTTTGATATCTTTTCAGCTTAAACGCTTGTTTTACATTTCAGAAACTCTTAAACCCGCAAAATTTCGGCTTAGGCATTTCGGAGTTTCGTTTGACGGGAAAAACGCTCATTTCTCTATCATTCTCTATCATTCGAAAGTCTATTTGTAAGCTGAATAAATTCACTGACATATTATCCATTCTTGCTCATTCCGCAGCATTCCAAAAGACATCTTATCCATTTTTGCTCATTCCGCAGCATTCCAAAAGACATACTATCCATTCTCTCCATTCCTCAGCCAATTCCATTTACAATTTACAATATTCTTTCTTTTTTTTGAATGATGCTATCGATTCCGGAAAGCTTGCCAATCTCGGACTCGCTTCTGCTCCCATTGGAGGTGTTGTTGTAGAAAAATAGATATATAAGGAAATCAGCAATAAGAAAACTAGTTAAACTAAGATTTGAATGAGTCTAGAATCGATTAGATAACTTGATTGACCAAAATTTGACAAGTTTTAATCAAATTTCACTAGACTCAATGATTGTGATGGGTTTTTTAAAGTAAGGAGATCAAGATCTAAAAACTTGAGCAGAATCAAATCATTAGATTGATTGGATTGTCAGCCGTACCGTCTCGTTTGTAAAACTGTACCGTATCGCTTGTATTTGTATTCAGTTTGTAATAAAGAAGGAAAGGAAAAGATTTAGATAGAAAAGATAGATTTGAGATTTGATTTGATATTTGAAAAGATCTGAGAATCGAACCCAACCCTTTTCTTTAAAGCTTAGTTTTCCAAGCAATCACTCAGCTATTTGGGACCTTAACTTGACATGGAAGAAGGGGAAGAAGGGGAAGAAGGGGAAGAAGGGGAAGAAGGGGAAGAAGGGAAGAAGGAGCAGGGGAAGAAGGGGAAATAGGAGAAGAAGGGGAAGGTGGAGAAGAATGGGAAGAAGGGGAAGCAGGAGAAGAAGGGGAAGCATGAGAAGAGGGGGAAGCTGGGGAAGATGGGGAAGAATGGGAAGAAGGGGAAGCAGGAGAAGAGTGGGAAGCTGGGGAAGATGGGGAAGATGGAGAAGAGGGGGAGGCTGGGGAAGATGGGGAAGATGGAGAAGAAGGGAAGAAGGAAATAGAAATAAGTGTACAATACTGTCAGTAAAGCTTTGTATGATGTAAGCCTCTCTCACTTGCAACACTTTACCCCAATTCATCTCATGCACAGATCTTCTGATCAATTCTTACTCTCAATTCCAACTCTAGCTTTACTACAATCTTTCATCCATTACATCCATACAATCTCATCATTTTCCAGGCAATGTCTTACATTCCAACGGCCTCTTCAACGGCAGCAGCGAATATGGCAAACATGTCAAATATGGCTACATATTTTTCTCGAAATGCTTCCTATGGTACTCCGCTTGGCGGTTTGCCCACTGTTCCATCACATCCATTTGTGCATGGAATGCCATATTTGGGAAGTGGACTTGGCGATTGTCAAACCGCGAGTCTAGCCTGGGGAAGTCAACCACCGCCGAGGTTCGATTTGGGGTTCGAGCTAGAAACTTTTAAGCAATTATCAGCTAAAACTTGATCTAAGTTGATCTAGAAGACCTCTAAGACCTTCTAGGTCTTTAAGACCTAGAAGACCTAGATCTTTAAGACCTAGAAGACCTAGATCTTTAAGATCTAGAAGACCTAGATCTTTATGACCTAGAAGACCTAGATCTTTAAGACCTAGAAGACCTAGGTCTTTAAGACCTAGAAGAGTTGATCAAACTCAAAACTCTGGCCTAGAAAGTGAGTCCGATTCGGAGATATTCGGAGATCGAAGTTGAGGAGGTGGAAATAGCACTGGAGACAGAGAAATAGCACTAGAGACAGGATTCAAAGTCGAACCTATTTCCATCTTCGTTTTACTAAAATTTTCCTATATCTAGACTGTAGAAATAGTTACACTTTTGCATAGTTTTGTAGTGGTTTTGTAATAGTTTTGTAATGGTTTTGCAATGGTTCTGTAGCTCTAAAAACTCATCATTTCCAGAAAACAACGCCGTGAACGAACCACGTTCACTCGATCACAATTGGAGATTTTGGAGAGTTATTTCTCGAAAACTCGATACCCTGACATCTTCATGAGAGAAGATATGGCGTTGAAGATTCAATTGCCCGAGAGTCGCGTTCAGGTAGGGGAAATGAAAGAATTAGCAACAACTAGAAACAACTAGAAACAACTAGAAACAACTAGAAAAAAAAACCACCATTTCTTAGCTGTCATTTGTGCAATTGTAACCAATTGCAATTGTAATGTGCAAGCATTGTAATCCAGCTGACAAGAAACTTTGTGTGAAAAAATGCCGATTAATCTTCCATTAAACAATTTGTAAACTGTTTTAGCGTTAACAAAAAAGAGAGAAAGATTTGACGGCGAAGCGATTTGAACCAGGATTGAGTATCCCCTAACGCCGGCACGCTATCCACTAGACTACCACGTAGTTGGTCTGGGCAGGGCAAGAAGGCTGTATTACCTCTGAGACCTGAACTTCTACAGCTAGAACTTGAGCTAGAGCTGAAGCTAGAACTTGAGCTAGAGCTGAAGCTAGAGCTGAAGCTAGAGCTGAAGCTAGAGCTGAAGCTAGAGCTGAAGCTAGAGCTGAAGCTAGAGCTGAAGCTAGAGCTGAAGCTAGAGCTGAAGCTAGAGCTGAAGCTAGAGCTGAAGCTAGAGCTGAAGCTAGAACTTGAGCTAGAGCTGAAGCTAGAGCTGAAGCTAGAGCTGAAGCTAGAACTTGAGCTAGAGAACTATGGATAGCTTCTATTCTTGAGGAAGCTAGTCAATTGTCAATTTGTCAATCGATTCCATCACTTTTCACATACAATATAGCATAGGAATCTTTCTTTTTCCTTTTCCTATCATTTCTCCAATGCACTCCAATGCCTACCGTAATCCTGAGCTCAAACAAATGGCCGCCCCAGTCTTTCCCCTCAGCCTTTCCCTTTCCGTTTCCCTTTCCCTTTCCCTTTCTCTTACTCTTTCCCTTTCCAACCTCGATTCGACCACGACACTGTCCTTTGCGATACGGAGAAAAAAGATAGAGAAAAAGGAAAGGAAAAGAGAGGAAAAGAGAGGAAAAGAGCCAGGCAACCATACTGAATCTATTGCGAATCGAAATGGGGATGTTGACTGAAAATCATATATCGATTTTGGGGAAGCAAGTAAAAAACAAGAAACTAAGGGGGAAATGGTAAATTTTGATTCTAGATTCATCAATGATCATGTTAAGCTTGAAAAAGTCTTCAAGTTTTTCACTTTACTAGTCTAATGCTTTATAAAAGTCCTTTCTACAAAGCAATCAGAGTTTCAGCAATCAGAGTTACTGTCAATCAGAGTTACTGTCAATCTAAGACAACAAAAGAGTACTATCAATCTAAGTAGAATGGGTTAGGAAACGTTGCGAACTTAGCCAAGCTTTTGATTAATCACTTTAACAAGCTTGATTTGTTTGTGATAATATTGGGTAAATTATGACCTAGTTAGTAGCAATGCTACGGGCTAATTAGCAGCTATTCTACAGTAACTAGCAAGTGCAATAACTTATCAATCTTTCAGGTTTGGTTCAAGAATCGTCGTGCCAAGGCTCGTCAACAGAAGAAAGCACAACAACAGGCAGCTGCGGCAGCCGCTCAAGCAACTGGTGGATCGACGGGGACAAACGGATCGACTGGTGGAAGTAGTGAAGGCGGCAGCACGAGTGCCAGTGCGGAGCCGGTTGAGGTCAGGAGAACGACAGTGTTTGGAAGTATAAATTCATGGTTTTAGGTGAAAACGGAAGAAGCCGAGGCGACCCTGTCCGAGCACTCCACCACCACATCCCCATCGACTGAGGCTATTGAAACGAAACCGATTGTCGCCACATCGCTTCACAATCAAGCCTACCTTACCGCCGCATCGGCTGGTTACAGGTAACGATATTGTTTTTGGTTCCCAAGTCTTGACCTTGTTGTTCTAAAGACCTACCAAGCAAGACAGCCAGGGTCAAACTATAGTCAGAAAGCAGGCCTGGAGCCTGGGCTGGCTGGATCCAATCCTGGACTCTGGCCTGGATCTATGCCTGGCCCCTGACCTGGATCCTGGCCTGGATCCTGGCCTAGACCCTGGCCCAGATCCTGGCCTGGACCCTGGCCCAGATCCTGGCCTGGACCCTGGCTTGGACCCTGGCCTAGACCCTGGCCTGGTCTTACTACAAGGTTCACTAGGCCGGCCGAATATCTGTAAAAGTGGCTTAGTCTAAGACACAATTTTGTTGCGCTCGACTACGGTAGTCAACTAGGCTTTTGTTAGGGTGAAAAAGGGTGGGTTTTAAATCGATTTCAAGCAGAAAATGGTCGTCAGATCAGAGCCACAGCCACGATCAGATCAGAGGAATCCCCATCCCTCCAATCCCTCCAATCTGATCCGACAATGAAAATCGAAATCGTTTCAGTTTTAGCACCACCGGCTTGGCGTCGTATCCGGCCTACTACCCGACGACAACCACCGGCTTCGAGTATCTCCAGTACGCGCAAAATGGCGCCGGCACAACCGGCTACACCACCGATCCGTGGATGTTCACGCAAGGGGGCAAAATGCATTGAAATCTAAACCTTTTTTTTGGCAACGCTTTAACCTTACATTATAACCCTAAAATTTGCAATTTCCATTTAAATTTGTGAATCTCTGCGATTCGTTTTTTTGGTAGAGGGAGATTTGTGTAAATTTTTTCTTTTTGGCTTCTCGCAACTTTGTTCCACCTCAATCTTCAAAATTTGACGCAGTTTTTGAAAATTTTTTCTTGAAAATTTGAAAAATTTCCAATTTCAATTCTAATTTCTCGAATTTTCCCATAGCATTCGATTGTGATATGAAAAGTAAAACAAGGTTGTGTTTTGAATCTTTTGTGAATTTTGTCTTTGTTGGAGTATTGGAAATGATGAGTTGATAAGAAAGAAAGAAAGAAAGAAAAAAGAGAAAGAAAAAAACAGAAAACAGTTGCCGGGATCGAACCGGCGAGACCCTCGAGCCGAAGTCGAGCGGCGGTCGAGAGCGCTAGCCACTGCGCCATCGCGGGATGTTGTTCGGTAGGCTAGGAGGCTCTTTTAAAGCTTTAAAGGAAATCATGAGCTAAGAAAAAGAAAAAAAGAACAAGCAGTCGGCGGGATCGAACCGGCGAGACCCCTAGCCCCAATCGAGCGGCGGTCAAGAGTGCTAGCCACTGCGCCATCGTGGTATATTTCCCCGGAGGCTAGGAGACTCTTTTAAAGCTTTAAAGGAAATGATGATTTGATAAGAAAAAGAAAAAAGGAAAATAGTTGGCGGGATCGAACCGGCAAGACCCCCAGCCTTAATCGACCGGCAGTCAAGATCGCTAGCCACTGCGCCATCAAGGGCTTATTTCCTGGAGGCTAGGAGGCTCTTTTAAAGCCTCGCTTCAATTCTAGTCACCAAAAAGCCAAAAGCCACTTTTTTTCAAGCAAAACTCATCATTTCTCATTTTTCTTATATAAATTTTGTCGTTTTTCAGTTTCTTTAACAATTCTCTCACATAAAAACGCAGTTTTTCCCATAAAAATCTCGATTTTTCGACTCTCCGCACCATTTTCCACCAAGCTTTACGCATTTTTGTGAAAAAAAAATTTAATTTTCGAGAAGTTTTCGAGATTTTCCCCTCAAAAATAGTCAATTTTATTGATTTTTATTGATTTTTTATTGATTTTTATTGATTTTTATTCAATTTTATTCAATTTTATTCATTTTTTATTGATCTTTGTTCATTTTTATTAATCTTTATTGATCTTTGTTCATTTTTAACTTTTCGCAAACAAATTTGTTTCAAATTTTCCCCATTTCAAATAGTTTCCATTTCAAAAACATTCTTTTTTTTCTCTTTTTTCTTCTTTTTATCTCCTTTTTCTTCTTTTTATCTCCTTTTTCTTCTTTTTATCTCCTTTTTCTTCTTTTTTCTAACAGACATGACATTTTGCGAGTTTGCTTAGAAAGATTTTCATTCATTTTTCATTCATTTTTCTTTTTTCTGTTCGATTCATAATTTTTAGTGTTCTTTTTCTTTTTTTTCTCAATAAATTTATTCGTTATAAAGTTGACTATTTGCGAGTGAGACAAATGCGAACTCTTTTTTGCGCACCCGTCCATTTGCGCACCTTTTTTTCCGCACCTTGCCCATTAGCGCACCTTTTTTCGCGTTTTAAAAAAGCTAATATTAACCTAAAGCTCTAAAAAGCTAATATTAACCAATTTCTATTCTAAAAGTTGTTTTTCTAGGTAATTTGAGGGCGTAGAATCGAAATTTTGACATAACAGAGCGTGTGGAACCAATTTGAAAGACATCTGAAAGACAAAACGGCTAGATCAAATTAAGGCTAGATCAAATAGATCAAAATTGCCGATTTTTCTCTTTGTACAACTCCGTCCGTTTGTTTCCACAAGCTCTGATATGTCAAAATTTTGATTCTACGCCCTAAAATTACCTAGAAACCTAGAAAAACAACATTTGGAATAGAAATTGGTTAATATTAGCTTTTTAGAGCTTTAGCTTAATATTAGCTTTTTTTAAACGCAAAAAAGGTGCGCTAATGGGCAAGGTGCGGAAAAAAGGTGCGCAAATGGACGGGTGCGCAAAAAAGAGGTCGCATTTGTCCCACTCCCGACTATTTAACAAAAATATGTACAGTATTCGAAAGAAAAAGAAATGCAAGAAAAAAGAAAAAGAAATGAAAGAAAAAACCAAAAAGAAACAAAGATTAAAAGATTTTTAAAGCTGAAAAATGAAAAATGAGAATTTTAGGAGAAAAAGCGATCTATTGGAAAATCTATTGGAAAATCAAAGAAAATCTATTGGATTGTAGTTTTTTAAAAGAATCTAATTGATATTTATATAGATTTTGTTTAAAAAACTTTAAATCTTAAAAAAAACTTCTATAATTCTTCTTTTTCTTCTTCTTTTTCTTCTTCTTTTACTTCAGAAATTCGCAAAAATCGAATCAAATCATAGCCGAATTCTTTCTGCATATCATCCCAGAATTTGAGTTCTTTTTTGAAGAAATTCGTCGAAAGATGAGGATTTGAAGTGATATGGAGATAGGGAAGAGATGAGATTTCTGATTCAGATGATGCTGGCCATGGGGAAATCTCTGTCTTCGGGACACTGAAATCGAATGATTTGTGAAGAGAAATGTTTGAGAAAACTGACAAAACTAGATTTTTAGAGAAACGATTATTTACTACCAAAAAAAGAATTATTGGTTTCAAAGCAGATAGAAATGCGCTCTAGAACTTGAGTTTCCAGAATTCTGCATGTATGGGACTGTAAGCCCAGGTGGTTTCAAAGAATCATATAGCCCTAGCCCAGACATTGCTCAAGTTCTAACTTGTCCTAACTTGTAGAATGGAATAACCTGGATGATTATGATTAGAGTAATGGCTGAATCGAGTCCTAAGGTTTGTAAGCCAAGCCAGGTCATCCCAGGCTATCCCAAGCCATCCCAGGCCATCCGAGGTCATCCTAGGCTATCCCAGGTGATCCCAAGCCATCCCAGGCCATCCGCCATCCGAGGTCATCCTAGACTATACCAGGGCATCCTAGGCCATTCTAGGCTATCCCAGACCATCCCAAGCCATCCCAAGCCATCCCAGGCTATCCCAGGCCATCCGAGGCCATCCGAGGCCATTCTAGGCTATCCCAAGCCATCCCAAGCCATCCCAAGCCATCCCAGGCTATCCCAGGCTATCCCAGACCATCCCAAGCCATCCTAGGCCAACCCAAGCCATCCCAGGCCATCCCAAGCCATCCCAAGGCATCCCAAGCCAGTCCAGGCTATCCCAGATCATCCCAAGCCATCCCAGGCCATCCAGATTAGTCCAGAATTCGAGTTCTGGACTCCTAATAGATTAAAATTGCAGGAAAACCAAGCCAAGTCTGGACTTGGGCCTTGATAACCCTTGAGTCTTGAAACACTTTCACAAACTAGCTTCTGTCTAGCTTCTTTGCCTTACCTTGTACTCAAAAAGATACTAGCTATACTTTACAATACTATTAACAACTTTGGATACAACATTCGTATCTACAGTACTTGTTTTCTTATAAAATTTATATAGCTAATGATTACTAAGCCTTGTTATTAATTAGAGCTTTAATTTGAATTTAAATTATCGTACCCTGTCTTGACGAATTCGATGATCGATTGTTGAAATGTTTTCTCAACTTTCTCCTCGACTGGATCTCCTTTAATCGTGAATTTCCCAAGGGTAAACATTTCGAGAATATAGGGATACTCACAGACATGAGTGGCACCTAAAACATTGTTATTTTGTTTAGATTTTAAGACAAACCAGTAACAGGTGTATTCTCTGGATAGAGAACAGAATTGAAATGTTCTGTTAAATAGACATAGGTGGGGTGATGATTCTCCACTCGAAGCGATGCCTCTCTAGCCAAACCGACGTTGAAATGAATATCGGAGAGAAGCTGGAATGTATGTAATTGGGATCTGCTAGATCAGCTAGATCTGCTAGACCTGCTAGACCTGCTAGATCTGCTAGACCTGCTAGACCTGCTAGACATCAATCCTTCATTCATCTTATTTTAATGTTTATTTTTGATTTTGATTAAATTGATCGACTTTTGATTATTAAATGATTAAATTTAGCGAATATATAACGGCCTCAATTCATAGGAGATCACAAATTTCAAGCTGAATTCAAGAAAATTCCCTCACCTTTGCATACATTTCCAAATAGAACGATTTCTGAGCGTTTTCTTCTCCTTTCGTGTACTCGGCAAGGATTCTCTCGAAAGCTTTCTCCTTCTTTGCCCCAAAGAACTCCTCCTTAGCCACATGATCCTAAAACCTGCTAGACTTTATGAGCAAAAACCTTATGAACGTTTCTATATTATCTTATTATACTATGTACAATGCGTTTCCTAGTACTAGGTTGATGCAAATGAAATTTCGGTCCAAATATTCTATTAGGTTGTCCAATAAGTAATGCGTGTTACTTATTTCGAAACTATTGCGAAATCGCTTCGAGCAAATATATGCACTTTTTAATCATCAACATCTTGTGTTTATTCTTATATATTATTTTATTCATTTGCCTTTGCTTTATAATAGATATGTTGTTTTGCAGATGAAAGACAAAAAGTTTGTTGTCCGCGCATCAATGCTGTATGATTTCAAACGAGATAAAACTGCAGCGGATTGCCATCGAACTATCTGTGCCGCATTTGGAGAGGATTCAATTTCAATCAGCCAGTGCCAGCGCTGGTTTAAACGATTTGCGGACGGAAACGAGTCGTTAGAGGACGAGGAACGCGCTGGAAGGCCAGTCGTTTTTGATAACGAAGCTTTGCTTAACACCATTGAGTCTGATCCAACTCAAACTACTCGTGAGTTGGCCGAATTATTTGGTTGTTCCAAATCAACAATCGACAATCATCTCCATGAGATTGGAAAATTTAATCGATGCGGAAAGTGGCTTCCCCACAAATTGAGTGAAGCGAATAAAGCTGCTCGTGTATCAATTTGTGGGTTTCTCATTGGCCAAACAAAGAACTCTGGTTTTATTGATTCCATCGTTACTGCGGACGAGAAGTGGATTTCTTTTGATAATGCAACGAGGAAGCACCAGTGGTTGTCGCCGGGAGAAGATCCGAAACCGACGCCAAAGCCAGAATTGCATGGAAAGAAGGCCCTATTGTGCGTATGGTGGAATTCTAAAGGAATCGTACATTTTGAAGTTCTAAACCCCGGTCAAATGGTCACTGCTGACTTGTACTCTCAACAATTGGAAAGAGTGCAGCAAGCTCTTTGTCGTAAAGGAGAGGACACTTCGATGATTAAACAGCAGTTTGACAATGCTCGTCCGCATATTGCAAAAATCGCACAACAGAAGATTGAGAAGCTTGGATGGTCGACTGTCCCACATCCGCCGTATAGTCCAGACCTGGCTCCATCTGATTTCCATTTGTTCCGTTCGATGGCGCACGCTCTTGGAGAACACAAGTTCAAAAGTGTTGACGAGGTGCAAAAATGGCTCGACGATTTCTTCTCATCGAAACCAGCTTCATTCGATTATGACGGACTTCACTCTTTGCTCGGACGATGGAGAAATGTTGTTGATTTTTGTGGAGAATATATCGATTAATAAAGTTCTCTTTTGTTAATTTTGTGATATTTTGAAAATCGTGTCAAAACACACATTACTTATTGGACAACCTAATATTTTTTTGGGAGTGGGACAAATGCGACCTTTTTTTGCGTTTTAAAAAAGCTCTAAAAGCTAATATTAACCAATTTCTATTCCAAAAGTTGTTTTTCTGGGTAATTTTAGGGCGTAGAGTCGAAATTTTGGCATTTTTGAGAATATCTTGATGATGGATGAGAAGTGGATTCACTTTGATAACACTTCTCGAAAAAGACAATGACTCAGCAAGGGTCAAATGCCAATTTCAACTCCAAAGCCAGGTTCTCATGGACACAAAGTGATTTTGTGATGGAATATCAACGAGCTTGTTTATTTCGAATTATCAGAGCCGGAAAAACAGTTGATTTGCCTTGTTTTATTGAAAAGATCAAGAAGGTTGACGAAATTTTGCGTGAAAACGGTTTAAATCTCTCGACTGTCAACTTTCTCTGTGACAATACGCTAGCTCAAACAGTGAAAGCTTCTTGTATGGATTTAGAGGAACTAGGATGGAAAGTTTTACCGCATGATGGTGACAAGTCCAGATTTATCACCATCTGATTTTCACCTCTTCAGATCGATGCAATATTCCCTTGCGAGTTGTTAGTTTAAGAATGCGCAAGAGGTTGAGATTTGGGTGAGCAACTACTTTCGATCACAGCAGCTACTTTCAACCACAGAATCAAGAGGTCTTCGATAAGGATCCGGATAAATCTGAAGCAACGTTGGAGGGATTTCGATAACGATGCTGCTACTTTCGATCACAGCAACTACTTTCGATCACAGCAACTACTTTCAATCACAGAATCAAGAGTTCTTCGATAAGGATCGCGATCTTCGATAAGGATCTGAAGCAATGTTGGAGGTATTTCGATAACGATGATGCTTAGATTTTTGAATAAATTGATTACCTAAAGGAATTTAAAAACCGTAATCTCATTTGCATCAACCTAGTATATCTAATTCTTTAGATAGTATATCTAATTCTTTAGATAGACTAGGCTGTCTTTAGATATATCTCATTCAAAATGACCCTGATAAACTGCTCGAATCGCTTCTTGTCGTATGCGTCGAAATCGTCGCGATTCACCTCCAATTTATGAATGGATCTCGTCCATCCGAGCACAACTACAACTGAATTTTTGTACAAATATTTGCTAAACATTCGGTAAACTATAGAATTATCGTTTTAAAAATCAAAATTTGATGAGAAAATTTACCGAAAAAGAGGCTTTCTTTCAGCGAGACGCCCATAATTTGCGGACGTTTTGGGGCTTTCTAAAGAAGATATTTTCGATTTCTTTATGATTTTATATTGGAAAAATTCTTGTTTAATTTCATAAATGCTTGATTTCGGTTCTTCGGTTTCTCTTCGGTTTCTTTTGTTGCCTTTTTAATCGTTTTACAAATTCTATTTTATATTCTAGTTGATATTCTAGTTGATATTCTAGTTGATATTCTATTTGATATTCTAGTTGATATTCTAGTTGATGTTCTAGTTGATGTTCTATTTGATATTCTATCTGATATTCTATCTGATATTCTAGTTGATATTCTAGTTGATATTCTAGTTGATATTCTAGTTGATATTCTAGTTGATATTCTATTCGATATTCAAATTCTAGTTGATATTCTAGTTGATGTTCTAGTTGATATTCTATCTGATATTCTATTTGATATTCTAGTTGATATTCTAGTTGATATTCTAGTTGATATTCTATTTGATATTCTATTTGATATTCTATTTGATATTCTAGTTGATATTCTATTTGATATTCTATTTGATATTCTATCTGATATTCTAGTTGATATTCTAGTTGATATTCTAGTTGATATTCTAGTTGATATTCTAGTTGATGTTCTAGTTGATGTTCTATTTGATATTCTATCTGATATTCTATCTGATATTCTAGTTGATATTCTAGTTGATATTCTAGTTGATATTCTAGTTGATATTCTAGTTGATATTCTAGTTGATATTCTATTTGTTATTCAAATTCTATTTGATATTCTATCTGATATTCTAGTTGATATTCTAGTTGATATTCTAGTTGATATTCTATTTGATATTCTAGTTGATATTCTAGATATTCTAGATATTCTATTTGATATTCTAGTTGAAATTCTATTTGATTCTATCCTAAGCCTAAGCACCGCCAAAAAGCCAAATCCAAATCCAAATCAAATCCAAATCCAAAACCAAATCCAAAACCAAATTTCAAACAAATCCTCGCTCTTTTGTTCATTTTCAAAAAAAATAAAGATTTAAGGTTTTAGATTTATCGATAAAGACTTGGCTTTAGTTTTATCCAAGTCGAAGTCCAAATTTAAGTCTTACCAAATCACAAATCCTTATCGAATCCTTACTAAATCTCAAGATTTTGATTTAGACTTGGTTTAGGATTGATAATACATTCGACTCTCGATTTAACGCTTATAAAAAGTGCCCAAAATCTCTTGCGTAGCTGCCCTAAACGGCCAACGATTGCTTTTCGACTGGACAGCTACGCAAAAGTCAGGACTGAATCCCTGAAACCCTGAAAAAGTCAGGGCAAAAGTCAGAGCAAAAGTCAAATCGTTGTATCGAGTTAAATCGTGAGTCGATTGTACTCGTGTTTGAGAACTTCTCAAGGTTTTGGCATTGATTTGGCAAGGCTTGATAATAGCCTTTCCAAATGTTTTAATGTCTAAATCTACTTAAAAGCAAAAACAAAACCCTCACCTTTATCAACTCTTCAGGTCTACTCGGGAAGAGATCTCTATCGATTCTCGGATGCCATTTCAGAATGTCAAGGCCCGGATCGCTACTTCCCTAGAAAAAGCTCAATTTTTCCTCAATTTTCCTCAATCTTCCTACATTCTCAATGTAGATTTGAAAAAGCAGAATTCAAATTCACTGAAAATCTCTCACCAATTTCTGCACAGCTTTGTAAAAAGTCTCTAGCGACGTGTGCTTCAAGCAGTTCTTCAAGTTCGCTCCAGAATCACATCTAGGAACTTGTATTGATGATTAAATCAATCGCATCAATCAAAGCGATAAATCATAGTTTCGTTTACCCAATCTCTTCAGCGATCGCTTTGGAATGATGAAAAACGTTATCACTGAACGCCCAATTCATCGTTGCTCCACCGGACATCGCGATCATCGATCGAAAGAGATCTAAAAGAATTGAATAAATGAAAGTAAATGATAGAAAGAGAAGCCTACTAAAAAGTTGGACATAATTTTACGACATAACTTTTTAAGAGCTCTTTAAGAAAATGACCATTCAGTAAAAATCATCTTTTAAATAATATTTCTAATTAGATGACACATTTAGATTAAGATTAATCTTGATTTGAGGAGAAATGAATGTCGAATTTGAGGTTTCTCCAATGATTTATTCGCGATTTGTAGTGCTCGGCTTTCAACCTTTTCATCCTGCCATAACCGGTTGAATAATTGGGATACGTACTGATCAAAAGTCAGAGCCTTAGCCTTGGCCTAAGCCTAAACCTAAGCCTAAGCCCAAGCCTAAGCCTAAGCCTAATCCTGAGCTTAAGCCTAAGCCTGAGCCTAAACCTAAGCCTGAGCCTGAACCTAAGCCTAAGCCTAAGCCTAAGCCAGAGCCAGAGCCTTAGCCTGAGCCTGAGCCTGAGCCTGAGCCTAAACCTAAGCCTGAGCCTGAACCTAAGCCTAAGCCTAAGCCCAAGCCTAAGCCTAAGCCTAATCCTGAGCCTAAGCCTGAGCCTGAGCCTAAACCTAAGCCTGAGCCTGAACCTAAGCCTAAGCCTAAGCCTAAGCCAGAGCCAGAGCCTTAGCCTGAGCCTGAGCCTGAGCCTGAGCCTAAACCTAAGCCTAAGCCAGAGGCTTAGCCTAATCCTGAGCCTAAGCCTAAGCCTGAGCCAGAGTCTAAGCCTAAAATAAAAAGATTTCTTTTGAAAATGAATGAAAAATGACAGAAAATGAATGAAAAATAATAAAATGATGTGCAACAGTGCACAAGATAGTTTGCTAACTATTGAGCATTTTAAATTGAATTAAAATTAATAATTAAATTAATCAATAGATCATTTAAAAGTTCAATAGACCAAAATCAAATTAATAACTTTTATAGATATTCAGTTATCGGGAATTTGTGAAAAGCTTATAATTAAGAGCATAGGCGTGTACTATCTAAGGTTTGTTTATAAATCAAGCCCGTTCAAAGGCAAAATTTCATTTGAAAAACATTTCCTAGGTCTTGTTTTATACCATTATGAGATGCCGGATTTAATCATTTCAGCGTTTGAATATTCTATAAATTTTAAGTAAAAATTTAGGTGCAAAACATTGAAAACTTTTCGGATTTACTGTCGTTTACTGTCGTTTACTGTCGTTGAGTGTTGTTGGGTGAAATTCTTTCACCTTTAGAGTATGGAGTTAATCCGAGTTGTGACACAGAGGCACCACCAGCCGAAAGACCCCAAATCGTGATCTAAAAGAGTTTTTTTTTTTTTCTTTAAAAGAAACTTTGTAAAGAAATTTTGTATTTCTCTGAAACTTTTAAAAGAAACTTGTATTTCTCTTACTTTTCTTTTACTTTTTCTCTTAATTTACTTTTTCTTTATCTCCTCCAAAGCTTTCAATGACTTCTCGAGTGAATTTGATGGCTTCAAGCTAGAAATTTTTAAATAAAACTTTTTAAAATCAATTGAATTAATCAATTTCTCAATTCTTACTTGATCCCAAATGCCTAAATTTCCGGGTAAACTCGTTGAGCCATCGGAAAAGAATCCTAAAATGAAATGATGATAAAGTTAACTATTGGGTTGATGCATAATTATCCGGACTTCTTTTATAAATGATTTTATTTAACAAAAAATAACATAAATAGTTAGAAAAATATGTTTAATTGATTATTCTGGAGCATATTCACCGCCTACATCAATAACTGATTGCCATTTGCTTGGAAGACGATCGATTCCACGAGCGAAGAATAAACGATCTTTGGAGGCAATCCACGCTTTAACATCGTCTATCAAGTCATCCAAATCGTTGTAGATCTTATTTGTTTGCCAATTTTTGAGCGATCGATTGACGTGGTAGTCCGTTGGGGCTTCTCCAGTTCTTTGAGATCGCGAAACGACTCTGCGGCAGACCATCCCTTTTCGAAGTGGTAGAGCATGATATGGCGAAGATGGATATGATTGTCGACACGCATTTTGTTCACTAAAGAATAACGAATATTTAAAAAAAAGAAATAGACAAAAAGCTTTCAAAACAAAAAAGATACAAGCACGCAAAAAGAAGTCCGGATAATTATGCATCAACCCAATAATAAAGGCTTATACTTTTTGCTTTAAAAAGATCGGTATACTAAATTCAGTGCACCAGAAAGAGTATGTTTCAAAGAAATCAAAGAAATCAAAGAAATCAAAGAAATCAAAGAAATCAAAGAAAACAAAGAAAATCAAAGAAATCAAAGAAATCAAAGAAAATCGAAGAAAATCAAAGAAAATCAAAGAAAATCTGTATTCGAGCCGTACTCGTTTCTCGCAAACACACGCTTTTTGGCGCACCGTTAACAATAGAATGAAGAAATGCGAGTGCCAGGAAATGGGAGTTTACAGGAATACATAGTGCAAGCGTTAGTTTATGAGTTATTTGTATTTAAGGCAATTTTTACCTAAGAATCCAAGCCGGTATTGAATTTGTACAACGATGATGTTGCTAGGGTTGTAGATGTTGGCTAGACCCTAAAAATAAAGTTTTCAATCATTTTCGGTAATCTTACAATAAGTACAGTTCGTTTCTCAGTCTATGTAAACTTTTGCATTGTATTTGAAAGCTCGTTTATTGTTTTAAATGATTTTGGATGATCTTACAATAAGTACAGTTCGTTTTCAAGTCTATCCAAATTTTTGATTTGTATTTTATAGTGTGGAGTTGAGAAGCTCTCGACATCTTTCGAGTCGAACTCGTTTGGAGAGAAGTGAGAGGAGTTTTGCCGGTTGCGCAGATTCCGGTCCATACAATGACTGATTTGGGATTTTGTCGGTGTTGAACAATCGCAGATGGCCTGGAGAGGACGTTGACCAAATCCGATCGTTTTGGTGGTTGTAGCTTTGCTCCACCGAGAAGAGCTTCTCGTCAGAAAACAGGATTCGCTCCCAGTGTGGAGTTGCGGCCCGCTTGAGAAGCTCTCGACATCTTTCGACTCGTTTGTTGTCGTCGTCGAGTTGTTGAGCTTGTAAGAGTGAAGACTGAGCTCATTTCTGGCCATAAGTCGGACCGAAAGACGAATCGAACCTAAGCCAGAGTGATCCCCGTCTGTCGAGCGATCTTTCTCATTGAGACCTGTGAATTCCGGGCCACGCGCTTCTGAATCACTTTGCGATTTCTGGATTTATTTATATTCAAAAGCTCGTTTATCGTATTCAATAATTTTCGATAAACTTACAATAAATTCAATTCATTTTCAAGTTTATGCAAGCTTTTTGATTTGTATTCGAAAGTTTCGTTTATCAATTTTTAAATCCCATTCTCTCATTTGCTTTTTTTTTTCCTTTCACTTATCAATGCTTCAAAGAACAAATTTTCCGAGAATCGTGCAAACACGCGGGAACGAGAAAAGAAGTGGAAAAAGAAGAAAAGAAGTGGAAAAGAGATGAAAAGAAATCTGTAAAGGAAATTGAGATATCCACAAGGATTTCTTCTTAGAAATCCTTGTGGATATCTCAATTTCCTTTCCATCATCAAACAAAAGAAAAACCACGTGCCTGATCGATGAGAGATTTGTTTTTTTTTTGAAAAATATACTAGAATCCAACAGATTTTGATATAGATTTTGTTAAAGTAGTAAGTAAATCTATCTATGAAGTTCAAAATGGAAGGCAAAATTCGTCAACATCTCTGTTTACGTCTACTCGTAGTCACTTCACTTAAACGTCACTTAAAAACTTGATAAACCAAGTAAAGGATTTAAATAAATGATCAAAATTATAAACGATTGAAAAAAGGTCAAAGATTAGGCAAAGAGGTCAGGCAAAAGCCCATAGCATTCAATTTAACAGAAAAGTTTTTGAAAAAGCTGCAGGCTGGTTTTTGAGTGCTGACAAACGCCTGCCTTATTATCAAATTGCCAAGTGTTATATAGGAAAATAAAGCCCATGATCTTGGCATCATTTTTCCTATAAAGAACTTCCCGATTGGAGCTGTACAACTCATTTTACAAGCTTTTGAATGAGCTCAAGTCGATTTCTCTTCGGCGATCTTCTATTTTTGACACTTTCTGAACAATATTTTCATTTAAAAGGGATTCTTTTAAGAAAATTTGTAATATTTTACTTTAAAAGTACTATTTAATAAAAATAGAGCTTAGACAGCAAGATCTTCTTGCCAAATAGATATCAAATAGATATCAAATAGATCGCCGAAGAGAAATCGACTTGAGCTCATTCAAAAGCTTGTAAAATGAGTTGTACAGCTCCAATCGGGAAGTTCTTTATAGAAAAATGATGCCAAGATAATGGGCTTTATTTTCCTATATAACACTTGGCAATTTGATAATAAGGCAGGCGTTTGTCAGCAGTCAAACCCGGTCGACAACATTTTTCAAAAAAAGTCGAAAATTCCGCGATCACTTTATATAATTCTTAGCCGAAAAAGATCAAAAAGAGATAAAGTATATCAAAATTTTATTTAATCATAAAATTTCGAATATTTTAAACGATAAATTGACTTACTTTATATGGATAGAGTGAAGTGGATCCAATCGAGTACCCACCTCCATGGATCCAAATGAGAACGGGCAACTTTTCTGATCCCTGAAAAGTTTTAAACAAGTTTTAAACAAGTTTTAAACTTTAAACTAGTTTTAGACTGGTTTTAGACTAGTTTTAGACTAGTTTTAAACTAGTTTTAAACTAGTTTTATCCTAGTTTAAGCTAGCTTCTCCTTAAACTAGTTTTAAACAAGTTTTAAACTAGTTTTATCCTAGTTTTATCCTAGTTTCAAACTAGCTTCTCCTTCCCATTCCTTTAAAAAGTTTTAAACAAGTTTTAAACTAGTTTTAAACAAGTTTTATCCTAGTTTTATCCTAGTTTATCCTACCTTCTCCTTCCCATTCCTTCAAAACAACTTTTCAAATCTTTAAGCGCACTTCTTGATACTCACTTCTTGATACAAAGACGAATCCTTTGGGCGAGTGATTCCAAGAGTGAGACAATCTTCGGAGTACGGTGGAACGGGCACTGTTTCATTGTGCGGTGGACACGAAGCTCCGTAAGCAGACGCATTCAGCACAGTTTCCCATCGTAGCGGAGCTTGGGGTTTCTGTAAGATTGCGATGAAAGATGAGATTATTCATAGATCCCGTTTCATTCACCCACCTCGAATCTCAGCTCGCCAATCGGTGGCTTAGCAAAGGGGATTCCAAGGAAGACTTCGGAGAGCTTTCCATCCTGAATAGTTATAAGTTTAAAAGTTTTCCTGAGATTCCCTGAGATTCAGAAAGTTTTTGGTGAGCCAGACCTTTAGTAAAGGGAAATCAAGCGTGTACTAACTAGGGAAAAGTCTTATTAGCCTGTTTGGTAGCCTTTTTAGCCTGCTTGGTGGCATTTTTGGCCTGTTTGGTAGCCTTTTTAGCCTTTTGGTAGCCTTTTTAACCTGTTTGGTGGCCTTTTTAGCCTGTTTGGTAGCGTTTTTAGCCTTTTGGATGGCGTTTTTAGCCTTTTTAATGATCTTTTGTAGCCTTTTTAGCCTTTTTAACCTTTTTAGTGATCTTTTGTAGCCTTTTGGATAGCGTTATTAGTCTTTTTTGTGACCTTTTTGATGCGCATTCAGTGTATTTGATAGAGCTTTAAATAGGAATTCCGAATCCGCTTTTAGTTCCTCCAATGGAGCTCTGTATCGCAAGATAACTCCCCGCAAAGTTTTAGACTCAAAATCCGACGGTATTTCACCGCAATTCCCCACGCCAGCTATTAACAGCTGTGGTCTAGAGGTAAGTGGCTGGTATCCAGTCAGCAGAGCCCTGGTTGAGGCTATTGAGGTCAGAGCCTGATCATAGTCTCATTAGAAACTGTAGCCCTCAAACGAACACTTCTCTCGTAATCGAATCCTTGAATTTTCCCGTATTTCGTCTCGATAAACGGCCGTTCGCTCTCACAGAAACCCGTCCATATACAAAAGAGGTGAAAGACGAAAATCATCTGTAAAAAGAAACAAAAACTATTTAAAAGCCAATCTCATTCGATCTAATCAACGGAAATCATCTGAGTAACAAAGAAAAACCCTTTCCAAATAGCTCTATGACGTTTGTTTTTAAATTTAGCTTAAGGAAAGGGCTTTTTTTTAAAATTTAGCTTAAAGATAAGGCTTTCATCTTATAGAAAACCGTCAAAATTCGACAATTCTAACCATCTAAAGTGGTTTGTTTATCGAAAATTTTCTCAATTTCAAAATTTTCATCTCATTCGGTCTATTTTAACTCTTATTTGGTTTATTTTAACGAATCTATTTCACTCTATTTCACAAAAAATCAATAATTTCCTTCAAAAATGAGATAACTAAATGTGCAAAAGTGTGCAAATTGTTTAAAATTGCTGAAAATCACTTAAAATTGCTGAAAATAGCTTAAAATAGCCTAAAATAGCTTAAAATCACTTAAAATCGCTTAAAATTGCTTAAAATTGATTAAAATTGTTTAAAATTGGTTAAAATCGTTTAAAATTGTTTAAAATTGTTTAAAATTGTTTAAAATCACTGAAAATCGCTTAAAATTGATTAAAATCGCTTAAAATTGCTTAAAATCGCTTAAAATTGATTAAAATCGCTTAAAATCGCTTAAAATCGCTTAAAATTGCTGAGAATTGCTTAAAATTGCTTAAAATTGCTTAAAATCGCTTAAAATTGATTAAAATCGCTTAAAATCGCTTAAAATCGCTTAAAATTGCTGAAAATCACTTAAAATTGCTGAAAATAGCTTAAAATAGCCTAAAATAGCTTAAAATCACTTAAAATCGCTTAAAATTGCTTAAAATTGATTAAAATTGTTTAAAATTGGTTAAAATCGTTTAAAATTGTTTAAAATTGTTTAAAATTGTTTAAAATCACTGAAAATCGCTTAAAATCGCTTAAAATTGATTAAAATCGCTTAAAATTGCTTAAAATCGCTTAAAATTGCTTAAAATTGCTTAAAATCGCTTAAAATTGCTTAAAATCGCTGAAAATCGCTTAAAATCGCTGAAAATCGCTTAAAATTGGTTAAAATTGTTTAAAGTTGCTGAAAGTCGCTTAAAATTGCTTAAAATTGCTGAGAATTGCTGAGAATTGCTGAAAATTGCTTAAAATCGCTTAAAATTGATTAAAATCGCTTAAAATCGCTTAAAATCGCTTAAAATTGCTGAGAATTGCTTAAAATTGCTTAAAATTGCTTAAAATCCCTTAAAATTGCTTAAAATCGCTGAAAATTGCTGAAAATTGCTGAGAATTGCTTAAAATTGCTTAAAATAGTTTAAAATCCCTTAAAATTGCTTAAAATCGCTGAAAATTGCTGAAAATTGCTTAAAATCGCTTAAAATCGCTTACAATCGCTTAGAATCGCTTAAAATCGCTGAAAATCGCTTAAAACTCCATATTTCTATGCCTTTTTATGGAAATCTTGTAAAAACTTACAAAATCTATCCGCATTTCAACGAAATTACAGAATTGAATTCAGAATTTTAGCTTATTTAGCTTGTTTCTAAAGCGAATATGAAGAAAGGTCTTGTAGAAATAGTAGAGTTTTCAATTTTCTGACTTTTAACCTCTTTTCAGTTCGTTTCCAAAGAGCCAAATCAATCCAAATAGAAATTTTTTTTTGTTTTTTAAGAGAATCTGAGAAGAAAAGAAAAGAGAAATGGGAAAAATCGCAAAAAAAAAAAAAAAAAGCTTTAGATAAGCGCTTTTTTTCGTTTCTTTCCAAAAAGATATAGATTTTTGGGCATAAAGTGGAAATTTGTGATTCAATCGAAAGAAAAACTACAAAGCTCACTTGATTTGAAGAGATCTTTTTGAAGAACCTACAAGAAGCTTCAAGAACCTACAAGAAACTTCCAGAACCTTCAAGAAGATTCAAGAAGCTTCAAGAAACTTCAAGAAGCTTCAAGAAACTTCAAGAACCTATAAGTACCTTCAAGAACCTACAAGAAACTTTCAGAACCTTCAAGAAGATTCAAGAAGCTTCAAGAAACTTCAAGAAGCTTCAAGAAACTTCAAGAACCTTCAAGAAGCTTCAAGGACCTTCAAGAACCTTCAAGAAGCTTCAAGGACCTTCAAGAACCTACAAGAAACTTCAAGAACCTTCAAGAAGCTTCAAGAACCTTCAAGAGCCTTCAAGAAGCTTCAAGAAACTTCAAGAAGCTTCAAGAGGCTTCAAGAACCTACGAGAAACTTCAAGAACCTAAAAGAACCTAAAAGAACCTTCAAGAACCTTCAAGAAACTTCAAAAAATTACTCAGAAATTTTGTTTGAGAGATTGCCGGCTTATCAAAGTCGAATTTTTGTGATCAGTGATACTTGGGAAACACGTTTTCTGAAGCGTGTCCATTTTCGAGACAAACTACAGTCAATAGGGCTGGAGTCTCTAGATTTTTTTTGCTTAAATCTATCCATTTTCGTTTGTTTCTTTCGATGTTCTTTCACAGAATTAGATCAAAAAGTGAATGGATTAGATAAAAATTGAGACAAGATTACGGTAGCTTTGAAAAGGACGAGATTACGGTAGTTTTAAAAAGAGACAAGATTACGGTAGCTTTGAAAAAGACGAGATTACGGTAGTTTTAAAGGTTACGTTTTAGAATTGGAAAAGACCGGTTGAACTTTTTGATTTGGCTTCAATTTAAAGCCTTTTCCTCTAGCCCTTGACGCTGCCTCCATGGCTCAGTGGCTAACGCTTCGGTCTCTCGCTCGATACCTCCCAGGTTCGACTCCCACTCCAGGACTTTTTTTGTTTTTTCTCAACTAACTACCTAGATTAAAGCCAGAAACCAAGGCAAGACCGGCTTTATCTCAAACTGATCAAAAAAATCCATAAACCAACGGGATCCTCGTACATCTTGGTCACCTACAACATCCTTGACCACTATACTGGCCTACTCATGTTCCGACCGGATCCTAGGACCTATAAGCCAGATGAGAAGTACCTGACCTAACCAGATCAAGTCAAGCTAAGCCAAATCAAGCTAAGCCAAGCCAGGCTAATCCAGGTCAGAAGTCAGACAAGCAGCCAAGACTGGCTAGGCTAGGTCGGACAAGGCAAGCAGCCAGAGCAGGACTGGCTTACCCAAGCTGGTTTATGGTCGAATCTGGCCTTACATCTAACTCTTTTATTAACTTTAATCCTAAAAGCAATCCCTATTTCAACACTCATTCTTAGCAATAGCTTATAGACCAAAAATTCATTTCGATTTCACTTCAAAATTTACGCCTCAATGAAAAAATTATGAGTTTCTTTGATGCCCACTCAAATTGAAGTGAAAAAACGAAAGCGGCTAGGCTAAAAGCGTTAAAATTTCACATAAAATCAAGCGAAATTGGTGGAAAAATGGGGGAAAGATAAGGTGAATTCAGCTTTTTTCAAAAGAAATCCAGTTTTGTCGATTCTAAGTGAACTTTAGAGGATGGGTAGAGTTTTGAAGTTGATCAGCGCCTCGATTTTCTTGATATTGACATGGGCTGGATGTCCGAGCGATTGGCAAGAAGTCAGCGGATCGATCTGTTACTATCCGGGAACCGTTCGTGAGTTGTTGAGTTTGAAAAGAAGACTTTGTGACATTGGAGTTTGGACTTTGAGAGACTTTGAAAGCAGCTTTGCTTTGTTAAAAACAGTTTTGCTTTGTTAAAATCGGCTTTGCTTTGTTAAAAAGGCAGTTTTGCTTTGTTAAAATCGGCTTTACTTTGTTAAAATCAGCTTTGCTTTGTCAAAAAGGCAGTTTTGCTTTGTTAAAATCAGCTTTTCTTTGTTAAAACCAGCTTTGCTTATCCTTTTTTTGATCTACAGTAGTACTTGTTGAACTTTCTTTTGATTTGTCATGTAGAAAGTAGTTGAAAGTACTTCTGTACTTCTGTACAGCTTTTCGAACTCGATAGAACCTGATTAGACTACGAAATACAACAACTAGAGGCAAGCTAGGGATTTCGTTTAATCGTTTCTTCACAGATCTTTCAATCCATAACATTTCTTGATCATTTGAGCTTCAGAAAAACAGTTGAAACTTGAGAAAAACCGTAAATAACAGCTCAAACTTATGACAGAAACAAACAGACAGAAGCTTTTAGAAATAACTTTCCCGCAAGTGAAACTCGCATGTCATTCGGTGGGCGGATCTCCAGCGATGATCACTGACGCTCTCCTCAACACCGTCATTCAACAATATGCACAGTTTAGTGAGTGATAAGTTCTCAGAGTTCTCAATTTCTAAGCACGAAGTTTTACAGCTCTTGGTGTCGATCAAGCGTGGATTGGCGTCGAGCAGGTTGACGGTGGATATTGGGCTTATGCGGACGATGCACACACGAATTTGACCTATATGAAATGGGCGAACAGTGGGTTTTTAGAATGAAATCCATTTAGAATGGGTTTTTAGAATGAGCAATTGTCTAGGGTATTCAAGAAGGATTAGCTTTCGTTTTACTGCTTAACCAAGTCTTACTTACTAGCCCAGTCCAGAAGAAAGCAGAAGTGATCCACCTGACTCAATCAGACAGGAAGAAGTGAGGCCTCTGATTCTGATCGAATCCTTCTAGCCTGATCCTGAGCTTAAATCATCTTAAACTCAAGCTTAAATCAACCATCAACATATAATTCAGGGCTGTCTGTTTGTCTGCCTGCCTGTCTGTCTGTCTGTCTGTCTATATGTAAGAAAATTTCCGTTCCTCTCTACAGATTTGATTCCATTTCTCTACAGATTTGATTCCTTTTCTCTACAAATTTGATTCCTTTCCTCTCTACAGATTTGTTTAGGTTAAGGGGGATTAAGGGAAAGCTGTGGCCTAAGGGCCTAGGGGCCTAGGGGCCTAGGGGCCTAGGGCCTAGCGCGCTGGTCTGCAGATCCGGGGATCGTTGGTTCGGATCCAGATTACTTTTTGTTCTTTCAATGAAAGAAGTTGTCTTAATTATATAATTGTGAAATGTTCGTATGTTAGAAAAAATTAGGGAATGGATTTTTCAGGCTTTAAATTGATACTATTTTGACTTGATGCCGAATCTAAAGAGTCAGTTTCGAGGTGTGCAAGTTAGGAAACGGGTTTAGCGAAGTCAATTTTTAGGGTTAGATTCAAAACTTGTTCAGAATTGAATCACCGGGTTGGACTGTCAACTGTAACGTACCGTACTGTCAATCTAGTTTGTAATAAGGTGAAAGAACGGGCAAGAAAAGGTAGGAGAGGGACGAGGGGACGATCTTTTTTGCTTTCCATTGCTCTAACCATTGAGGTAGCTTACCTTTTCAAGAGAAAAAGGGAAAGACAAGGGGAGAAGAAAGGAAGGAAGGAAGGAAGGAAGGAAGGAAGGAAGGAAGGAAGGAAGGAAGAAAGAAAGAAGCACTCCATAAACTTTCCAGATGAGCCCAACAATCAGAACTATTGTGCGGCGATGAACTCGTCAACGGGTGGCTATTGGATGACAAGAGATTGCTCGACGCAACTCAACTATTTCTGCACAAGACGTACATTTTTTTTGTTTCTTTTTAACTGTATCTGTAAAAAATCTCAACTTCTATCAAAAGAAAGTCTTCAACTTTTAGTAGACAAGTAAAATAATAGACAAGTCTTTTTTTCAGTCTTTTATGGAATCGAATCAAAATCCGATCAAAATCCAATCAAAATCCAATCAAAATTCAGTCTTTTTGAACACTTTTTCAGCCACTACACCAGATGTATCAACAACGGAAAGCCCATTGACCATTCCACAAGGAAATTGTGATCAAAATTGGAAACAATTCAGCGGATATTGCTACTATTTGCATGTGAGTTGAAAAGTTATTGAAAGTTATTGAAAACTTACTGAAACTTACTAAAAACTTACTAAAAACTTACTGAAAAGCTTTCTAGTTTTCATTAGCTTTCTATTTCATTGCTATTCAGAATTTCACTACTTTGCAAGATGGTCAACACTGGGATTTGTTCAATTTCACCGACGCTGAGGCGATTTGCGAGACGATGAACTCGACGCTCGCCTCGATTCACAATGATGCCGAGAATCAATTCCTTTACGGTGTGTAAGAACAAAAAAAAGCACTGAGATTTGTTAAGAATACATTTAACTGTAATCTTAATCATTAATCCAATTCCGAAACGAAAAGTAAGAAATTAAAATTGAAATCGAAATCCTTTTCCATTATTCCATGCAAAAACATTTAAGCGAAACGCTTGTTTTGAGCACTTTATTCAGAGTAACTCGCGCCGGAGAATCGACGAATTTAACCCCGAACCCAGTATCACACAGTGGTGAACCGTATTCAAAGGCTCAGATCCAACTACGAGTTTTGTCAGCAATAATGACATACACTTTGAGAGCTGGAATTAGCTGGAAGCTGGAATTAGCTGGAAGCTGGAATTAGCTGGAAGCTGGAATTAGCTGGATGCTGGAATTGAGAGCTGGATGCTGGAATTGAGAGCTGGAAGCTGGAATTGAGAGCTGGAAGCTGGAATTGAGAGCTGGAAGCTGGAATTGAGAGCTGGAAGCTGGAATTGAGAGCTGGAAGCTGGAATTGAGAGCTGGAAGCTGGAATTGAGAGCTGGAAGCTGGAACTAGCTGGAAGCTGGAATTGAGAGCTGGAAGCTGGAATTGAGAGCTGGAAGCTGGAATTGAGAGCTGGAAGCTGGAATTGAGAGCTGGAAGCTGGAATTGAGAGCTGGAAGCTGGAATTGAGAGCTGGAAGCTGGAATTGAGAGCTGGAAGCTGGAATTGAGAGCTGGAAGCTGGAATTGAGAGCTGGAAGCTGGAACTAGCTGGAAGCTGGAATTGAGAGCTGGAAGCTGGAATTGAGAGCTGGAAGCTGGAATTGAGAGCTGGAAGCTGGAATTGAGAGCTGGAAGCTGGAATTGAGAGCTGGAAGCTGGAATTGAGAGCTGGAAGCTGGAATTGAGAGCTGGAAGCTGGAATTGAGAGCTGGAAGCTGGAACTAGCTGGAAGCTGGAATTGAGAGCTGGAAGCTGGAATTGAGAGCTGGAAGCTGGAATTGAGAGCTGGAAGCTGGAATTGAGAGCTGGAAGCTGGAACTAGCTGGAAGCTGGAATTGAGAGCTGGAAGCTGGAATTGAGAGCTGGAAGCTGGAATTGAGAGCTGGAAGCTGGAATTGAGAGCTGGAAGCTGGAATTGAGAGCTGGAAGCTGGAACTGAGAGCTGGAAGCTGGAACTAGCTGGAAGCTGGAATTGAGAGCTGGAAGCTGGAATTGAGAGCTGGAAGCTGGAATTGAGAGCTGGAAGCTGGAATTGAGAGCTGGAAGCTGGAATTGAGAGCTGGAAGCTGGCATCAGACTTGCCCTCTCATTGATCCTCGTTAAAGGGTTTAAATTGTACGCATTTCGATGACTATTCCCAAAAGGAACAGTCTCGTTAGTTCTTGTCACTACCTCCTCGAATTGAGAGTGGGTAATGCTGCTGCACTCCTTAGATTTGGTTGCCGTTTCTCGGGCATCCTCTCCGGAGTCAAACCCTTTGTATTTGTATTTGTATTGTACCCATTTCGATGACTGTTCCAAAAGGGAGCAGTCTCGTTAGTTGGTCATTACCTCCCCGAATTGAGAGTGGGTAATTCTCTCAATTCGAGAGCCTGAGCCTAAGCCTTAGATGCCTTCCTTAGTCTGATGCCTGCTGCCTGCTGCCTTCCTTAGATTTGCTTGCCGTTTCTCAGGCATTCTCTCCAGAGTCAAACCCTGATCCTCCGTTACCCGTTACGACCATAGTAGTCAACTAAACTACCATTAAGATTACATTTAAAGCAAGCAAGCAACCTTATCCAATTCCAGATTTGGTCATTTCAAACGCAGCTGGTGAAGACGATAAAGCTTATGGACATCCGTGTGATTGGGCGCCGGCTTGGATTGGTGAGTTGAGAGAGTACTTTTCTGTAAGAGCTTTCATCTTAAATGTTATATTTTTCTAATCTCTTTGTTTTTAATGATATAATTTAAGTAGTTGATGAAGTTGATTTCAAAATTTAAAAGAAATATTAAACAATGGACATCCGTGTGATTCAAAAAGAAAAGATTCACAATAAATTTGTTTAAAAAATGCTTTGAAATGGCGAAGAAAAGGTACGGTGAAGGTCTGTGCTTTAGAAAATCTTTTAAAAATAAATAATCTCTGAGAAATGTTTAACAAAGGATGAGTAAAAAGTCATTTTGCTGATTCACAAACTGTTCTAGTGAAGAGTGAAGAAACACTCGGGAAAAGAATTGAAGAATTGAAGAGGCGTGGGGAAGCTTTGGTTTGGGTTGGTTTAAAGAGCAGCTTTAGTTTGGTTTAGTTCAAAGAGCAGCTTTGGTTTGGTTTGGTTGAAAGAGCAGCTTTGGTTTGGTTTAGTTCAAAGAGCAGCTTTGGTTGGTTTGGTTGAAAGAGCAGCTTTGGTTTGGTTTAGTTCAAAGAGCAGCTTTGGTTTGGTTTGGTTCAAAGAGTAGCTTTGGTTTGGGTTGGTTCAAAGAGTAGCTTTGGTTTGGTTTGGTTCAAAGAGCAGCTTTGGTTTGGTTTGGTTCAAAGAGCAGCTTTGGTTGGTTTGGTTCAAAGAGTAGCTTTGGTTCAAAGAGCAGCTTTGGTTCAAAGAGCAGCTTTGGTTCAAACGGATCGCTATCATGCGGTCGGTAAAGTTTTGGATCTTGTATGGATACTTGTGAAGCTTCTTGTAAACAATCGAAGAGATCCTTTCTCTTCTCAAGCCATTTTTCGCATCGATCTTCTTGGATTCGGTTCCTTTCTTAAATTCTTTTCACAATTCCTGAAGTAGTAGTTGTTTTTGGCCGTCTCGAACATGGGCAATCGTTTGCCGAACCGGTAGCCGGTTTGATTTGAGTTTGATTAGCGGCTTTGATCCTCTTCAGGCTTTGAACCTCTTCAGGTAATCATAAACGGTGCTCTTTGACATGGTGAGTTGTTCGGCGCTTGGTTCGTTGTTCGGGGAAACATTCCTACTCCAGACTTCAATAGACTTCAATAGACGCTCAATGTCTGTTCAAAGATTCCTCGATCCATCTAAATAATGTTAAGAAAGAAAATAATTCAATAAAAATAAAGTTACCTGGTCAGTAAACTAGAAGAAAAAGCAAAAACGATTGGATTCTTGAATACGCACTCCGTATTCCGAACAAAAAAAGCTTCAAATCACCGGATTCCAGCGTGCAATTGGGTCTTTTAAAGGTTTTGCTAAGCTACCGCTTGAACTTAAGGATCGATTGTCGAAGTGGAGACGCTTTCACCATTCCTGAAAAAAACCATACTTGAATTGAAAGTAATAATACTATAAAATAAGAAAAATACACAAAAACCATAAAAACAGGTAAGCAAAAAGTAAAGTGGGGCTCATAACATAATACGACGTTGTTGCGGTAACTCTTGGTCACCCTGTATGCAGTTGATTTCTAGGAATGATGCACACTCCGGATCCAAACGGGACTCATTGGGTTGACGGGACGCCAGTCGACTTTTGCGATTATCCCGATGGATGTATCATTGCTGAGATGTACAATTGTGGCTTCTTGGTGAGTTTTTGTTTTTAATTGACGAGCTTTACCGTCTGATTGAAGAGCTTTAGCGTCTGATTGACGAGCTTTAGCGTCTGATTGAAGAGCTTTAGCGTCTGATTGACGAGCTTTAGCGTCTGATTGACGAGCTTTACCGTCTGATTGACGAGCTTTAGCGTCTGATTGACGGTAAAGCTTTGCTTTTGATTAAGGAAGGGCAAAAAGGAAGTAGAGTGTGTTCCATTGAAGTAATGCGTTTTCTAAAAAGTCCACTCAAAAAAAGGCCTAAAAAAGGCCTTTTTTTGAGTGGATGAGTCTCTGTGGATGTCTAACTGACAAGTACCGAACACACTTTAGTAGAAACGATAATTCTTTAAATCTAAAGTGATTCATTGTACTATTATAGACGTCTATCCCAGAAAAAAAGTATTTACAACGAGATTTTTCAAATTAAAACTATTATAAGCCTATTGTAAGCGTTAAAATTGGATTACAGTGCATTACAGGACTAGAGATATGGCTTTCCATATCTCTAGTAACTAGTAACAGTAACTGTAATGAGCTTTAACATTAGTTAAAGCTTCGAGAATGGAAAGAGAGTCAATGAGGCTTGAATACTCTGAACACTTGTCTCTAGATTAGTGTAGGAGTTTGTTTGGAGTTTGGGAATTGATGGAAAGATCGAAATTGATGCAAAGATCGAAGCTCGTTACCTATTGTTGGCTAAAAGTTGATTTTCGATGATTCTCGTTTCTAGATTCACAACGACGTCTCGTGTTTCCCGACTGATCCAAAGCGTTGGTCATGGTGGGTGATCCGGGCGCATTACTCGCGTTTCGTCTGCAAAAAGCTCGCAATGCCGACGAATGCCGACGGATTTTTCCATGGAATCGGCTACGAGTAAAGGCGTTGAATGGTCAATAAATTCTCAGTTCTTCTTTCAAAGCAACCTTTCAAATCAACCCTCCAAAGCAACCTACACAATTCTGGTGAAACAAGAAGCACACTTCTTTGTGTTTTAGCAAAAACGCCTTCTGGCACACTCATTTCACCCGTGACACCTTCAAAAACGTTCAGCTTTCCAGAGAAAATGTGTTTACGAGAGCACAAAGTACAAGAAAAAACTAATGGATTAAAATCGAAGCATTCTTGAGCCATTCTTTAGATATTCTTGAGCCATTCTTGAGTTATTCTTGAACCATTCTTGAGCCATTATTTAGCCATTCCTGAGCCATTCTTGAGCCATTCTTTAGCCATTCTTTAGCCATTATTTAGCCATTATTTAGCCATTATTTAGCCATTATTTAGCCATTATTTAGCCATTCCTGAACCATTCTTTAGCCATTCTTGAGCCATTCTTGAACCATTCTTTAGCCATTCTTGAGCCATTATTTAGCCATTCTTCAGCCATTCTTTAGCCATTCTTCAGCCATTCTTGAGCCATTCTTGAACCATTCTTTAGCCATTCTTGAGCCATTCTTTAGCCATTCTTGAGCCATTCTTTAGCCATTCTTGAGCCATTCTTTAGCCATTCTTGAGCCATTCTTGAACTCAACAATTCTTATTCAAGAACTGAATTCTGAATTTCCTTGCAGCTGTGTTTTCGCCGATTGAATCATTTCTGAATCAGCTCTTATTTTTGCAATTGTTTTTTGTGAGCACCCAGCTGCGGCAAGATTTTATGACTGAATCGTTGAATAATTTTATTGATGTAGGTGTGAAATTTCCCTTTTTCTTAACATTTCGATTAGTAAGCCATGGAATTTATCTCGAATTTTCGTTTAGAAACGAATCATCTAATTTATGCTTTCAAAAATGTAACCTAGCGTACTCAATTCCTTTAAGTGTCCCAAATAGTGAGGGTTTGCAAGAGTACAAAGTGCAAGTCAATGTTAAAAGCTTTAATCGTTGGTAGTAGAGATTTGCTGAAAGAAAGTTTTAAGAGTTGGCTGGAAAAAAGAGGAAGATATAATGCCTTCCCTGACGCCGTGGGAACTGGCGCTGTAGCTCATTGGTAAAGTGTTCACCTGGTAAACGAGAGGTAAGTGAGAAGTCACAGGTTCGAATCCCGGCTGCGGGCATTTTTTGTTTTCCCAGTTTTGTTTTCTTTTCCCGTAAAAGCACCGGCGTTTCCAACTCACAATGAGTTATTGACGTCGAGAATAGTAGTAAAGCTAGGCAAGAGTCAGCCTAGCTTCACTAGCTACCAGAGCTAGCCAAGATTTACCAGAGTTAGCCAAGATTTACCAGAGCAGATCCCAAGAAAGATTCCCGATGAACACCTTGTCACAATATCTTTCACCAATTCCTCATTGCTAGATTGCTAGAGGCATTATTTCCTCCTCAATTGATGTCTATCTCGTGTTTGACAACAAGATCAATCATTCATCCATTCGACGAAGTGTGACCGGCGACTCCTTTATCAGAAATAGATCTGTTCTCAAAAAAAAATCTGTTATCAATGAAAAGCCAATGGCAAAACGATTAAGAAGAATGTTTTTTGAGTTAAAGGAAAAATTTGAAGATGGCTGAAAGGCTGACAGGCTGAATGGCTGACAGGCTGAATGGCTGACAGGCTGAATGGCTGACAGGCTGAATGGCTGACAGGCTGAAAGGCTGACAGGCTGAATGGCTGACAGGCTGAATGGCTGAAAGAACGGCCAATTGCACAACTTTCCCCAAACTAACATGCAAATTTCTGAATAAAGAACGATGAGTGCAAGCCTAGATGCGATGTTTTACCATTTTTACTGCACAAACCCAGTTCAGTCTTCTACGCTACTGATAGTAGAAGCAATTTAATCTGATTTATGCTTTCAGTACTTCACAATACTGTCACAAAGCGCCGGTACTAGACCTGCTTAAGTCCGGACAAAATTTTCAGACAGTCTGCTTCGCTCTTCGATTTTTTTTACTGCTCAAAGCTCCTTCGAGCATGAAACCCAGTTCCCCCGAAAGCCTTTATTTCAGGCTTCATTTTGATAGATTAGATGACTAGATTCTGTTTTGCCATTCTTTAGATTTCGATCATTTTTCGCAAGCAAGCAGCTGAGCTGAGCCTAAGCCTAGATCCAAATGATGGTCCCATAAAAGGATAAGATCAAGTTTTGTTCCGTTTATCTTTCCTTCAAAAAAAATGTTGAATCAAATGACACGACAACACCCACCGTATCCCATTTCAGATGATTCTAAGTAAAAAAAATGCATTTGGAGAATCTAGGGAACAAGTTTTATCTCAAGGAAAGGCCATTGCGAACGATATAAGTCCATGAAAATAGTCATATGCTAATTTTGAAAAGTACTCAGTGTAATCGATAAGTTCTGAAAGAATTGAGCTTATTTTTACAATGTTTACATTTCAAAAATTCGAATACCGTATTCTCTCTAATAGATCCAAAGCGTCGCCTAAATTCATCGAAATCTCGAGAACCGCTTATCAGAACCTATCGATGTGGGGTCAGGAAATGTAGCTGACGATGAGATCTAGTGGAGGATTAGAGTGTTGAGCTTCTGTGAAAGCTTAGAAACGATAAAATAGTCACCAACTCGGCTCACCGGAGTGCACTACTATTAGAGAGAATACGGTATCTTTTATGAGACAGGATCAAGCTACCGTATTCTCTCTAATAGTAGTGCACCTTGAGCGTTGCCTAAATTCCTCGAAATCTCGAAAAGCGCTTATCAGAACTTATCGATGTGGGGTCGGAAAATGTAGCTGACGATGAGATCTAGTGGGGGATTAGAGTGTTGAGCTTCTGTGAAAGCTTAGAAACGATAAAATAGTCACCAACTCGGCTCGCCACTACTATTCGAGAGAATACGATATCTGTATGATTTTACAATCTTTACATGATTTCGGAAGTTTTCTAAAGACTTCTAAAGCTTTATAAAGATTTCTAAAGACTTCTAAAGACTTCTAAAGACTTCTGAAGATTTCTAAAAACTTTTAAAGACTTCTAAAGATTTCTAAAGCTTTCTAAAGACTTCTAAAGCTTTCTAAAGACTTCTAAAGATTTTTAAAGACTATCCGTTTAATCTATTCTTATATTGAAAAACATCTTTGAAGCAAGATTCAGGAAATCTTTGTAATACATTCTTTTTCTCAATCTCATCTTTTTTAAAACAAACGAACACTTGTTTTGATTGGTACTGTATGATTGAAAGAATGAGAGAAATAAGATCTTTTTTTTCTTTTCCTCAAATCGTAGATCTGCCAACAGCTGGCACGCGCCGCCTACAATAGATGAGAGAAGGGAAAAGGAAAGAGAAGAGAAAGAGGAAGAGGAAGAGAAAAGAAAAGAGAAAAGAAAGGAGAAGAGGAAAGAGAGAAGTGCAGAAATATCAAGAAAAGATTGAGATTGAGAGATTTTTCATGAAGAACTAGAGAAATCCAGAGAAATAGACGATGAAGAGAAAGAAGAAATGGAATAGAGTGAAGATTTGATGAGTGGAGAGGCTGTTGGAATGGCCAGGCTCCACACCGTCTCCTTTTTCTCACTTTTTACAGTTATCTAGATTCCTAGAATGTATATTTTTACTTTCAAAATCAAGATTTAATTGTTTACGAGACATTACAAAGTCCAGCTTCTTTAGATTTGTTTTTTTTCTTTGCTTAAACTTTGTATCAATTGTGTTACCTTTTTTTGATTGAATATCTTTAAAAGATGTTAATTATTATCAGTGAATTTGAGTGAATTTGAGTGAATTTGAGTGAATTTGAGTGAATTTGAGTTAATTTGAGTTAATTTGAGTGAATTTGAGTGAATTTGAGTTAATTTGAGTGAATTTGAGTGAATTTGAGTGAATTTGAGTGAATTTGAGTGAATTTGAGTGAATTTGAGTTAGTTTTAGTTAATTTGAGCTTTAATTTGAGTGAATTTGAGTTAATTTGCGTTAATTTTAGTTAATTTTAGTTAATTTAAGTTAATTTGCGTCAATTTGAGTGAATTTTAGTTCGTTTGAGTTAATTTGAGTTCGTTTAAGTTAATTTGAGTTAATTTCAGTGAATTTGAGTTCGTTTGAGTTAATTTGAGTTCGTTTAAGTTAATTTGAGTTAATTTCAGTGAATTTGAGTTCGTTTAAGTTAATTTGCGTCAATTTGAGTTAATTTGCGTCAATTTGCGTCAATTTGAGTTCATTTGAGCTTTAATTTGAGTAATCCTAGTTCTAATCTCTTCTTTGTTGTAATTCATTATGAATTCTAAACGATTTTCAGCGTAGAAGAGACGCAAAACTCGAATGAATCACTTCAAGCTCATCTGGATCATTTTGTTAAGTTTAGTAAGTTTTTAGGAAAGCTTTAAAACTAGGCAAATAAAGGAATTTGATATTATATTTGATAATTTATGTATTATAGTATTATATTATAGATTATCAAATAGAACTTCATGATTTCTTTTAGTTTAAACCCATTTACGGAAAAGGATGGCTTGATTTTTCGCTCAATCGCCTCTCATGGAAAGTACAAAAGGAAAATGGTTTGTTAAAGAGATTAGATTTTGTAAAAGAAAATGAAAAACAAAGCTTAGAAGTCTTACAGACATATTTTCGTACTTAAACAACTTAGATCCTTAAAGGATGGCTTAGGATGGAAAGTTAAAGGCTTGAAAGTTAAAGGCTTCAAAGTTAAAGGCTTCAAAGTTAAAGGCTTCAAAGTTAAAGGCTTCAAAGTTAAAGGCTTCAAAGTTAAAGGCTTCAAAGTTAAAGGCTTCAAAGTTAAAGGCTTCAAAGTTAAAGGCTTCAAAGTTAAAGGCTTCAAAGTTAAAGGCTTCAAAGTTAAAGGCTTCAAAGTTAAAGGCTTCAAAGTTAAAGGCTTCAAATTTAAAGGCTTGAACTTTCAAGCCTTTAACTTTCAAGCCTTTAACTTTCAAGCCTTTCAATTTAAAGGCTCATCACTGATTGGCACTCTCTGTGTTGGGCTACGTCGTGTAGGGATGACGGATCGAAGTAAAGACTGCTCACTCGCACATCATCAATTCGAGATTGAGGTTTGGCTTGAAAAAGACAGCTGATAAGAGCTCATTTTTGCGCTGTTGTTTGTTGTTTTCTAGTTATTTTCTTTTTTAGTTACCGTATTTTCTCTAATAATAGTTCAGTCGGTGAGCCGAGTTGGTGACTATTTTATCATTTCTAAGCTTTCACAGAAGCTCAACACTCTAATCCTCCACTAGATCTCATCGCCAGCTACATTTTCCGACCCCACATCGATAGGTTCTGATAAGCGGTTCTCGAGATTTCGATGAATTTAGGCGAGGCTTAGAGTCCTATTAGAGAGAATACGGTAGCTTCTCTATTTTAATTTGATCTCCCTTCTCTTTCTTCTCTTCCTTCCTCCCTTCCTTCCTTCCTCCCTTCCTTCCTTCCTCCCTTCCTTCCTTCCTTCCTCCCTTCCTTCCTTCCTTCCTCCCTTCCTTCCTTCCTCCCTTCCTTCCTTCCTCCCTTCCTTCCTTCCTTCCTCCCTTCCTTCCTTCCTTCCTCCCTTCCTTCCTTCCTCCCTTCCTTCCTTCCTCCCTTCCTCCCTTCCTTCCTTCCTTCCTTCCTCCCTTCCTTCCTTCCTCCCTTCCTTCCTTCCTTCCTCCCTTCCTTCCTTCCTCCCTTCCTTCCTTCCTTCCTCCCTTCCTTCCTTCCTTCCTCCCTTCCTTCCTTCCTTCCTTCCTTCCTTCCTTCCTTCCTTCCTTCCTTCCTTCCTTCCTTCCTTCCTTCCTTCCTTTCTCTTCCTATTTCTTTAAAAGCCGATAGCTCAGTGGTAAAGCTAAGCAAAACCCTCGGGTTCGATTCCTTTTTCATTTCAAATTCTTTCCTAATCATTTCCATATTACAACAATAATCTCCAAATTTAGAGTCAAATCTTCTCTGAAACGAAAGCACACAAAGCAAAGATCCCATTTACCGTTCGTTGGCCGGCACAGGTTGGTAAAGATTTTCAAAAGAAATTAAACTTCGACTTCTTAAAGAAATTCAAATTTCCGTTTGATGTTTTTTCATTTATTTTTTGCCTAATCTCCTTGCCTTCTTGACCCGATGAAGTGCCAATTTTTTTGCTTGTAGATTTTCATTTAACAATATGCCACAAAAATGCGACAAAAATTTGCATAATGCGCTAATTGATGGGTGTTTTGGCACTGTAATTATCTGACCGTTTCTTTGATTGAACAGATTTTTGGCACAAGTGGTTCCTGCATGTTCCTGTTCCACACTTAATTGGATTACGAGAAGTGGCTTTGTGTGGGGGGGGGGAGCTGTAGCTTTTGAAACAGAGTAGAAGAATGGCTTTGTAGAGTACTGTAATGTACAAGCTGAGAAGATACGGACAGAGTACTGTAATGTACAAGAAGAGAAGATACGTGCAGAGTACTGTAATGTACAATACTGTAACGAAAACGGTTATGGTGCCTTTTTCTAGCTTTCTAGAGTGAAAATTGAGTACAGTGCAAGCTTTATTGACGAATTGTACAGTACTGTACAGTACAAATTGTAGAGTACTGTAATGTACAATATGAGTACAATGTAGTACAATACAAACAGTACAAATTGTACTGCACAGTACAGTACGATACTTAATACAATTTTTAGTACCGGTTAGACCCGTTTAATGAGTCTGGAGAAAATCTCCAGACGGTCTGCCTCGCCCTTCAATTTTTTACTGCACAAAGCTCCTTCGAGCATGAAACCCAGTTCTCCCGAAAGCCCTTATTTCAAGCTTCATTTTGATACTAAACATGGTTACGTTCTGTTTTACCATTCTTTAGATTTCAATCAATCTTTCACCGGACTCGATAAGCTTAACAAGTCCAGAAAAATAATCGAAATCTAAAGAATGGCAAAACAGAACCTAGTCATGTTTAGTATCAAAATGAAGCTTGAAATAAGGGCGTTAGGGAGAACTGGGTTTCATGCTCGAAGGAGCTTTGTGCAGTAAAAAATCGAAGAGCAAGGCCGACGGTCTGAAAAGTTTGCCCGGACTCGTTAAGCAGATCTAGCTCGATCATATCTTCTCTTCAAGCATGAAACCCAGGTTCCCCGAAAGCCCTTATTTCAAGCTTCGTTTTGATACTAAACATGGTTAGGTTATGTTTTGTCATTCTTTAGATTTCGATCAATCTTTCTCCGGACACAATAAGCTTAATGAGTCCAGAAAAATAATCGAAATCTAAAGAATGGCAAAACAGAACCTAGTCATGTTTAGTATCAAAATGAAGCTTGAAATAAGGGCGTTAGGGAGAACTGGGTTTCATGCTGGAAGGAGCTTTGAGCAGTAAAAAATCGAAGAGCGAGGCAGACTGTCTGAAAATTTTGTCGGGACTTAAGCAGATCTAGTACCAGCGCTTTTCAGTAGAAAGTATTGTGAAGTACTGAAAGCATAAGTCAGATTAAATTGCTGTACTAGTCAGTACGACTGTCCTGTGAAGATACAGGACAGAAGACTGTCCTGTGCTTTGTTCAAGATTAAAATCGAAATCTCCTCAAATCTTTGTTTCAATTCTTTTCTTTCTTTTCTTTCTTTTCTTTATTCAAAACTCAATAAACCTTGAAAACTCGGTGGTCAAAATCTAATTGTTTTTTTGAAAGAAAGACAGGTAGAGAAACTGGAAGAAAGGAAAAGAAATGTGGAAAGAGGCAATAATCGTCACTCTCACTTTATGAGGTCCCCTCCAATACTCTCAACCATCCACAATAGACAAAACGAAAAATCGGTGACAGGAGGGTGCTTTACCGGATTGTAAAAGAAGAAGAAGAAGAATTTAGAAGAATTCTTCGTAATTAAACCAATCAAAATTGCAAGTTAGCTTATTTTAGTGTACAAAATGTCGAAAAAACAGAAACTAAGCAACAAAGCCGGTTTTGCTGCAAGTTTTGCTTACTGAAGTCAATAAGATTTCTAGAATTAGTAGGTTGTTCGGATCTAAACAAGCGTTTGCACTGCTTAACTCGTTAGGAAGCCATTTCCCGTATCTGATCGTCTTTCCAATGGCGTCCGATGGCGTCCAATGGCGTCCAATGGCGTCCAATGGCGTCCAATGGCGTCCAATGGCGTCCAATGGCGTCCAATGGCGTCCAATGGCGTCCAATAGCGTCCAATGGCGTCCAATAGCGTCCAATGGCGTCCAATGGCGTCCAATGGCGTCCAATGGCGTCCAATGGCGTCCAATGGCGTCCAATGGCGTCCAATGGCGTCCAATGGCGTCCAATGGCGTCCAATAGCGTCCAATGGCGTCCAATAGCGTCCAATGGCGTCCAATAGCGTCCAATGGCGTCCAATAGCGTCCAATGGCGTCCAATGGCGTGGAGATGCTCACCAATAGTACGGTTTCACGGTCGAATTTGGCCGTTATCCTGGTTATCCTGGTCCTAGCCATTGACGTTTTCGAATAGTATTATCGAAATAGATCCACTTCTCATCTCCAGTAACGAGAGAATCAAAAAAGCCATGATCTTTAGCGTGACGGATGAGAATTCCGGCATAAGCGACCCGTGAATCCTTGTTTGCACTGCTTAACTCGTGAGGAAGCCATTTCCCGTATCTGATCGCCTTTCCAATGGCGTAGAGATGCTCATCAATAGTAGAATTGTTGAGAAAACATAGAAACTGTTGAGCAAGTTCACGCGTCGTTTGACATGGATTTGATTCGATTGCAGCCGTCAAAATATCATTGTCTACCGTTTGAGGTCGGCGAGAGTGTTCATGATCCTCCGATCCATCCTTCATGATCCTTCGATCCATGACCGAGACTTTCATCACCATTCCGAAAGCGTTAGAACCAGGGATCGGCATCGGCTTTCGAACAATACATCATTGTACATCATTCCCAAATGCTTTGACCAAATCTCGATGGGATTCCGCGACTGTTTTGCCCAGTTTGAAGTCGTAAAGTAGGCAGATTTGAAAGTAAAGTAGTCAGACTTGGGTAGACTGAAATGGGCATACTTGAAATCGTACTCGTTTCTTGATTTCCTTTCTTTTAAAATATTTAAAAATAAACCCTTTCTAGTGCACTGAATTAACAATTCTTGAGTCTTTTTGACAGAATCTCTCCTCAATCAATCAATTTACCATTACGTAACAATCGAAATAAGACTCAAATTCTTTTGAATCACAGATGTTCTCTTGTTTTTAGGGAACTGTTCTCTTGTTTTTAGAGAACAACTCTCACTGTAGGGCACGCACAATTGAGGACATTTTAAAGAGAAAAGAGATCCTTTTTTCCCCCTCTCAAACCATCCAAATCTTCCAAATTGGTCTTTACAAATAATGGCCACTTTTTTTCAACACATTTCCCTGTGAGACTCGATGGAACCACCAGACAAGGACATCGGGATTTATTGGTTTAAAGAAGAAGGGTTTTGGAGTGATCAAATTCTCAAAAATACAATTAAAAGCTATTCCTTTAGCTGTTGAAGTTGGTTGTTGAAAGAAAAGAAAAAAATAGAACTTGAGATCGATGGGGAATTGAACCATCGACCTTCCGCTTACTGGACAAATGCTCTACCACTGAGCTATCCGCGCCTACTTTTCCAGCGCGCCTTCTTTTCCAGAGCGCCTGCTTTTCCAGAGAAGAAATAGAAAAGACAAAGAAGAGAAAGAAAAGAAGAGAAAGAAGAAAGAGAAACTCTTACCTCTGCTATAAGAGGATGCCACGCCGACCGGAAAACTAGCAGCTGTGGTCTAGGGGATAGTGCTTTAGGCTATCAGACTAATCAGACCTCCGCTCTCGGGTTCGATTCCCCCTGCCGCCTTGAAAATTTTTTGCATAAGATTTTTGAAGTTTCTAATGTTGTTTTCAGTTTTTTGATGGGAAACTAAACCGGGACTAGTTTGCTGTTTTAAAATCTAAATTACTAAAGCCACTAGGTTCTTTGTCAATAATCCCAAATCGTTAGCGCTTTTTTTTGAGGGAAATAATCCCAAAAATTCCTAAGTCATTGGGTTATCGTTGAGAAGAATCCTTTGGGAATTGATTATTCATTTTCTCGGGAACTCATTCACTTCAATCTCACTCAATTTCTCCCTTTTTCGAGCTCTCGTTTGAAGAATTTCCATGAAAGTGTGTCAGAGTGCAAGAAAATGAAAAGAATCTAAATCTATTCTGTGTCAGACGTTTAAAATTCAAGCCATAATAGTCTAGCCTTGTCATTGGCTTAGATTAAGCTTTAAATATCTGATGTGCTAGCTAGATGTACTATCTGATGTCTAGATGTACTATCTGATGTCTAGATGTGCTATCTGATGTCTAGATGTACTATCTGATGTACTAGATGTACTATCTGACGTCTAGATGTACTATCTGATGTATTAGATGTACTATCTGGTGCACTAGATGTACTATCTGATGTACTAGATGTACTATCTAATGTCTAGATGTACTATTTAATGTCTAGATGTACTATATGATGTACTAGATGTACTATCTAATGTACTAGACGTACTATCTAATGTCTAGATGTACTATCTAATGTCTAGATGTACTATCTGATGTCTAGATGTACTATCTGATGTACTAGATGTACTATCTAATGTACTAGACGTACTATCTAATGTCTAGATGTACTATCTGATGTCTAGATGTACTATCTGATGTCTAGATGTACTATCTGATGTACTAGATGTACTATCTAATGTCTAGATGTACTATCAGATGTCTAGATGTACTATCTGATGTCTAGATGTACTATCTGATGTCTAGATGTACTATCTGATGTACTAGATGTACTATCTAATGTCTAGATGTACTATCAGATGTCTAGATGTACTATCTGATGTCTAGATGTACTATCTGTTGTCTAGATGCTGTAAATAGTGTACTGTAGTCGGCCATTGATTCCCAGCCACAGTCTACTTCTGCTCAAATCGATCCGGAAATCAACGTGAACGTGCATGGATTGGGTGAAGTGTTGGGCAGTTGGTGTGGTGTTTATACAGTAGATAATCCACCCTTCTTTCTCCACACTTCAAAAGGGGCAGCCGCTTGACGCTAAAGAGAGAACCTTCTCAAGCATTTACCCAAGAAAACCATGAAAAAAAGGGTTGAGTTGATTGAGTGAAATTGACAGTTTTATTGTGAAATTGACAGATTTCTTGTGAAATTGAGTAACGGATTGAGGTCGAAATGAACTTTGGCTCTTCTTGTGGAGGTAATGATGATTTTCTTATGAAATCAATGATCTTCTAGTCATAAAAATGATATGAAAGCTGAAAGCTGAGGGAATTTCTGTAAAAAAACACTAAATTCCAATCTTCTGTACGATCTATTTACTAAAGTCGTTACTAGTCATTTTATAAAAGCTCTATAGAAAGCTATAGATGTGGATTGTACCTTATTTCAATTAAGAAATTAATCTAAAAGCCTAATTGCTTTCAAACTGCTGACTGCTTTAAAGGGTTTCTTCCTAGATGTTGGTGTTGTTGGTGCGGCTGTGGATGTTGACGTTGGTGGATGTTGGTGGCTTAGTGGATAACGCATTAGATTTCCAGCCACTGGATCAAGGTTCAATCCTTGATGCAGCTTTTTGTTCTTCTTTTAGAGCAACTTCCAGCATTTTTCAACTGGTTCTAGGCTTCAAACTAACCAGTCTTTCATTTTTCTGATTATAACTGTAAAAACATTGAGCATTCAATTGAAGATGGAGAAAGAACGGGAGTGATTGAGAACGAAGACAGATTAGAGAGAATTCAATCATCTCTGCGTTCTGTTTCTCGTCCAATTTGAAGAGGAGTGGTTAAAGCCTTAAAGCCTAAAGCCTTCAGATGTCAAGAAGATTCTAAAAATCAAGAAAAGAATCTAAAAAGCTCAATGCTTTAGAACTGCTAACTGCTTTAAAAGGCTTCTTCCTAGCTTCTTCCTAGCTTCTTCCTTCCTAGTAAAGAGATGTTGATGGCTTGTTCTTTGTGCTTTAACACACCTTTTCTAGTGTACTAGATCGTGAATATCGCTTGGAATTGAAAAGTATAGGATCCTGATTGTTCTAGAGTTTAAGAATTACGTTTTTGATTGATTTTTTGAGATAAATTGATGAAAAAAGGTTAAAAACAATGTTTTTGATTGATTTATTGACTCTAAATAATGTTTTTGATTGATTTACTTACTCTAATGCTTCTGTTTCTAATTCTATTTCATCAAGAGAAGTTAAATTATAAAAAGAATTAGATAATGTCAAAGTGTCAGCTTTCAAAACCGTTTGAAACCCCTCAAACCAAGCACTCATAAATCTCAATGTTGTCATTTTAAAGAAGAAGAAGATTCCGGAAATGTCATTGTAATGGCAGTGAAATGGTGTCAATGAAAGAAAAGGGAAAAGAGACAAACAAAAGAGAGCTTTGGAGGGGAATGGTGTGAATGAATGATTGACTGTTTCTCTTTTCCCCTTTTCCCCCATTTTGACAAAGGCAGATGCCGACGGCGCTGTTGGAGAGTCTTCAGTTTTAAAATGGACTCAAGTGTTGCATTTCTGAATGATTCATAGGAAATAAAAGGGATTTCGATTTAGATTATATTGGGTTGGGGACTATGACTCGGCGCCGAAAATCAAAAAAATGTCTAAAACTTCTATTCGACTTCGTCAAATAATATGCGTTTGATATCAGTAGAATGGTTAACTAATTCTCTACAAAATCACATTTAAAAGAAAATTCAAACAGCGCCTCCGCTCAAGAAAAAGCCATTTTTTCACAAAAACTACAAACTGTCATCTAGAAAAAACAATTGGTGGGATCTTCCTGCAAATTTGGCAACTTAAGTAATTGAATGTGCTCTATCTTTTTTATATAAACACCAAAGAAGGTTTATGTGAAAGAAACTGTTCAAATGATGAGTCGGGCTCTTTGCCATTTTAACCAGCTGCGTTTGGAAGTTCATAAACTCCACGAAAGAAAAGCTTTGTGGAATCTCTCAAAAGTGATTTTGTAGAGAAATAGTGGATCCTTTTGATGAAACCAAACGTATATTTAAAGAAGGCTTTATGTGTGCGAAAAGTCCCTTTAAAGTTTGGCGCCGAGTCATAGTCCCCAACCCAATAGATTCGTCAACTTTAAATGATTGAAAAACTTGAATTGAAAAGATTTTCAAGAAAAAGGAAAAAGAGACAAACAAAAGAGAGCTTTGGAGGGGAATCGTTTCAAGTATTAAAAGAGTTTTTCTTTTGATTCTTTCATTTACATCAAGATTTGAATTGTTGAATCGAGATTTGAATTGTTGTATCAAGATTTCAATTGTTCTATCGAGATTTCTATAGTTAAATCGAGATTTGAATTGCTAAAAACCAGATTTCAATGGTTAAATCAAGTTTTCAATTGTTTTATCGAGATTTCCATTGTTAAAACGAGCTTTCCATTGTTCTATCGAGATTTGAATTGTTGAATCATTTCTAAACACTGCCAATCACTTTTCCCAGAAAACAATGGGCCAAGTAGTCACAGCGAAAACTTACTTTTGAAATGTTGTAGAAAGACATTAACCTGTACATTTGTAATTCAATGCTCATTTTGACGAAGACTCTCCAACAGCGCCGTCGGCATCTGCCTTTGTCAAAATGAGGAAAAAGGGAAAAGAGAAACAGTCAATCACTAGAGATTTCAACTGTTAAATCGAGATTTCTAAACACTGCCAATCACTTTTCCCCAATCTTATCGCACTTTATGAATGATAGATCTCAAATAAAAACGATCTAGATGATAGATCTAGATCTAGAACACTTTATTGAATTATTGAATCGATTTCAAAAGAAAACAAGCAATATTTCGATCAATCTCTAAATTGAAATTCATATTTCCATTTTCAGAAAACGATCTACGTGACATTCACCGCGAATACACCAAATGATCTTGAGGGAATCGTCCTTTTCGAGCAACGCAGACTCTTCCAATTCAACCCGAAAAGTTTCGAGTTCAAATTGAAAGAGGTAAAGCTAACAATTGAAAGATCACACTTAAAAAGTGAAAATTAACATTTAAAAAGTGAAAAATAACACTTAAAATGCAAATAAACCTTTAGCAAGTCGCCCAAAACTCAATCGATTTCTCTCTACGCGTTCGCTGTGCTGATCATTTCTTCGGTGACGGATGCGATCTTTTTTGCGAGACGTCAAAAAGGTAAAAATGATTCGTTCAATGGTTCAAATCGATTGGTTAAATTATAATTAACAGTTTTAAAACATTGAAAAAAGCCTTTTTTAAAAAAATCCAAAAAATTCGACGCCGAGAGGAATCGAACCCGGCTTCGGCTCTTAGGCTGGACCGCCTCAGCGCCTTAGACCACTTGGCCAACCCGACAGACGTTTCCCCCGCTCAGTTTTTCGATTTTATTGAACTAATACAAGATTTTCAAGGACGTTTAGGCACTTTTTGGACCCGGGGTATAGGGCTAAATTATTTCCTATTGATAGGCGTCCGGATGGCCTAGTGCCTTGGCCTTGGGATAGTGCATTGGCGTCCCACGCGAATCACTGCGAATCATTGACTTTGACCCTGGTTCGATTCCTCTCACTCTCCGTCTTGGTATCCTAGGATTGGGGTATCTAGGATTGGGGTATCTTTTATACACAGTGGAGGATACCCCCATCCTAGGATACCCCATTAAAAGGATACCCCCATAAAAGGATACCACTCGCATTGATTTTAACCCTGGTTCGATTCCTCTCACTCTCCGTCTTGGTATCCTAGGATTGGGGTATCTAGGATTCAGGTATCTTTTATACACAGTGGAGGATACCCCCATCCTAGGATACCCCATTAAAAGGATACCCCCATTAAAAGGATACCACTCACATTGACTTTAACTCTGGTTCGATTCCTCTCACTTTCCATCTTGTTTTATACTGTAAACTAACATTAAAACAAGTCTCAAATGTGTTATGTCTCTGTTTCAAATGTTTTATGTCTCTGTTCGATTCCTCTCACTTTCCATCTTCTTTTATACATTTGAAACAGAGACATAAGACATTTTAAACTTGTTTTAATATTATTTTACATTAAAATGATTGACTTTTCTAATGAAATTTCATTTATTTCAAGTTTTATTTCAATTATTGCCTTTTTTGTAATGCAATTAGTGCAAGAAACGAAAAGATAGCTTTCTGAATAGCTTTATTAAACCAAAAAGAGTTTAGTTTCGATTCTACTGGAAAATTCAACTATTCCTGTGGGCCAGAGGGTGAGCGATTGTGTTCGGCAGGTTTGTTGTTGAGTTGGTTTCAATTTTTCGCATTTTAAACACGGAAATCTTTCAAAACTATATGAAAATAGAAATTTCGCAGTCTTATTTCGTCTTATTTCGATCAAAAGAATTTTTTAAACAAAAATTTTTGAACAAAACACTCAAAGCTCTTATTCTATAGTTGATTTATGTTTCAATTACCGTAGCTTACAAGTACAAGTACCGTAGCTTACAAGTACAAGTACCGTAACTTACAAGTACAAGTACTGTAGCTTACAAGTACAAGTACTGTAGCTTACAAGTACAAGTACCGTAGCTTACAAGTACAAGTACCGTAGCTTACAAGTACAAGTACAAGTACCGTAACGTAAGTTCAAGTACCGTAGCTTACAAGTACAAGTACCAAAAGCTCTTTTCACACGATTATCGATCTTCAAATAAGATTACGGCGATAAGAAGTCATAGAATAAAGCTAGAAGATCGTTAATGAGTTTCCTGGTTTGCAGAAGGATTAGAAAGATTTTATTGGCTTTCTTTTGGTTTACAATTGGATTCCGATGGGTTGAACTTTCGCATAAAGTAGCTTTGAAAGCTTTGAAAGCTAAAGTTTTCTTATTCTCTTTCTTTCTTTCTCTTGCCCCTTGTATTTCTTATTTCTTTGGAAAGAAGATACAGCTCAATGGTTAAAGTATTTGCCTGGAAAGCAAAAAAGGCGGAAAAAACGTCGATGGTTCAATCCCTTCTCCAGTTCAATCATTTTCAAAGCTCTAAACTTTAGGATGGTCGGGTTTTTTGTGTGATACGCCAATGTGCAATGAGAACTGTTTACACGGTGAATGCATTGGTCCAAATAAATGTTCGTGTTTTGATGGATGGATGGGGGAAAAGTGTGAGAGATGTGTTCGGAAAAATGGCTGCAAAATGGGCTTCTGCAATTTGCCTGGCGAGTGTCGATGTGAAAATGGATGGATTGGGGATTTGTGCGAGAGGTGAGTGATCACAAGGAGTACTTTGTGCTCGGAAAGCCTTTATCGCATTCGATCTGGTGCACTGATTGCTACAAGAAAAGGCGTGTTCACAAGAAGTACTTTGTGCGTGCCTTTATCGCATTCGATCTGGTGCACTGATTACTGCAATAAAAGGCGTGTTCACAAGGAGTACTTTGTGCTCGGTATGCCTCTATCGCATTCGATCTGGTGCACTGATTGCTGCAATAAAAGGCGTGTTCACAAGGAGTACTTTGTGCTCGAAACTTTGTACTTTGTGCCTTCATCGCATTCGATCTGGTGCATTGATTGCTGCAATAAAAGGCGTACTTTTGTGCTAAATAGTTGGAAATTAAAAGAAATCATCACTTTCTTGCGCCAGAAAGGCTGCGTTTCGAGCACAAAGTACAAAGCACTCGTTTACTGCTTACTGCAGAAATGGTGTACTTTGTGTACCGCTCGAAGCCGCTCGAAACGCATCCTTTCTGGCGTACCATTGAGAACTCGCTGTCCACGATCTAGTACGCCAGAAAGGGTGTCTTTATTGATGACTTTTGTGTGCCAGAAAGGCTGCTTTTTCAGCACAAAGTACATCTGAAGAATCTGAAGAAAATCGTTGTTTTAATCATTTGTTTTTCAGGGAACAATCTATTTGCGAGACAAAAAATCCCTGTATTCATGGAAGCTGTCATTCAACGAAAAATGCCCATCTTTGCAACTGTACTCAAGGATTCACTGGTCAAAATTGTGATCAAAAGGTAGTGGAATTGATTTTTGAAAGCCAGCAAAACAGTTTTAGATCGAAATCTCGACGATTTCAATCGTTCCAAGCATTCCAAGCATCCCAATCGTTCCAATGTGCACCCCGAAACTATGCAAAAACGGACGCTGCATTCAGCACTTTGATGGGCAAAAGTATGGCCTCAAATGTGAATGCTTAAGCGGATTTCATGGAGAGAAATGCGAGCAAAGCAATGACGACTTTCATAAGGGTAAGTTGTGCAAAAAAAAAATGCCTAATTTCAACGGCGCTTTGCTGGCTAATGGGCAACAACATTGGGCAGATTACCTGCTGTAATCTGCCCAATGTCTGCCCAATGTTCTGCCCAATGTTCGGCCCAATGTTCGGCCCAATATTCTGCCTAATGTCTGCCTAATGTCTGCCCAATGTCTGCTCAATGTCTGCCCATTGTCTGCCCAATGTCTGCCCAATTTTCTCCCCAATTTTCTCCCCAATATTCTCCCCAATGTCTGCCGTAATCTGCTCAAGTTTCCATTCGATCAAACCCAATTTTGGAAACGCAAGCCTCAGTAAATGATACAAAAATTGGGCTCATCAAAAGGAAACTTGGGGACCAGATTACGGTAGTTTGTCTTATAGAAAGTACAAAATGATCTCTAATAATGAACATTAAAACATTATTTTCACAGATTTCAAGGATTTATGCAAAAATTTGAGGCAGAAATAGTTGAAATTGAAAGCAAAAAAATTGTAGAAGGCAAAAGGCAAAAGAAAATTTGCTCAAAAAAGTCACAACAAAGTTCACTTTGACTTCCGGAAAGATACGATTTGGGTTTCCAGAAGAAAATCGATGTGTCTGCAAACAAGGCTTACAAGGGAGGATGGTAGGATGTTAAATGTGATCAGCGATAGACGATTGAACGCCGAATTAAACGCTGGGGAGAAAATTGGGCAGACATTGGGCAGACATTGAGCAGGACATTGGGCAGACATTGAGCAGGACATTGGGCAGGACATTGGGCAGGAGATTGGGCGACAATAAATCAATAAGCAATCAACAATAAATCTCTTCTTTCAGCCAATCAATCATCAATCTTCGATTCTCAGCTCTCGAACTTTTGGACAAGCTCGCATTTAACTTTTATCTTTTTAACATCATCATTCACTTTGGTAAACCTATGTGGATGTGTCTGCTGTTGGAGATTTATGAAGAAAATCTCGAAAGGAAAAGCGAACATTGAGATGGATTGTTTTGCGGTCACGACTCACGATAAAGTTGGTGGGATTTTCGATAGTAAAAGAATTAAAAGAGTATCGAGATCCAAAATTCATAATCCAGCGCTCCATAATCCAGAGATCTATAATCCAGAGCTCCATAATCTAGAGATCCATAATCCAGAAATCCATAATCCAGCAATCCATAATCCAGAGCCCCATATCCAGAGCCCCATAATCCAGAGCTCCATAATCCAACAATCCATAATCCAGCAATCCATAATCCACAAATCCATAATCCAGCTCCATAATCCAGAGCTCCATATCCAGAGCTCCATAATCCAGAGCTCCATAATCCAGAGCTCCATAATCCAGAGCTCCATAATCCAACAATCCATAATCCAGAGCTCCATATCCAGAGCTCCATAATCCAGAGCTCCATAATCCAGAGCTCCATAATCCAGAGCTCCATAATCCAGAGCTCCATATCCAGAGCTCCATATCCAGAGCTCCATAATCCACAGCATCCATAATCCAACAATCCATAATCCACAAATCCATAATCCATCAATCCATAATCCATAATCCACACTAGTCTATCAGTTTATTTATTTCATTAGTGATTTAACAATGTTTCCCCCTTTCAGTCTTGCGTCCATCCGTGCAATTCTTCGTCGACGAGCCCTTTCTTCAGCCAAACCCACTATCATCAACGCAATTCCACCGTTTCTCACTCGATTACCCTCCTTTAATCGTCACCAGGTGAATTTTAAACGAAAGAATTTATTCTAAGCTGCTCTTTGTGCTCAGAAATAGAAACACATCCTTTCTGGTGTGATTATTTGGAAATGGAAAGAGATGGAAAGAGCTAAGTGCGCTAAAAGAAATGCTAAAAAACGCTAAAAGAATAGCCAAAGGAAGCGCCAAAAAAACGATAAAAGAGACGCTAAAAGAAACGCCAAAAGAAACGCCAAAAAACGCTAAAAGAAACACCAAAAGAAAGACCAAAAGAATCGCGTTTTAAAGAGCACAAAGTACACCTAAAAAGCAATCTAATCCTGCAAATCTGACGAATAGCTAAAGAATGAAAAGAATGTGAATGTCATCGAGAATTTCATCGAGAATTTAAAGCCAGCTTTAACCAACATGACAAATAGCTGATTAAAGCTCATCTAATATCTGCTCATCTACAAATTTCCTCATCTTAAAAGCCGATTTAAGGTCCAATTTGAATGCCTGAATGCGCTAGAAAGTGCGCTAGAAAGTGCGCCAGAAGGTGCACTAGAAAGCGTGCCAGAAAGTGCGCCAGAAGGTGCACTAGAGAGTGCGCTAGAAAGTGCGCCAGAAAGTGCGCTAGAAAGTGCACTAGAAAGTGCGCCAGAAGGTGCACTAGAAAGTGCGCTAGAAAGTGCGCTTGAAAGTGTGCTAGAAAGTGCGCCAGAAAGTGCGCCAGAAAGTTATCTAATCGAATATGATTAAAAGAAATTTCAGTGCCCCAATTCCACCACCACGTCCACACGCTCCCCGTTACACCAATCAGCAACAATTGATAGATAAAAATGGATGGATTTCAAAGGAAATCAATGACAGAAGTCCGCCATGTTACAATGAACATTTTGCGTTGGAGAATGCGATGAATGAATGTCAAGAAAAGAAGAAAACGATGGTTTTTCTCGGTGATCCACCAGGTGTCACCGAGGATGAAGTCTAAGAGAGAAATTTGATTTAAACTATTGATCCAAGTATAAGTATCAAGTGTTACAAGTGTTACAAGTGTTAAAATGTACCTAGAACGCCACTTCAATAATGACGAGCGTACTTTTGTATAGAGTGTCCAAAAAAATCCAATTCAGATCAAATTTTCAATATTTCCGGTGGCTTAAGGTAATAGATATGGGAAAATCATTTTTTTTTGTTTCAGTTTGAGAAAGTTTTATGTTTTTTTGATGATTTTAAGCATATCATGACTCTAATACAAGAGGTTTCTAAGCCACCAAGCCAAAAACTCACTTTGGGTCTAATTTTAAATATTTCCGGTGGCTCAAGGTGGTAGATATGGTGGAAAAATGATTGTTTTGATGATTTTCATCAGATCTTTTCATTTCACCATTTCACTCTCCAATACAAGAGACTCCTAAGCCACCATGATCATTTCTAAGCCACCATAATCCTTTCTAAGCCACCATGGTCTTTTCTAAGCCACCATCGTCATTTCTCAGCCACTATGATCATTTCTCAGCCACCATGGTCATTTCTGACCCACCATGATCATTTCTCAGCCACCATGATCATTTCTAAGCCACCATGGTCATTTCTAAGCCACCATGGTCATTTCTAAGCCACCATGGTCATTTCTGACCCACCATGATCATTTCTCAGCCACCATGATCATTTCTAAGCCACCATCGTCACTACCATTTGCCATATAGTTGTCTAAATAGTTAAATAGCTTAATTTTACTTAAAATAAACTCAAAATAAACTCAAAATCATCACCAAAATCGGAAATATGTTTAAAATTTGAGCTGAAGTAGATTTCCTTTTGGATATCCTGTAGTTTATTGTGTTTGTGTAGATGGTTGCTTTCTGGTAAGCGTCTACAGAAACAAGGCTTTCTGGCACAGAAGTTTTCATTCATTTGTGATGGATGAGAGAAAATGAGTCAAAGATGCTAGAAAGTGTACGCTTTTGTTGATCACAAAGACAAAATTGTGATCAATTGAAAATTGAGTTATTTATTTAATAATTCTTAAAGATTTGTATTCATATTGTCTCCTGTAATTTCTTCTAAAGCTGTTATTGTAATTGTAATTGTAATTGTAATTGTAATTGTAATGTAAATTGCAAAAATTGACATTTTAACCTTTAAAACCCCTTTGAAACCCCTTTAAAACCCCTTTAAAACCCCTTTAAAACCCCTTTAAACCCCTTTAAAACCCTTTAAAACCCCTTTAAACCCCTTTAAACCCCTTTAAACCCCTTTAAACCCCTTTAAACCCCCTTTAAACCCCTTTAAACCCCTTTAAACCCCTTTAAACCCCTTTAAACCCCTTTAAACTCCTTTAAAACTCCTTTAAACCCCCTTTAAACCCCCTTTAAACCCCTTTAAACTCCTTTAAACTCCTTGAAACCCCTTTAAACCCCTTTAAAACTCCTTTAAACCCCTTTAAACCTTCGTTCAGCTTCACCTTTCATTCAAGAGCTTTCAAGAGCTTTCTCCACATTTTCTGGGTACTTTTAAATGTGCATTTTCTCTTGTGATTTTGATTTTTTGTAGAAATTTGTAAAAAAATGTTGAGATTTCAATAAAATTTCATTTTTAATTAGATTTTATCATTTAAAATCTAACGTAAATCCGGTAATTTCCATTGTGTTTGCAATTGTTCCAAAGTAAATATTCGCTTCTTCATCCGATTTTCGTTTCTTCATTTTCACAATCGGTACATCGGGATGGAGACGATTTCGACGTAAAAATGACAACAAAATTTTGCGTGTTTTCCGCCGGAAACTTGGCTCGATGATCAGAATTCCAGAGATTAAAATAATGCCGTAACTGAAAGATTTGATATTGTTAAAGCTTGGATTCGACTTGAAGACTTTGAACAGACTTGAAGAGACTTCGACTTGAATTCGAAAAGAGATTCGTTTAACTTGGATTATTGGCTTAGCGAATGGAACAAGCCGGAAGATGCTAAACTGGAACAAGCTAAACTAATGACTAACAAACTATACAGATTTAACGGATCGATTGCTATAAAAAACCAGAAAAGACCTTCCTTCAGTACAGGCCTTTGATAAAACTGGCTCAGGCCTAAGCCTAAGCCTGAACCTAAGCCTAACCGTCTGAGATCCAAAAAATGGGGGTTCAGCCCAAACCCAAATAGACTTAGTGCTAGGCGCTAGCCGCTAGCCTACGCACTAAGTCCAAGCCTAAGCCTCAGCCTAAGCCTCAGCCTAAGCCTGGGCCTGAGCCTGAACCTAAGCCTAAGCCTCAGCCTAAGCCTCAGCCTAAATCTAAGCCTGAGCTAAACTGGATTCGATTCGAAATTAAAGCTAAACTGGAAACTGACTCGAAAAGCTTCAATTTTCTTCTTCAATCTGGTGCTGAACTCTTTTCCTCTTTTCCTTCTTTTGTAAAGGGGAAGTTTTAACCAAGGTTCAAACCTAGGCCAAAAAAAACTAGACCCGTCAAACTAGAGCCTAACGCACTAACCACATGGCCAAAGCGACTATGTTCGGAGATCGTAAAATCGCTTGAAATTTGAAAAGAATGCGAAGAAAGGAATTGACGAATCCTCTTGAAAATGTAGTCATTAAGTAATGAATAAAAGAGGAAATTGTTGGATTGGTGTTTGCATTGCTTGCCTTGAAACGTCAGCCGCTATTTGGAACTTTCATTCCCTTCATTCCCATCATTCCCATCATTCCCTTCATTCCCTTGTTTCCCTTGTTTCCCTTGTTTTCCTTGTTTCCCTTGTTTTCCTTGTTAAAACCCTTGTTAAATCATTCCCTTGTTAGAACGAAGATGTTGATATTGATAAGATAGAGATGTTTAATTCATTCACTCTGAGAAACTCACATGCTTACAATTGCTTCTAGTGCGGCCACGCCGAGCTCCAACTCTGGTGATCCGATTGGGAAACAAATGAATGGGCCCGCAAAGATCACCATACCAAAAATACAGAAAAGCGCATGTCCGAGAACACCTCGACCAACCATCTGAATGAGAATTAGTGATGAAATCTCGAAAACACAACCCTTCTGGTGCACTAAGATACAAAAGAATTAACTCAGTGCACTAGAAAGGGTATGTTTTGAGTCTCAAAGTGCAGCTCTGGAAGGAAACTCACATGCAATGCCCGCAAATTCTCCTCCAATTGAAAGCGAATACTCAAACTGTACTTGCGAATCTCGTAGTCTTTCGTTAAAGAGTTGAACTTTTTATGATTATACCAATAAAGGGCCAAAAAAGTCTAAACATGGATTATCTTATGTTTTAATCAATCTAAACATGATTATCTTATGTTTTAATCAATCTAAACATGATTATCTTATGTTTTAATCAATCTAAACATGATTATCTTATGTTTTAATCAATCTAAACATGATTATCTTATGTTTTAATCCATCTAAACATGATTATCTTATGTTTTAATCAATCTAAACATGATTTTCTGATGTTTTAATCCATCTAAACATGATTATCTGATGTTTTAATCCATCTAAAGATGATTATCTTATGTTTTAATCCATCTAGACATGATTATCTTATGTTTTAATCAATCTAAACATGATTATCTTATGTTTTAATCAATCTAAACATGATTTTCTGATGTTTTAATCCATCTAAAGATGATTATCTTATGTTTTAATCCATCTAAAGATGATTATCTTTTGTTTTAATCCATCTAAAGATGATTATCTTATGTTTTAATCCATCTAAACATGATTATCCATCACCCACTCCAATTATCAACACCAATTGGGAATTGACAATGATAAACATCATGATGAAGAGGATACGTGTGAAATTGACACCAACTGGAAATGGGAATCTTGTCGAATGCTTATTAAGTGAACTTATAAGTGTCATCTATAGCTTTATTGCATCAAGATCGTATTGATGTTGATTTTGAAAAGATAGACGTTGAAATCTGTGTTTTCCAAAGCTTATCCGGTCTTAGTCTTAGTCTTAGTCTTACTAGTTAACTGTGAGGGCTAGTTTTTGCGACTAGGGTTGGTCCAAGAGCTTTTCGAACTAGTTTCGAACCAGGACAGGGTTAGGTTAGGGTTAAGACAGGGTAAGGGCCAGGTCAGCAGCTAGATCCTGGCTTGGCTTTGGTCTCCTTGTTTGGCTTATGCTGACTTACTGTAGGCCTGGCTTACTGTAGTCCTAGCTTACTGTAGCCTTAGCTTACTCTAGCCCTCGCTTACTGTAGTCCTCGCTTACTGTAGTCCTAGCTTACTGTAGTCCTAGCTTACTGTAGTCCTAGCTTACTGTAGTCCCGGCTTACTGTAGTCCTAGCTTACTGTAGTCCTAGCTTACTGTAGTCCTAGCTTACTGTAGTCCTAGCTTACTGTAGTCCCGGCTTACTGTAGTCCTAGCTTACTGTAGTCCTAGCTTACTGTAGTCCTAGCTTACTGTAGTCCTAGCTTACTGTAGGCTTATAAAAGTTTCTGTGATCTAGAACTTGAACCTGGCTTCTGATGGTTTAGCCTGCCTGCCTACAGACCCTAGAACCCAGTAACAGCTCTGTAAGTATCAAAAGTGCTGGCTCAAAGACCTAAATATCTCAGCAGCATTCCCCAAATGGAAACTGTTATTCTGACTGAGCAGTAGTCTGTGTAAACCCTTACAGAAAGCGTAAATCAATCCGGCAATCACTTGCACTGGAACCGAATAGCCGAAACAAAACACTTGCACCCAGGCACGTCGAAAATGCTCATAATCGCGTAGATAATAAGTGGCAAACGATCGCTCCATCACAATACTGTACAAGGCACAGATGGAAGCGACGTAGAGCTGAATCCGAGCTTGGGAGCAGATGAAAATCGGCAAATCAGTAAATACATTGCCTAAAGGGTTTTGATTTTGTTCGAAATTGGCAATAACCTGATATTGTGAAGGTGTCGAATTGGAAAAGGATGAGAATCATTCGACAGAGTTGAGAGAAAACGTGCTCAAATAGATATGTGCCTAAGATGTATCGGAAATTCTCGTGATACGCTGACGAGGTGACAACGACGTAGATGGCTAACTGGAAAGAGTGATATTGATTGTTGATTGATTTGTCTCAAACTCAAAGCAAACGCTAGCCGACGGGATTGAACTCTTGACCTCCCGATTATGACCTATCTTGCCTGATAGGGCTCTTAGTTGGCCACGGGCTCTTAGCCAGTTGGCCACGTGGACACAAGAATCGGGAACGTCTAGTAGTGGCTTATCAGATTGTTGCTTTTACCAGTTTGCGCTCAAATGCTCACAAATCTTACTGATCTCAATGCTCTTTTTAACTCAAAGCTTTCAGTTAGTGATCATTCTTTGCTCTCTAGTTTCAGCTAAAGAGAAAAGAATGATCCAAGGCTGTTCCAAAAACTTTTCTGAGACAAACTAAGGCTAGACTTTAGCCCTCATGCTTTAGATCAAGCCAGTTCTGATTACTCGAATCACATTTAAAGTATTCGGCTAAGGCTTAGGCTAATTTGAGCAAAGTTTGAGTTCGATCCAACTCGACAATCTCCAGCAACTCCGCATTATCGAGGACAACTGGACAATATCCATGAGGCTCATCCTCCAAGCCCTCACCCCCTTCACGAAAACGTCGAAACCATTCCTGGCAAGTCCTTTCACTCAAAATGTTTTCTCCGAATGTTTCACAAAGATTCCGGTGCGACTTCGATGATGATTTCTTCATTTTGAGATCATAGAGAAGGGACAACAATGAGTTTTTGATCCGTCATCTTCTACCGAAGATTATGTAATATTTAATGACAGCAATAGTTGTGAAAATAATTAAAATGAATAAGCAATAATAATACAATATAATACAATTTAAACCGGACCATCACACTTTCAAAAAAAAAAAACTTTCGTCCTCGGAAGTAATCCGCATTTTCTTTTGCAAGTCCCTAATAGCAAGAAACGAGTAAGATTTTGTACGAGTCATGGTCTGGAAAGTAGCTAAGCGATTTTTGCTATTAGAAGCTATGCTATGGGCATTGGCAAGAAAAACACTAGGGGAAAAGAGAACACCAAACTTTGGAAAGCTTTGGGAAAACGCATTTTCTTTTGCAAGTCCCTAATATATAGTATATTGTTTTTGATCAGGGTTAGGCTAGACTAAAACAAAAATTGGCGTTGATACAGATGTGACATGTTAAGCTAAGGCTAAGAAATCGTGAACCAGTCCCGTCTAGTCCGTATCGGACCGGTTAGGCCTAACTAGTAGACAAGGGTAGCCAGTTGATGACAAAATTCGGACCCTATGCTTTGTGTTTGACTTCAGACACTTCTTGCACTCTTTCTGACGCACTCAGTTTACCCGAAGCTTACTAGGGAAAGGCAAGAACTCAAGGTGAGCTTTTGTCTGGACACTTAATGCATTTTATAGAATCGGGTATGAGGAATCCGAATCTTTATAGAAAAACTGCAAAATGCTAGAAGTTCCTCCAAAAGGAAAACAAAAACGAAAAAAAAGGTGACGCCAAAAAGCTGTATCAGAGACCGAACTTTGGTTCTGTGAGCGGAAGCCTAATGTGTTATCCATTGGACCAAGAACCCATCATTTCGCATCATCGGTAAGACACTGACCTTGTCGCAGACGATAACTACGAAGTCCCAGCTCCTTTTTCACAATGTTCCGAACCGACCAATCCGAGATTTTCAGCTTCTTGGCCATTTTTCCTAAGCGTCGCTCGTCGTTTCGATCAATTCGCTGTTTGATGAGCTTCCGGATGTTTGGCGTGTTCACCGATCGAGGTCTTCCTTTTTCGGCTTCTCCTTGACGTTTCCTTTCTCTTGCAATTGTTTAGCAAGCCATTGAACAGTTCTGATGTTGGTTTTGAGCTTTCGCGAGATGGCCGCCTTCGACTCTCCAGCTTTCAAAAGCATGGCGATCGCTTCTCGATGAGGGCAAGCTTGTATTTCTAAAAATACACATGGAAAGCTATGCACCATTCGAAAGAGGAAAAACACTGGACAAAATTCATGTTTTACACAACGTAAAATGATACTTTTAAATCGCATAAAAGTTAGTTCAAAGAGACGCGATAATACTTTTCTCGGATCCTGTACGCTAGGAAGGTGCCTTTTTAAAGCATCCGTTTTGATGCCAAATTTTCGATTGAACTTTTACATGTCTGGAAAGTCATTTGGCAGCTTTTGGAGAAACTAGAAAATCAAGTTTTGTCACCAAGGTTGCTCACATTTTTTTCGACCACAAAATACACCCGTTTAAACCCACCAATTCAATGGTGAATGAAAAGACGAATCCCCAAAGTTCGACGATTAAAAATATGATCATTAGGCTTGAATAGGTGTCATTATCGAGTAAAAGAGTCGCGTTATAAATCCCAAAAAGTAGTAGAGGCGGTTGAGTGAAATTGTAGATCATTTTGAAATTTTGAAAAATGTGGATTTAAGTAAATCTTTACAAATATATTATTTAATATTTTCAAGTACGGTCTGTTTACCAGTGTCATTTAAGCTTTTGAGAAGAGCAGGTGAAAAAGGGAAAAAAAGTGAAAAGCTTTCTCGATCCATTTGAATTATTTAATAGCTTTTGAAGGGGTAATTGGAAGATTTTATCAAGAAAAATCGTTAAAACATTTTTGCTTTAAAAAGATTGAATTAATGAGGCAGGGAATCGGAAAATAAAAGGAAATCCAAAAATATTTGTGCAAGATATCACAGTAACCCTTCTCTACACCAATCACTTTTGAATAACTCGTTTGTTTGTAAATCGAACTTGAGATCTCGTAGCTAAAAATTATATAGGCTTACATCTATATGTCAAACAACTAACCTCTTTGCCGCAATTAAGAGGTAAACCACAAATTTGTGCAGTTTGTGAAGAAATCTTTGCGACAATCGATCCACTTTAGTGCGCCCGGCCTTCGCAGCCCGCTTTTGTGCACCTAAAGTAATCTATATTAAGAGTCTAACTTGCTAACAATTAGCATAATGTAATTAAAGCTTACATGTAAGATACTTTTTCGCTCTTTAGTCCTTTATCCTTCTTATACTTGAACATTTCATCGTCATAAATCAATCCTTTTGTTCGTTGTGAAATCGTGATCATCTAAAGATAAAATAATAATTCTTTGCAACAAAATAAAGCAAAATAAATAATGAACAAAATTAGTATCTCTAGGTAGATACATACCATTTTACATACAAATTACATCTTAGGCATTTTTCTGCTGCTGAGCAATATTTTCAACTTCATTTTACCTTTTATTCATTTAGCAAAGCAGCCGCGTAGCAGTGTAATTATAAAAGCAGATCAAAACGCCTAGAAAATGAAGAATCAAACACTACCTCGCTTTGACCACGAATTTGATCGCGCTGGTCGCTCTGATCGACCACATCTTTGACTCCGAATGTTGGTGTCGTGTCGCCGCTTCTTGCTTCAATTCACGAGTCTAAACAAAGCAATATGTTAAGTGTAAGCAAATTGTAGACGAAAAATGATAAAAAAAACATGCTATTGGGAAAAGATTTCATAAAACTAGCAAAATTACACATTTTCATCTTAAAAACCTTAAATACGAGCTAATCGAATAAATTTTTTCGCGCATTTGGTGCCTATTGCTGTGGTCTAAGTCAAATGAGTGAAAGAAGTGTAAACACAAAAGCAAAAGCGAGCGTAGGAACTAAAAATATTAAAATCTGACTTGAGATTGTGGCTATGGTGAGTTGATAATTGAAACTTAACGACAAATTCGGATTTTGTGAAGCTTTGAAAACTTTCAAGTACGAATTTGATCGCGCTGGTCGCTCTGATCTCTGAGACGAAAAATGGGATTGTTGCTAATGTGTTAAAAACGATTTCTTTTGATTGATCAAAAGTTTTCGAAAGACCCACACACTCATCCTTTCCAGAAAGGGTATCCCTTTTCCTTTCTTTTCCTTTTTTCCTTTCATCGGACTCTCCGTTTGCGCTGCCGTTTCTACTCCGCTTTCCTTTCCCTTTTCCCCTTCCTTTCCCATCCATTCCCACTTCTGCCATTCATCAACTGTCTGGACCAAACACTTCTGCACTTTTCTTAAACTTTAGTTTATCTTACTTGACTTTTTATCTCTTGAATTTATTTTATTACTCTTAAAAGTAAACTATATTGACATTTACAATATCTATTTTTTCACATTGATGTTTTTATTTGCTTTTTAGACAAATTTCATGTTGTCTGTGTGGAATTTGTTTCTCTACAGTCTCCTGGTGGGCATTTTTTGGATGAAAGAGGCGAACGCTGGAAAACGTGGGTAGAAAGGGAGAAATTTGTCAAATTAAACATCTTTCAAGTTACAATAGTAGAAAAACAAGTTATTATAACTCAAAAAATGCTTCTAAATCTCTCATGATAGTGCCAGCGATGCCAATGTCGAATGAAGCCGAAAATTTATCGATTTAGTGAGCTCTCATGAAAGTTCATAGCTTATCCACTAAACTTGTTGATCTACTATTGTAATTCCTTCCATGTAAGATACTTTTCTTTAGGAAAAAAGGAAAAGAAAGGAAAAAGGGATACCCTTTCTGGAAAGGATGAGTTTGTGGGTCTTTCGAAAACTTTTGATCAATCAAAAGAAATCGTTTTTTAACACATTCGCGAAAATCCCATCCTTACATGTAAGATACCTTAGTCCTTTATCCTTCTTATACTTGAACATTTCATCATCATAAATCAATCCTTTCGCTCGTTGTGATAGCGCGTTCATCTAAAGATCAAAAAATGATTCTTTGCAACAAAATAAAGCAAAATAAATAATGAGCAAAATTACCTTGTTGCGACAATCGATCCATTTTAGTGCGCCCGGCCTTTGCAGCTTGCTTTTGTGCACCTAAAGTAATCTATATTAAGAGTCTAACTTGCTAACAATTAGCATAATGTAATTAAAGCTTACATGTAAGATACTTTCCCGTTCTTTAGTCCTTTATCCTTCTTATACTTGAACATTTCATCGTCATAAATCAATCCTTTTGCTCGTTGTGAAATCGCGTTCATCTAAAGATAAAAAAATAATTCTTTGCAACAAAATAAAGGAAAATAAATAATAAAAAATAAAACTTCAAATCACTATCAAATCATTGCACTGAACTTTCTAGGATTCGATTTACACGATCGACTAAACGATTCGGTTGAAGATTGGCTGCTGCTCTTATCGACTTTCAGTGAAAGAAAGGTGGGGAAAGAAAAATCATAAAATTGTAAACAATAGAAACAAATAACAAATAACAAATTTCCCCTTAATCAACTACGAATCAATTCGAAAATTCGAGCTTACCGTATTTCTTCGAATCGAAGGCCGGGTAAAGAGTATGATCGCGTACTCCTGCGTAGCAGTCCCTTTTTAAAATTTCTTTTCTGCATAAAAGCTTTCAATCAAGTGCTATAGAGCTGGAAAATGACTCAAAAATACCACATGAGCTAACAGATTTTTGAGTCATTTTCCAGCTCTATAGCACTTGATTGAAAGCTTTTATGCAGAAAAGAAATTTTAAAAAGGGCTGCTACGCAGGAGTACGCGATGATACTCTTTACCCGGTCTTCGATTCGAAGAAATACGGTAACTCTTTTCCACTTTAAAGCTTTCTTTCTGATTTCATGAGGAGCCAACTTTTATCGCATAACAAATACTGTTTAGGAAAGGTTTGCTTTTAGCTTACTGGTAAATTTCCTTAAAGCTGATCACCTTAAATTAATCAAAAACCTTTTTTTTTTTGCTCCTTTCTCAAAGAGTATCCGATTGCAATCCTATTCATGAAGAGCTGCCAAAAGAGTGTCCTTTTTCTTTCTGGAACTGACCGGTCTCTCTCTCTTCAACAATCTCTTCCCTCACCACAAAAACGAGAAGAGGCAAAGTTTTTGTTTGCACACAGGCACACGCAATCTGTGAGAAGAGAAGACCCATCTCTATAAGAATCAATCTTTCACGAGAATCAGTAAGAAAGGGGGGAAAGAGAAGTGACCATGAAGTGAAATGAAAACTTCATTAGTATAGAAATCAGAATCAGAAATGAAACAGAATCAGAAATAAACCAGAATCAGATAGATACATCACAAATAACCAATCAGTTGGACAGTTGAATTTAAGCTGAGAATAGAAAAAAAAATGGTCAGCACCGGGATTCGAATTCGCGACCTGTGGTTTACCATGTGAACACTCTACCAGTGAGCTACATGAGCTCTACCAGTGAGCTCTCATCTTGCCGTCAAGATAGAGCCTTATGTCTGCCTATCTACCTGTCTACTTGTCGAGTTGAGAATTAAAAACTTTGTTCAAATGACTGCAGACAAGCTTGAGCATATCGACATCATATCAAATTGACAAAGATCGAGTTTGCCATAGATTCAACAATCTCTTCCCTCACAGATCCCTTATTCCAGAATACGACAATTCTTCCCAGCAACCTCACCAACAGCTCGATAAACGATCGATTAGAAACAAACAAAACGACGATACCGTTAAGTAGAGGGAAATCATCAGGGAAAAGGATATGGTTAGTTGAAGTGAAGAGTTACCAAAAAACTTTGTTGTCTCCACTTTGTTGTCTGATTTTCATTGAATTCACATTTTAGGCCCGGAAAACTCTGTCGAAAATACACAGAAATCGAGAAATACAAGATGCTAGGCGGACGAAATTTACTCTTTTTAGCAAACAGGTGGATTGGAGTTTATTTTAGAGTCAAATTTTTTTAATCCCTTTATAAAATCAACTTTCTCTTTCAAGTGACCTCTGCTTTTCCATATTCAGAGTCAAACCTTTATCGTTTATTTCCCAATTTTAGCATCGACGAGGCAGCCGAGCATTTTGGGCCTTTAGATGCGGGTCCCGATGAGTATTTCCTTCAAAACAACGATGTGGTTATCAGCTTGCAGGTCTTGAATTGAGCATAATCGAACTTTTTGCGCTAAAAACAACACTGGAAAACTGTGAATGCAGTGATGCAAACATTTTTAGGAGGACGATTATATGCGTTGTGATTTTCGCTGTCAACGCATTAAGGAGGCTCTGTCGGCGGCCAAGTTTCATTCAAAATCGACACTGAGAAAAGTGAGATTTGTGAGAGAATGAATTTCGAATAGATAGAAAACATTTTTGAAATGTTGAATTCTTAACAAAATATCATTTTTTGACTTTTCCAGAAACTCAACGATGACATCATTCCCGAGGTTGAGGTTCAAGAGGGTCGCGCACCGTGCTCACTCGGTATGAATTTTCAGATTGCAGATTGCAGGGAAAATTTTTAATGCTGACTTTTCTCAAGTAGTTTCGAAGCTGATCTTGTTTCAAATGAAAAAACTTCAACTCCAAACATTTTCGATCTCTTTTAGATGACTTCATCGCGACAAACAATTGCTCGATGAGTCAAGTGTACGAGGAGGAGGAGATACTGTGTGCAAGGTAGTTAAATAGTTAATGGAATGCATATCTTCTAGATATTGAATTTGACAAATAGATCTTTTCTTTTTTTTCTCAGATGTCATGGAGTTTTCAATCTTGGTCGTGGCTGTTTTCCGCGCTATTTGAACGCGGTTCGTTGTGAGGGAAAAGATACAGGGTGTATCTATGACCGATGGACGAATTTGGGTGAGCTATTTATGCAAATAATCAATTATCAATTGCAAATATGATAAGTGATAGCTTTTGTTTAGCTCATGGGAAATGCCGTCCACAGCGCCTCAGTTTTCGAATTCTGCAAAACATTGGCGATGATGAATGTGAAGTTTGGAAAATTGTGAATATCCAGGTATGGATATGGGAAAAATTATCCAAAAAGTTAAAAATTTAGCTCCCCGTCGCTTGCAACTGCCTGTTGAACTCAAATTCAGCTCTGCTAATCTCAAAGCCGGCAATTGGTTCTTAAAAGCTTGCCAACAACTAGAAAAAATTTCAGGATGAAACTAACAAAGTGTAAAGGATGATCTACTGCCATTTTCCTCCACGGGTCACAAAGTGCAAAAAATACTTTATGCAAAAGTCGAAAAAATAAAAAACGTTTACTCACATCCGTTGAAGAACAATAAAAAGTACTGGTCAGCATGTTCACTAAATCACCACACTACAACGGGTTCAAATCCATACAAAATATTACCACAAAATGAAAACAAATGATAAATTACTAAGCTAAAAGCAAACCTTTTCTAAAAAATGAATCAACGGGAATAACGAGGAAAATAGGGTGGGATTTGTAATTTCATTGGCCAAGGTAGATATAGAATTCTAAAGATTTAGGACCTCCCGACTTGGGGAAATAAAATTGGAAGAATTCGGTCCAACACCCTTAAAATTAAGTATTTTTTAACCAAATCGTCAGGACGTTACCTCTAGTTAGATTTAACAAAACGAAGCAAAAAGACCGATGGGCAAAGATGTACCAATAAAAAGGAAAACAAAAAAAAACCTTAAACACCGTCGGTTTTCATTTGACGACGACGTTTGTACTCCTCAAGGGATAACTTTCCGCGAGATTTCGGCTCGCTTGCGGCCGGTGAGTCGGTGGACATTGGAGGAGGATTTGGACGAGAACCAAGTGCTAAAAATAAACATAAGGATTGTAAGGTCGAAGATTTTTGAAGGCTTAAAATTAATATAAAACAACCAATGATCATCAAGTTGCTACCACCTACCGTCAGTTTTCCGTTAAGATTTACTCACCAATATCAAGATCTCCATAGTCAATATCCACGGCATGCATCTTGAACAAGTCACTCTGACGCATTGACGTAGTCGGTGCAACTAACTAAACAAAAAAGTGAACTATATCATTAAGACAAACCGATAAAGTTGGAGCTGTTGCCAGTTTCACCGGAGCAGATTTTCCATTGGCGGCCGATGTCAGTGTAGAAGGGACTTCTGACTGTGGCTTTGAAGGTGCAGCGATAGCATCTAAAACTGCCATTGTTCCAGCAAAAATCTAATTTTCCATTTCAAATAAAAACACAATTAACTCACCAATGTTCCCAAGTGTCGCCTTTCCAGACACGACCTTCATTCGACCACTCTTGCGGGTGAACGGATCATCATCCTTTTTCATGTCAGTAACCTAAAATCAATGAATAATTAAAATACCCAAACTTGTAAACTAACCGGTGTGTCACCAAGGAATGTTTCCTTCATGTGATTTCTGTTCCTTTTGTTGAGATAAGTCACTCCGACAATAGCTCCTTGCCGCTCACGATCCTAAAGAAAATTATAGATACTGTAACACTGGTATTAAAGAGTTTAATTAACCAGTAATCTCCAAAACTTACAAGTCTTTCAGCTTTTGCCTCGTTTTCTTGCAGCATTCGATCAGCACGAGCCGCTCCTTCACGATCACCCATAGCTTCATATTTAGCCTAAAATTTAAAAAAAAAAATTATAAAATTTACATTTAATTAGGTTTTACAAGATGCATCTTATTTTCGCGCGTTTTTCCATCCCAAAATTTCTCCCTGCAACCCCCCACGAGAGTAATCCCCAGGAATCAATTTAGACAAGGACGCAGCCAATAAGAGAATCGGGGTGATAAATGAAAAATACCATAAGCAGACTGGTAGAAAAAAGTGTTCCGCTCAATATTTTCCGCACAAAAGTTTACTTCCGATCAATTGAAAAATTCTACGATTATATTTCGAAAAGGAATAAATCACCATTCGATCTTCAAAATCGATAACGTTCAACTTTTTTATTAAAAGTAGTTGTGGTTCTTGTAAAACATTTTTTATTTTGCTTTTGTCTTTTTGATGTTTGGTATCTTGAAGCTAACTTGAGCTTTGGCTATTTCTGATTCAAACTGCTTAGCATTCCGTTGAACAGGAATATAAAAATTTGTCTAAATTTTATTTTAAACTTTGTATGTTGTACAATATGTTTGTTAGCGCAAAGCAGTAGATCCGAGCTTTGCTCATCTTGGCGGCACAAAATTTGTATGTGCCAGTGGGAGAAGAGCACTCGTCTCTCAAAAACGATGAGAAGAGACCCTCTCTTCGTTGGGTGTTCTGTTCACCCATGCTTTTCCTTTTCTCTGTATTTACCGAGAGCCCATCGAGATTGCCACCACTTTCTTCTTCAATCGACCACCAGGGCCATGCCCTATTTTTCTTTTAAACAAGCGTTTACTTTTTTTTCTCCATTTTTATATTAAGCTATTTTAGATGCACCAACACAACGTGATCACCCTACAAAACGAAGACGGAACGATGGAAACGAAATTGGTCAGTATCTTAGCACTTCCAGCATCCAGGTGTATGTCAAAATAAAAACGCAAAAAAGCACAAAGAAACCCCCGCCCAAAGCGGCAACTGCTGTAAAGAATGCCTGTCCACCAAGCAACGTTCTTTTTCTCGTTCCCTCTCTCAAAGTCCCCTAAACAAAAGGCGAAAAAGACCCCCAACTCTTACCTAAATACAACCTTGTCCCTGATATTTCTTTACGTTTGATTCTATCTATTTATTCTCTATTTTAATGCTATCATTTGGGAGAACCGTTTCGAAATGAGTAAGTGATCAACAACGACTTAGCCACCGCCAAAAGAGCAAACATTTACTTTTTTCAGAATGTCCGCCGAAGAAAAACCTCCTAGATTAATTCGTGTACAGCTGACTGTAAACAAGGATCGGCAATGGGTAGACTACTTTTTGATCATTCCTTTCTATACTCGACATTGATTTTGCTTTAAAAATTTTCGTTTCACTAAAAGTTAGTTAACTCTTAGCTTTTGTTTAGCTTCAAATCTGTTTTAATTAGCTAAAAAGTCTACATTTTTCTCTAGTCCAAATCTCGCATTGTTGCACAAAAGTTTCCCCATCAAAGCCTACTTTTACTTATGCTCCAATTACTCGCGCCTCTTTGACCTCTTGTGGCAAAAACCAGATTTGGCAACGCGAGATCGATCGCGGGGATTGACTTCCCGACAACTGTGTTACCAGAACCTCCTCACTTTTTGGCAAACAACCATAAAACTATACTTGATTTTTAGCTTTTAAATTAGTTCTTCATCAACTTTCCTGATTCATTTCCTTGTATTTTCGTGCTTATCGCGATAATCCGCCGATAAATCACCCGAAATAGGTCATCATCTCAATTGATTTAGGAGAGAAAAAAGTGAACGATCTACACATTTTTGAAGTAAGTCATAACCCGGCTTTTTCTTTGCTATAATTATAGGCTTTTCGACAATTTCCTAGGCTGGTTACCCCAAAAATTCTCATCCAAACCCAAAGAGAATCGATCCAGAGCAACTCCAACTCAATTTTTTTGTGTTGTGGAAATTGTTTCGACAACTTTTATCACCGCTTTCCCGAAAAATAACCTTCCTTCGTCAAAAAAGCGAAAAAGGATTGAACACCACCCGGTTCGGTCTTCCTAAAGACGAGAGATTGGCTCGCCCCCTTGATTGCAGTCAAGGACAACACCCCGAAATGCCTATCTGCCTATCCCCTTACAGCAATTTTCTCTTTCAACACCCCAGGAATTAATTTTTCTACAGTGCTCTTACACAGCAAGGCTTCCTTTTACCTATCTATAAGAAAATATTAATGTTTTTAATCATTTCCCAATAAAACAATTTAGATGTTGAGCCCAGACGAGGAGATCAGAAGAAACAGTGCTGAAGTGGAAATTCCCCACAATCAGCCTTCTAGGTTTGCTTAAGAAAGGAAACCTAGAAAAAGAGTATTTCAGCCCAAAACCGGCCAAGAAGAAGCTCGAGTTCAACATGGCCTCGAAAATCCAAATCATTCCCAACAATCGACAGGGACAACTAAATACGGGTTACATTAAAACTCTGGGTGGAATTCTGAAAGTTGCCGAGATTGTGAGTGAAATTCGAAGTTTCGATGGAAATTGATGAACTATTTAGGTCCTCTCTTTTATGGCCTTCGTGTTGGCTATTTGTGCTGATCGAAACACGACGACGGCCTCTTGGACTGAGCACATTGCTTTCCAGTCAACAGTCATCACCACAGCTATTCTTCTTGGATACGTTTGCTTCCCACATATCACAATCAGAGATGAGTTGACAAGGGAGGGATTGATAGTCGTGGTGAGTCGGAAATTCTCCATTCTACATTTGATCTACAGATGAAAGAATCTTAAATATCAGTTCGATAAATAATGCTAATTTATATAAAGAACTTTAGGAACTTATTTTCTACGGAATCAACACTGTCTTATACTTTATTGCTATCTGGTTTGTTGATTTGTCTAATCTATCTTTGTAAATTCATTTGTTAGTAATTTATCCTATTTAGTATACATCTTTAGGCTGATGGTCCATTTATCCATTGGATTCGGAATGGACGGACGAGGAGCCGCTATTTTATGTGCTGTAAGCAAAAAGAAGAAAACCCTCTTCAAAATCTCTATCTAGGTCGTTTGTTTGGCTATCACAGTTCTCTTTGCCATGGAGACCTTTATGAAAATCAAAGCCTGGCGTGGAGAGAACGATGCCTCAACGAGAATCGTCAACCGAGGAGTGCCAAATGCTTAGAATATCATGATTTCTATTAGTCCGCAGCCTGTCATTAGAAACTCTTAACCCATTTGTGACAATCCTAATAAATTTTGAATTTTCATGGAAAAATCCTACCTTTTCGGTCAGAAGTTGACTCTTCTTAGCAGCAAAGTTTCCAGTTTTTTGTTCAAAGCGTTTCCTCTCGACGAGCATCTATACGCATTTTATTACACAAGCAAAAAAAAAAAGCAAACCGCATCAACTTCAGCATCGGTGTAGCTGTGATTGCTCGCCTCTTTGATTTCCTTGGCCTTCTTTTCTAGTTGGTCTATATTTGGTAGAGTTGCACCCTAAAGATCAGCAAAGTATTTCAAATCAAAAAGCTGTGTGGCTATTAGTTCCAAGTACCTGGGGTTATTAATAAACTAACCGTATTTTTCATCACCGAAAGCCATTCCGTAAAATCTTTCTCAGTGAATTGTTGATTTGAGATAAACTCGAGACGAATCGTACGCTCATCCTAGAAAAATCAATTATGCTTTCAATTACCGACAACTAACCCTAGCTCCAAAGCGAAGCTTCAAGCCTTTATTTGTGCGTTGTCCTTCCACATTGTAGGTCTTTGCCGTCTCAACAACATCCAAAACCAAGCCTATCTAAAAAGACAATTTACAACAAAAAAACACACAAATAAACTGACCCTCAATGCATTTCCACTGGCCGACGGAGGCAGCTCTCCGACCCTCACATAGCAGCCAACGAGGGCTTTCTTGAAGAATGGAGCATGAACAAATTTGGCCAAGCGAAAACGAGATATCCTTGCTTGTTCCAATTCTTGTTTGTTTTCAACCTAAAATTTACATAATACAAGTTGGACAGAGATAAACCACTTGTTTCTTAGGAACTTCTTGTTCTGGTGTAGCACTCCGAGCATGTGATGATACTGATGATGGAGAAGAGGAGCGGCTAAAGTTTGCATAAACTTTATAAAATCCTTTCAACTACCTAGAGGAGCTGCTTGATGAACTTGAGGCTGAGCTATCGGATTCATCTCCATCCCTAGCAGAAGCGGAAAGTTGAGCCACCTTTTTAGCTAAATGGAAATCCTAATTCTAACAGTTGCAGGGCACGACTCAACCTTCTTTCTTTTCCTTTTCTCGACGCTTACTCAGCAAGTCGCTGAGTGCACTTTTTTGTTTCCGTTTCTTGTCAATCTCAGATGGACGCTAAACATGGATGTAATATTTTCATTCAAAAAATACAAACTTGAAACTCAGCATCATATTCACTATCACTTCCTTTTGCTGGAGAAGCTCCTGAAGCTTTACGTTCATCAAAAATCTTTCACCAAGCAAACCTTTTGGAGAAGGGGAACGATCATCGTCATCACTATCGCTCGTTGGCTTTGGTGGAGCTTTCACAGGCTTTCCGGGTTTGCGAAGACGGATTTTTGTTTGAATCTCTTCTCTGTAGACAAAAAGCATGACACTCCATTATTATTTATACCTGTGTTTCTTGTCCTCCATATCAATAGTCTTTTGATAGATGAATTCTTCACGCATCTTCTCACTCATCTCCAGGTAGTTTGCTCGTTCTTCGGCATTCATCTCTATCCCATCAGCTTCAAGCTTTCGAAACTAAAAGCTGTTATTTAGTTGCGTAGTTATTTTCTAATTTATGATCATGTTTTACTATCATTGCAAAGCTTCTTTATTTCAAGTTTCAATATTAAATCTCAATCCCAAAAAGCCAACCATTTCATCGTCCGAGTTGCTGTCACTCCTTGTCCTCTTTGTTCTTTTGGTTGAGCGAACCGGTGTCGGCTTTGTCCGTTTACGAGCAGCTGATGACTTCTAAAATTTATATTTTTCAATAAGTATTTCTTCAACTACCTCCTCATCGTCTTCTTCATGGTCAGACTCAGATGGTGGGTCGCTTTCAGAACCTAAAACCAATCTTAAAAAGATTCAGAACCAAATTCAAACCGCTGTGAAGCGCCTTGCCGGCCTTGGTCTTCTTGGTTTTTGCTTTTCCCCTTGGCGCCTCATCGGAGTCTGATGTTCTCTAAAACGAAAAATACTAGCGTTGCGAATATAGCGTTGCGAATATGATTAGCATCCACTATGGCTAATAGTACCAATAAATTTTTCGACCAAATTAAATCTTAAAAACACGTACAAAACTTACATTGACAGGTTCATCGTAATCGGAATCAGAGGGCGAAGAGGAGTCGGACATGATCGAAAAACAAAGGATATTAAATAGCTAGCATAAATGAAGGTAAACGCAAAATTAGGTCCAGAACGCTTCTCACGGGCAAATAGCTAGCCAAATCGGCCATTTAGCAGCTAAGTAGCTTAAGAGAATTAAAAAACTAACATCATTAACGTTAAACTCAAAAATTCACGTGGAAATAGAAAGAAAACAGCACGAGATGCAAAAAAGAGGCAAGCGTTTGAGTCAAAATGTTCCGCGAAAGCTGGATTTTGTCCGCTACGCCATGATACCCTGTCCGTTTGCTTTTCGGGGTATTTAAGCAATGAGTCAAAGGGAATTCCTTTTTGCCTGAAGTTTCTCACAGGTTTTGCAACGTTTTAAACTTTTCATGAACAAAGTAGGGAGTAGAAGCGCCATAAAGCGGCACTAGGCACACTTAACGACTTGTTTTAGATCTTTAAGACGGAAAACATGGTTAGCTTAAGATTTTAACGTATTTCTCAAGAGATTCAGTTTACAAGCTTGAAGGATTTCACGCAAATTGACTTTCTAACAATGAAACAAATTCTCGTTTTATTTTACCAGCTTTCTGTTTTTTTTTGTCTTTCGTTTTTGATTATGTCTCTGCTAAACTCCTAGTTTTTGTTTAGATATGCTGGGCAAAGGATTTGCACAGGCTCGACAACTTGTGCCGGCCACTTTTCAACGATTGCAGCACACAGCCATTCCCGCGTTTCCCTCCGTCTCGACACATAAGGTCCAACTCGAGCGATATCGTCGACAAAACCCGGAAGCACAAGAGAAATGGGAGAAAAGGCTCGTTCTTCGGAAACCCGTGCTACAATGTGATGAGGTGGGACTTTTAACATAGCGTTTTTGGTGCTATCGCAATCAGGGGAGGGGGGCAGTGAAGAAGACTCGAAGAATTTGCATATATAGGTAATCAGGCACGTTGAATCCAATAAAAATAGTTTCAGCATCTGATTTTCACGTTTTCTTAATACTTTATTTTTAACGAGGTATCAAAAAAGTAGAAGGTTCACATAGAGTGACAACTGGTTGCTTAAGATTCTTTGACTGAACTAAAACGTTCATATTATGCTCAACATTTCATTTTAGGTATTGCCTCCGAAGATCTACCACGCACCGGAATGGGACCTTGATAAGCGAGCAGACAAATTTGACGGGCCACCAGATCCAATGCTTGGTTATGGGATGACGCCCGAAAAATGGGAATATTACAATAAAGTGGTTTGGCCTCCGAACTATGTCGTGCCGGAGACAGGCCTTCCAAAGCCTCGAGAAGTCTTTCATTGCCGTGAATCTTTACGTTTCTCTCCTAAACGCATGTGGCACGCCTGTCAACTCGTCTGGACAATGAACATTGATGAAGCTTTGATACAACTCGATTTGCAACAATCGAAAGCGTGTCGCCTATTGGCAGAAGTACTACAAGAGGCCAAAAATCGAGCAGCGAAAGAGTTCCACATCGAGTACCCGTCTCAAATGCATGTAGCCGAAGCTTTCCCCATTCAATCACAAATCATCAAAGGTGCTCGGAGACATGCTCGCGAGAATTGGAATCTCATTCGATATCGATACATCCACATCTTTGTGCGATTAGAAGAAGGAGACGGGCCGGGATTCCGAAAAAGAAACAAACCATCTGATGGATGGGATCACATGCGAAATTATTACGATCATTTGAGGGATCGCACCGTTAAGAATGGATTGTGATTTCATTTTCTTGCGTCGCTTTGTAGTTTAGATTTTCTTGTTTTCTTTGTTCTTGTTATTTTTGTATATGATGAATAAAAATGACAATTTTAGGGAAAAAAGAACAGAAAAGAGCGACCGTCAATGTTGAGGCGGGTGAAGACGATTTTGGACGATCGTTTTATAAGGTTGGTTATAGAAAGGTGAAGTAAGCTACTTAAATAACTTTGTGGCTCTATCCGGCTCAAGTTTTGAACTTATAATTTGGTTTTAGGTCCTACTGTGACAGTCGATTCCAGTCAATTTTGGAGCGAAACAATGTCCGAAGTCCTTTTGAAGATCCTACTAGAAATCGAGTCGTTGTTCGTTTGCCGTTGCAATTCGTACAAACATTTATTTTAGGCGACTAGAACACCCGCACGGAGACCTTCTTCAAACGCTCCTCTTTCTTCAAATCTGTTTAACGTTTGTCATTATGCAATTTCTTAATTTCATTCCTTTAGGTTCCAATTAATGCACGACTTGACGATATTGAACCTCCTTTGAAGCAGACCACTGTGAAGGAGATTTTCAAAGAGAAAGATGTACCGTCTCCATTAGCATTTGCAGCTAAACAAGAAACTGAAGTAAGTCCAAAAAAGAAGCCTATGTGAGATCACTTTTATTGCGAAGTTCCCTCAAGTAAAACTAAATTTTAGATTCCCAAGCCAATGGAGGAAGTAAGAACAGCGAACTCAGAAAAAATTCAAGTTCCTCCAATTGCTGGTGGATCGGGTGGCTCAGGTGATGGGACTGGATCAGAGGTTTGAGTGATTTTATGATTTTATAAAGATTTTATAAATTATTTTTTTTTTTGCAGCTTATAAGTCTGTTAAGAGTTAAGCCGATTATTTAGGAAGCTAATGACGAGGAAGCGAGAAAACGACGCGAACGAATGGCGAGGAACACGAAAATTGGAATGTTTGTGGTTTTGGGAACGGCAGCTGCCTATTTTGCAGGGTTCTGTATATACTATGGTGAGTTAATAGAACTTTTAAAGTTTAAAATCATTAAATTCATTAGCTAACTGTTTTAGGTCGTTCAAAACGAGACGAAGACGGAAAAGTCATCGTTGACGAGTTTGCGGACGCCGGCTTTATGGCTCCATTTTATCGAATTGCCAGCAGTATTAAATTATGGAAAGATGTGAGGTTTTAAAAATATTTTCAGCCAAATAAAATTTTTAAAAAACTTTTAATGAATACTTTTAGTATGTTGTCGAACCAGCACGCGACAAATTACTGCCAGATCCAATACAACCGCCATACATTCAACCCAAATACACTCTTGTTATTGAGATGAAAAATGTTCTCGTTGCCCCTGAATGGACTTACAAAACGGGCTACAGGTGAACAATCTTATTTGGCTGAAATGATATAAAGTTTAGATTCATCAAGCGGCCCGCATTAGATTATTTCCTTGATGTGGTTGGATATCCTAATTTTGAGGTAACTTATATTTTCGGACTCATCCAAAACTCCTTTAGGTTGTCATTTACACAAGTGAAAGCAACTTTACTGGGCCGCCAGTTGTGGAGTCGATTGATCCCAAAGGACGAATTATGTACAAGTTATACCGCGATTGTACAAAGTACATGAAAGGTGTTCATGTTAAGGTGGGCTTAGAGTGTTTTTTTTACGTAGAATTCATTTTGTTCTAGGATCTCTCCAAGTTGAATCGAGACTTGTCCAAGGTGATCTACATTGATTTTGACCCAGCTTCGTTCCAATTGAATCCGGACAACGTGCTCCGAATGCCGAAATGGGAGGGTGAAATGAGTGACACGGCATTGGTCGACTTGGCTGAGCTGCTGAAAAGTGGGTTTTTTAAGTAGTTTAAATCTAAATCTGAAAAAAGTCAATTTGACTTACAATGCCAGAAGTTCAGCTTAAACTTTTATTCCTGCTTTTTAGCAATCCATTTGTCTGATGTGGATGATGTTCGACCAACTTTGCAATATTACTCAAGTTTCGACAATCCGGCTGCCGAGTTCAGAAAGAGGGCAATGTACTTGGCGGAACAGGTAAGAAATTTCTTTTGGTAAAGCAAATACTCAACGTTTCTTTGTTTAAACAGCTTTATATCGATTTTTCAAATCTAGAAACGATCGAATAGTACTTTGTTTTAATTCCCTTCTTTAGGAAGCGGAAAAGCAACGCCAACTGGAGAACAAGGATGATGGACTTCTCAAGCGTTACTCCGGGCGACTCTTCGGTTTCAGACGCCACGAGTACGCAAAATAAGCAACGTCTCGTAATTTCTAGACTTCTATATTTTGGGTAAATGAGTCGTCTCTATTGTTGTTTATTGTTGTTATGCTGGAAATTACCTTGGCGGTGTTGACTTTTAAAATTCATGCGATTTTTAATATATCAGCTATCCCAAAACATTCAGGGCATCAAAAGCCTTATTAGTCCATCGAATGTTTCGAATCCAGAAAAAAACCTGATTAACGTTTGCTGCTGGGTGGTGATTTCCAGTCCCTTTAGTGGTCTCTTCTTATTCTTTGTTTCGGTGTATTTTTCTCGCGTGCCACTTTTGGTGAATCTCTTTCTTTTTCACTGATGCACGCGTGAAAAAATGTTATATGTGCACTCAGGAAGCCGGTCTTTTTTTGCCTTTCCGTCACTCAATCGATGTTTGTATGTTAAACTTATTTTAAGATTTTAACCTGTTTTCTTTTCTGCTGGTCTACTCTAGCTCATTTCTCTCCATAAGTTGTTATTTGAGTTAATTGTTACTTAAAATTTGTTAGGTTTTAGTTTAGTGTCATATCTAAATGTTTTGAGGAAAAGTTTGAATAAAAATCATTGCTCAATTTTTTTTGTTTTCTCGTAGAATTGTTTAAACGAGTTGTTTTCTAAATTTTTATAATGATTTTAAAGATGCATTTGACATACTTCAGGTAGATCGAGGTTTTTGGGAGAGCTGAATGCGGTGTGGAAACGAGTATTTTTGTAGAAAATGAGGGTAAGTTCTTGAAATTTTGCTTAAATTTTGAAATGATACTGTGAATTTTTGACAAAAAAAAATATTTTGTTTTTTTCATAAAGAAAAATATTTTATTAACTAATGTTTTCATTCTTTCACCCCATGAAAACGTCAGCGGAAACTTGCTAACACCTTTAAAAAATGTTTTTCATCATTGTTGCTGATCATATGAACAGATGACCCCGAAAAGATGGGTAGAATGAACTCGCTGGGGTACATGTAAAAGTCATGTTAACATGAAAATCGCCGATTCTCTTCTCTTGATCGTTTCTCAGCTTTTCGGCTTTTCAGTCAATCCATGCGTTGTTTGCTTTGTCGTTGCGGTATAGAGCCTTTCTAGGGAAAGGATTTTAGCTTTTCCTCGCCCGCGTTTGGCTTTTTTTTGACGCCGAATACAATATCGATTTTGAAATTGTTATTTAGATTTTAGTTTTCCCCAGGTTTTTTGTAAAAGCTTTTGTGGCAAAGAAAATTTTTGCCTTCTCATTTAGATTCCAAAAATCTGTTTATCGAAATCTCGAAATCTTTTCGCATCTCATTGCTTTGCTTTCTAATGATGCACACAGAAAAAATCCGATGCAATTTGCATCAATTGGTGCGAAAATAATTGAAGACCTTTCAGCATTTGCAGAAAAAGATTCACTCTAGTCAAAGATTATTTATCCAACTTTTTGACAAAATATATTAGTTGTTTTATGCATTCAGCAGCGTGACTCTTTCAAATCTTTGCAAATGCCATGTTGTCCGGACTAGCTTTCTCTTCGGCAGGGAACACTTTTTTTTTCCTCTTCGAAATCCCCGTTTATCTACCGCCACCATCGCGAATTCTTTATGAATTAAAGAGAAGACTCAATTTGTGTTGTGCAAAAATTACGGACCTTATTAACTGCTTTAAAAAATCAGCTACCTTAAGTCCTTTTCGGATTGATTTCATCCCGACCTCGAGAACTCTTGAGTAGCCTTTTATAGTTACGATTTCTCATTTATCTCCTTTTTTTTTACCGATTTCCAAAGTCCGTTCCACTATTTGAATCAAGAAACAAAATTTTTGTTATGTTAGACTTTCAAATTTTCGCATCTTTGACGTTTTTGAAACGGGTGTATTGTTCAGAATTTTTAAAGATCACTTTTATTGATACAACTCTTCAAGTATCATCATTTTTTTAAAAACAAAATCAGAACACTTGCTATGTAGTACTGATTTTTGTGTTTAATTGATTTATCATGACTAATTTCAGGTACTTCTACAAACGACCATGCGCAATTTGACGGTGTTAACGATCTTTTTGCTGACCACATCGATCGCTTGGGGGCAATGGAGAACGAATCAGGTATTTTTGAAAGTTTTTACAGGTTAAAAGCTACTTAACGATGAATAATGAATACTTAAAAATCTTAGACTCAAGAAAAAGTTCCTCGGGTAAAAAATCTTTTTGCTTGTTTACCAGATTTTGCGATTTTTTTTCCTCTTTTACCTTTTTCTCTTTGCTCCTCTTTTCTTCCCTTTTCCGCTTGTTTTCATCATTTACTGGAGCCCGTTCAACTCGAAAATACTTTCACTTTTCCTGCAAAAAATTCAATAATGTTAATTGAAGCCATTAAACCTGTATATTCGATTGGGACGCGGGTTGTTCAAGTTGGATTTTATGATTTAAGAAATATTTTCTTTCTCAGAGATCGCACACGCTTTCGGTTCTCCCGAAGAATTCGACCTATCGACTGTGTTCCGATTTTTGGGATTTGAGCAGGTTAGTAAATTGTTTTGATTTTTTTCAGCATCTTTATTTTAGATTCAAGTCGTTCTTGAAGCCGATCCTTGTACCGAGAATTGTTGGCACGCCACAGCATAGACAAGTCGGCGATGTGAGTAGTTTTTCTTATAAGAAACTTGTCAAGTCTTACTAAATTTAATTTTTCGTTCAAAGCTTTATTTAGTTCCTCCAAAAAACGATGCAGGACATGGGATGGCACACCGAGTGGGACGAATTCACCGACAACACACCTTATGGAGTGAAACCTTTCAGGTGGGCGATCTATCGCACCTACCCTTTATTATGCAAATTCTATTGAATGGAATTTTCGAATAGTGAGATCAGTTTAGAAGTCTGATCGCCACCTACAATCCACAAGCGGCTCGTCGGCTCGTCTTGGCGTGCCATTATGACAGCAAGATCTTACCTGGGTTAGTTAAAGGTTTTTGAAAGGAAATAATTTTTCTAAACACTAAATATACTTAGTAATTGGTGCTATCTTGAAGATCATTCACTCTAAAATTGTCAATCTTATGCAACCCGTTTAGGCAAACCTTCCTGGCCGCTACCGATTCGGCGGTTCCATGTGCAATGATGCTCGATGTTGCGAAAACTCTCACTCCTTACATGTATCGACAAGTTGCACAGGTTAGTCTTGACCCAAATAACCTTATCAATAAGTTTGATAGAGACGCAGGAATTTCCGGGGGAAAACCCGAAATTTGGGGCGAACCGCCTGGAAAAGAACACTCAATAGGCAAATGAAAAGAGTAAAAAATTAGTGGAAACTGCTAATGCTCACTTTTTCTTCTTTGAAAGCACCGATAAGGGCAGTAGGTGGTGGAGGTTTTCTATGATTTTCAGATTTTGATGCACGTTTTGAATGAGAAATTATCATTTGGGTAATTTTTAATTTTGCATTTGTACTTTTAGGACGTTTCTCTACAACTTCTTTTCCTTGATGGGGAGGAAGCTTTTGTTGAATGGACAGCAACCGATTCTATCTACGGGGCAAGGCATTTGGCATCAAAATTGGAGAATAAATGGTGAGTTGAAAGCTACGTAAGCTAGACATATTACTGACCATTCTCTTGTTTTAGGTATCCCACCAGCAGCTCGGCGAGCAATTTTGAGTTGAGTCGCGAGATCGACAGAATTGTAGGTGCATTTGTTTTTAGTTGATCTAAATCTTCAGTCTTAAAAAGTTCTTTTTCAAATTTCCGTGTTTAGGATGTGTTCATGCTTCTCGATCTCCTCGGTGCGCCAAATCCACGAATTCAAAACGCGAATGGCCTCGGAGCGACGCAATTGTTCGCCGAACTTCCAAATATTGGTAATTTTGCGTAAATTGAATATCTATGTGCTCATTTAGAGAGTGAAATCCGTCAAATGAATTGTGTCTCGCAAAGGATTCCGCAAGTTTTCAGCGGGAATGTCGTTTATCAAGCAGTCGAAGACGATCATATTCCTTTCAGAAATCGAGGTAAGTCACTTCAGGTTTTTATAAATAATTGCCCATTTTTAGGCGTTCCAATTCTTCACTTGATAGCCGCACCTTTTCCGAGTGTTTGGCATCAACCGACTGACAACGAGAATGCCATTCACTATCCGACAATTAAATTGTTGACATCGGTTGTTAGGTATATTTTTTTAATGTTTTATTCTGGTCTAATTAGGTAGCTTAACTTACTTGGGAACGACCGAGATTTCGCAAGCGCGAATCCGAAACAAAGCTATATGACTGGCGGGCAACACGATGGCGTTTTGTTTGCCCAACGCTCTAGATTTCGTAAAGCCTGATTTGACCCAGTGCACTGACCGGTCTCAGGGTATATAACGGCTGCCATTGTCGTAGTGGCGTATCGGCTCGGTGGGACAGTGGTAGTGCCCCTCGTTCAGGCTTTTGCCAGTCGGGATCGCCCCACGCACGTCATTGTTTTTGGTATTTTTTGTTCTCATGTTTCCACTCTTTTTCGTTTAAATAACATTTGCTTGGTCATCTTTCTAATCTGATATACTGTTAGAAATGGGGCTCTTACCGGAAGTTGTCATCTGAATTTTGGCTCGAAGGTTTCCACCGACTCTTAATGGCTATTTAAAAGCAACGTTAGATCAAAAGTTACTGTTGAAATCTCTGCAAAATTTCGATTCAGATGACTCAAAATAACAATGATAATAATAAGAGCCATTTTTAGTTAGACGAAAAAGAGTGGAAACATGGGACAAAAAAATAGCAAAAACAATGACGTGCTTGAGGGTCGAACCCGACTGGCAAAAGCTTGGACCAAAGGCACTACCACTGTCCACCGAGCCGATACGCTGCTCCGACAAATGCAGCCGTTATATCCCCTGAGACCACTCAGTGCACTAGGGGGTCAGATTTGAAATGCGTTTTTACAGAAATCTAGAGCGTTTGGGCAAAAACTAAAAACGCCATCGTGTTGCCCGTGTCCGACTGGCGTAAGTCATATAACTTTGGTTCGGATTCGCGCTTGCGAAATCTCGTATTGAATATCTCAATCACTGGTTTGTATTGAAAGACTTACTTGTTACTTTTAGAATCTTTGCCGCCAAATACCTCGGCATTGCTCCGTTGTAATTGTTGATGTCCTTTTTACAGGTAAAGGTTAATTTAAAGTTAATGTGAAGTTTTCATATTTTAGAATTTCTCATTATCGCTCCATTCTAAACGAGTCAACGAATCAAAAATAAAAAAAATGTTTTGCGTTTTTCACTTCTTTTCTATCTTTGCATTCCTAGGTTGTGATTTTTCTCTTTTTCTGTCTGTGATATTTTTCTGGTCTTTCTTTCACTTCTTTTTACTCTAATTTCTAGTTTTAACACATTGTTTTCGGATTTTTTTTTCACTTCCGGGTACCCTCTCATGTCTATTTGAAGTTAGTTGCAATATAAGTAAATATTTATCCGTGAATGGAGTCAAAAGAAGAAGGTTTGCCCAACGTTTGAAATATCGCAGATATGGCGTTTTTTAGTTTTGGACATAGGCGGCTTTGAAAATTTCATGGTCTCATGGTTTTCTGACACTTTGGAACTTGCAAAAGATTGCCGTGGTTTTGACATGCTTTAGAAAACAACTATAGCAACTACTTTTCTTGAAAGGATTATCAATTTCAATATTTATTCAATTAAACGCATGTTCTGGGTTCAAGAGTGAAGAAAAGTTGAGCTTGAGCAAATTCAAGGAGAAGAACTCGTTTTGAGAGCATGACAAGATAAAGAATTAAGAGAAGATGTTGAGGAAAAGCTTTCAAAGAAAAGATTATCTAACGGATTACTGTAATAAAGAGGAAAATTGAAGTAAAATGAAAATGCAAATGAGATCACAAAATGTGTTTGACATTTACAAGAAAAAAACGAGTTCACCCGTAGAGAATTCCGTCTTTCTTTTTTTTTTGTTTCTTTTGGCATTCAACCTCGTAATTGTTTCGATTTGTGATTTTTTTTGAAGTGATTTGTTTTTGCTCTGCGCTTTCATTTCATTCAAAATGCAGTCGATCCATTCCCGACATTCTCCTCCAAATCGTGATGATAGTGAACGATTGAGGAAAGACTGTGTGGTGGTTTAGAAGGGCTTCTGAAATGGACAACAGTCTTGGGACTATAATTGGGTTGGTGAATTGAAAACTACCGGCTATTGTCATATGTCCCGGTTTGAGCACTTTCTTCAAAAGAAACCCCATTTTGGTGTCAATGGAAAAGTTGTAGAGAATCAAAAATTAAGCTTATAGCCAAATTTCCAAAAAGATACACTTAGTAGTTTCGCTTAAAATTTGTGTGTTCTGTTTTTTCTTTGTGCGGCCGCGTAATCGCTCGTCGTCTGGCGCAGGGCTTTTACATAACCCCCTTTCCTCTCGCTTTGCCAAACTAATCTGGCCGGCTTCGAATCCTCAAATTGGACATTGACTTCTCCTCAAATCAAGGCTAATTTCAATCTATTGGATACGAAAACTACTGGAGACACAAAAATGGAGGACTGGAGATGTCCCAGTGTCCCAGTTTGAGCTCCAGATGTCCGAGTCTTCAAAAGAAACCCATTTTGGTGTCAATGGAAAAGTTGTAGAGAATCAAAAATCAAGCTTATATCCAAATTTTCAGAACGATTCAAAAACTGGTTTTCAAGAAATGCCAAATTTACGAAACTTTCACAAAACTTGCATTTTAAGCGAAACTACTAAGTGTATCTTTTTGGGAATTTGGCTATAAGCTTAATTTTTGATTCTCTACAACTTTTCCATTGACACCAAAATGGGTTTCTTTTGAAGAAAGTGCTTAAACTGAGTGACGCTGGGACATCTCCAGTCCTCCATTTTTGAGTCTCACACTCGTCTCACACACAAACCAAAATCCTACAACGAAAGAGGCATCCGTAAATTGCCGTAAAATGGGCAGAAGTCGCCAATAATAATGGAAATTATTTGGAATGGATTGATGGTTTTATATTGAATAAATTTTTGGTTCAAAGTCCCGCAGTTTTCAATTCACCAATTCAATAGATAAAAGTGGTTCAATTTCATTCTTGAATTCTATTTTAATCGTTTTCTCTTGATATCTTTGTCCAAATTACTTAATTATTCGTTAAATTTAAGTTATTAGTTTAAGTTTTAGTTCAAAGTCCCACAGTTTTCAATTCACCAATCCAATAGTATTTCTTTTCATAATGACTCGGAAAACTGTTTGTAAAGCGGTACTTGCTGCCACTTACAACCAGTTGATCGTTGATCCGCTTTAACTACTTTAACCTTTGACCAGCAAAATCTTTGTACTTAAACCCTTTCCATCAATAATTACTTGATCATGCGAATGTCGGCATCCGAGTGACTCTCAGGCAGGCTTCGGGGATGCACTGATTCCTATAATTCAATGATTTAGGTAAAATGTGAGAGATTTTTACCTTCAAAGGATAGATAAAATGAGATTTTTACCTTCAAATTGGACTAAATAGTTCTTAATAAAGTTTTTGAAAGCTTGATAAGACCAGGTTTACTTCAGAAATGACGATAAAGATAAAAGAATTAGGACAGCTTTTTTCTCGAGCTTTTCTCTCGAGCTTCCCTCAAACGCTTACCTTTTGCGAAAGTGTTCTGCGTGCTGGGTGAGCAACCGTTGAGTTGCTGATCAAACAGCTTCTCGTCGATGCCTGGAAAATCATTTTTCAGTCAAAATTTAACGAATTTATCAGTCGGATAGTCAAAAGATCATCGGTTTCCAAAAAAAATTCCCATTTTTCAAGTTTGTATTTCATCATTCATTCATTCAATTCATTCAAATCATTCATTTTCATTCATTTTCATTCAACATTTCCATTTTTCCTGTCATACATTTCAGACATTTCATACATTTTCATTCGGGACAATTCAGGGAAATAGTTTCTTTGAAAATATTTTCAAGCCAAACATTTTAAGGCACATAGAGAAATGCTTTTTGAGACATTCATTCGGGGTTAGGGATGAGAAAAGGGAAGAAAAGGGATGAGAAGAGATTAAGAAATAGTTTGGGTATTTTTAAAGCAAAAACTTAGAGAATTCAAATCATGAAGACGGTAAATCTATCGCCAGAATACTGTGGTCAGATTCGACGCGTACTTTGTGCTCACCAACAAACGCAACCTCTCTGGCGCACCCAGCAATGTGGTAGGACCCGTTTGCGTCGAGCTGGCGCGTACTTTGTGCTCACCAACAAACGCAACCTCTCTGACAAACCCAGCAATGTGATATGACTCGTTTGCGTAGAGCTGGCGCGTACTTTGTGCTTACACGTAAACGTAACCACTCTGGCGCACTCGCTTTGGCTCAAGGCATGCCAAGGCGTGGGCGTGAACTCAAAGAGCAGATTTTTCCATCTGTTGACGAGTCACTCGTACTTTGTGCTCTCCGGAAAACATGCGCTTTCTGGCGCATTGAATCTTCGTTTCCCTTGCCGCAGAAGAGATCCAGTGTACCAGGAGGCGCGCGTTTACCGGGGAGCACAAAGTACACGGAGAGTTTTGCGAGAAACGCTCACTTTCTGGCACACTAAAGCCTTAGCTTCCCCTGAAATTATCTTCACCTTTTAGAGATTCAGGGTGCCAGAAAGCGCGCGTTTCCCGGAGAGAGCACAAAGTACGCAATGGGTTACGAAAAGAAAGGTTTTCTTTGGTAAAGTGCAAAAAGAATAAAACTGTTATCATAACTGTTGTCATAACTGTTATTATGTTATGAAACTGTTATGAAATTGTTATCAGATAAAAATACCCAAGCATATTATCTACAAAGAATAAAAAAAAAAAAGTCAAAAAAACCGTTATTCCTTTCTTTTTTTTCTCTCATTTCTCTTGCTCTTGCAAACCTCTTGCTCCTTGAAAAAGCCCTGTGTTTTCGTCGCATCTTGTAGAGTGATTGTGTACTGGAAAATTGGACAAATCGATCAAAAAAAAAACGAATGACAATTGGGCAAATTTTAGAGAAAAGACCCCTAGGAATCCTTTGAATCATCAAAATTTAATGTATTTTTTTGAAAACAATTGGCATCTGGCGCACTGAAATGTCTTTTCTTTCCCTCGCCCCAATGCGTACTTTGTGCTCTCCAGGAAACGCGCGCTTTCTGGCACGCTGGATCTTCGTTCCTCTTGGCGACAAGGTCCAGTGTGCCAGAAATCGCGCGTTTACCACAGAGCACAAAGTACACGCTCTCTGGCAGTCCGAATTTCTCTGGAGATCCAATGTGCCAGAAAGCGAGCGTTTACCGGAGCACAAAGTACACAGCCAGTCTGCCAATAAACGCTCGCTTTCTGGCACACTAAGCCCGGATTTCTCTTGAGATCTAGTATGCCAGAAAGCGAGCGTTTACCGAAGCACAAAGCACACGGCGGGCCAGTATACTGGACGGCTTACAGTTTACCAGAAACCAAACGTTTACTTTTTTTTTTTGTCTCTAAAGCATTCTAAAGGATTTCTAACGAACTTATTCTCATTTCACGTGTACACACAACCGCGAACTATTCAAAAATAAACGAACACACAAAAAGCTGAAAGCTAAGCATTTAGAATTGGGTTAGTAGAAGGAATGCTGTGCTTTTAAAAGGCTAAAAAGACGCAACTAATGGATTATCGGGAAGTTTAGTTATTTTGATCTATTTGAAGTCGAATACTACTGTAGAGGCAGAGTTTCTAGAACAGAAAAAGCTGAGGGATTTTAGGGACCTCTTGAAGAATCTTGGCTGCTAGAGGCTTTGAAATTCAATCTTTTTGATATCTTTTATTGTGAAGTTGATAAGAAACTTGCTAAAAACCTTTATTTGAAGGTTCCTCTTAAGGAAAAAACCTCTATTTCTTTATTCGTTCTTTGATTGGTTTACAATAGAATCGTCTTTGAGTTTTCCTTTGATTGAATCCTTTAATTGGAAAGTTGGAAGATCAAAAAAACACGTGCCCGGACTCGAACCCGGGACCCTTCGCTTACCGACCAACTGCGCTAACCATTACACCACAAGGCATTTGATTCCTCTTGCTTCGGAAGGAGCTTACCTTACAATTGTCTTTGAGATTTCTTCTCCCCTTTCTCCTTTCTCCCTTCTTATCCCTTCTTTCTCGCTGGGAAAAGAAGCGGCGATGGCTCAGCCGGTAGAGCATCTTGCTGAGTTGAGCAGGGCGGGTGAAAGGTCAAGGGTTCGATCCCGGTCGGCTCCTTTCTTTGCCAAATTTTTCAAAACTTTCCTTTGCTGCTTTTGTAAATCATTGATTGCTTTTATAAAAGATAAACAAAGCTCTTATAAAGATAAAAACTATTACAAAATCAAATCTAGAAGTCGGATCTCTTTGAAAGTCAAAAGTCAGACCGCCACTATAAATCATTTCAAAACCGCTAGCAGCCATTTTCTTCTTTTCTTTTTTAAAATTCATGATTTCTCTGACATTCCCGGCAAACCCATCAAGCAAAAACGATTAAAATAAAGCTTTTTTTTCATTCTCATTTCCATTTTTCTCGAATCTTACTTGACATTAATCTGTGCTCTCGCAGACGTGGCAGAACCACTCGTTTCCCTTTCTATACACAATATTTTTGAAAAAAACCTCTACAATAAGCTAAAGAAGACTCGAAAGTTCGATAAAATTTCATTTTCCTTAAGATTTGCTATGCTTTTTGTAAATTCTAGCCCGAGAATTCTGGAAATTCAGCCGAAAGTTACTCAAATTGTTAGTGTGCTTTGGCAAAGTGTAGAGAAGAGGAGAGATTTGAGGGATTGGCTTTGGATTGATTGGAAATAGATCCCTAGATGGTCATCATGATGATCATCATCATTTTAACAATCGTGATGATGAAAGTTTAAAAAACAAAACAAAGAAGCACGACCAGGGGTCGAACCCGGATCGTGTGAGTAGTAGAAAAGTGTGCTCCCCACTGCGCCATGCCGGCCATTAGCTAGGCCCTTAAAAAGTCCCAATAGAAAAGCTCTTAAGCAGCTTTTCAGCCTTCCTTTTCCTTGCACAAACTTCTCCTCTTCAAATCTTTCTGTGCTCATTTCTTCGTCAGATAACACTGATATCGATAGTGTGCTTTAGCAAAGTGTAGAGAAAAGGAGAGATTTGAGGGATTGGGTTTGGATTGATTGAAAATAGATCCTTAGATGGTCATCATGATGATCATCATCATTTAACACAATCATGATGATGAAAGTTTAAAAAACAAAACAAACAGGCATGACCAGGGGCCGAACCCGGATCGTGCGGCTGGTAGAAAAGTTTGCTCCCCACTGCGCCATGGCGGCTATGGGGCGCTAATTAAAAAAAGCTGAGTAGAAAAGCTCTTAAGCAATTTTTCGGCCTTCCTTTTCCTTCCACAAACTTCTCCTCTTCAAATCATTCTGTGCTCATTTCTTCACATCTTTCAGTGCTAATAAGTGCTCAGTGATTCTTTCATTCTTTCATTCTTCCATTCTTCCATTCTTTCCTCTTCATTTCCTTGACTAATTCGAAACCTTTGTGTTCCCATTGCAATTTCTCAAGTTTTTATGTGCAATATTTTGACACTCGTCCATTATTTCACATGCTTGACTCCCCCGTCGACGACTTTTCTTTCGCTAGAAATTCACAATGAAGCACAGCTGATCTCAGTGATTTCACGGGAAGCCACTGTGCTTTGGGAAATCGCTTACAGAAGTTTTTCGCTTACAAAATCTTTCGCTTACAATTTCGCTTACAATTTAACCTTTAATATTCAAACCTTTGCCACTCTTGACTTGTCATATCCAGGACAAATGATCCGTCGCCAAGCAATTACCACTGTTTTCCGGAAGTTTGCGCTTAAAGTTTCAGTTTTTTAAAAAAGAATTAAAAAGGATTTTGCTGTCCAAGCAATGAAAATTAAACTTATTCATGTTTTTCACTATTTTCTTTTACATTTTTTTACATAACAGGTTTAGAACCTGGTTTAGATCTAGATTTTAATCAAAAAAAAACTTCTAACTACTAATAGTTCTTTGAAAGTGATAAAAGTGAGTCATAAGAAGTTATCAGGTATACCAGTGATATCGATAGTGTCAGAGAACACTGATAGCTCTATCAGATAACACTGATATCGATAGCTCTATCAGATAACACTGATATCGATAGCTCTATCAGATAACACTGATATCGATAGCTCTATCAGATAACATTGATATCGATAGCTCTATCAGATAACACTGATATCGATAGCTCTGTCTGATAAGTGAAAGCTTGAGGCTTTGATTCCCCTAGCTTTCTTTTTCTTTTTCTCTTGAAAATATAGGTTTTATATTAATAATTTAATGATAATAACTATCAGAGATCTTTCTTTCTACTTAATTTAGATTTTTAGTGAACAAATCAAAAACAAACTAGCTTTAGTATATAGCTTCAGTGTATAGCTTTGGTAACTAGCTTTGGTAAATAGCTTTGGTGACTAGCTTTAGTATATAGCTTTACTATATAGCTTTGGTATATAGCTTTGATATATAGCTTTAGTATATAGCTTTGGTAACTAGCTTTGGTGACTAGCTTTGGTAACTAGCTTTAGTATATAGCTTTGGTAACTAGCTTTGGTAAATAGCTTTGGTAACTAGCTTTGGTAACTAGCTTTGGTAAATAGCTTTGGTGACTAGCTTTAGTATATTGCTTTAGTACATAGCTAAAGTTTCAAAGAAATTCCCTCAGCCAATTCAGCCAAGACAAGCCACTTTCTTCCTAGAGGTTTTAAGAGATCAAAAAAACGAATTTCCTTCATTTTGCCTAAAAAGCAAAGCGAAATTGATTTTAAAAGATGGGAATTAAACAAAAAAACACTTTCTAAAGCACTTTTTATTTAGAAGAAATCATAGAATGATAAATTTGTTATTTTAAAACAAAAAAAAGAGCTTTTTGACAGCCTACAGTATCCTTTTAGCTCAATTAAACCTAAGATTATTTAGAAATTGAAATTTTAAAACCATCTGGATATTATTTAAGTTCAATTTTTCATTGTTTATATTTGAAATACCTTGAAAACGCGTAAACGACAACGTCTGAGGCGAAATTGATATAGTAAAGGTAATGAGCCGCGTTGTAGACTGTCTAGAGTTTGGAAATACTTGAAATTCTTGAAATTCTTGAAATTCTTGAAATTCTTCAAATTCTTCAAATTCTTCTTGAAAATAACAGCTTTCCGACAAGAATTTATGCCTAAAATAAGCACTTACATGATACAACGATTGCCCCTCCGTTTCAGCTTCCACTGATGGGGCGGTGGCTGTCGTAAAGTAAACGAGAAATGCCTCGTACATTCGAATACAATAGAAAGGAGTGTTTAAAATGACGAACACCATCGGTACAACCCAGAGAATTCGAGTGAAACCACCAGAACCTGAGCCTAAAGTTGGGGCTTTTTGATTGAAATTGATGATTGAAATAGATGAGATTAGAAAAAGGATTTAGGACTAGCTATTGGACTAGTCCAACTAGTCCAATAGCTAGTCCAGAGTTCAAGTTGCTTTAGTTTCTAGAGTTTTTTGACGGGTTTATTTGCTAAACTTTGCGTATTATCAGATCGGAATAACGATAAGAATTGGCTCAAATATACTGGTTTAATATTGGTTTATTATCTATCATCGATTTCATCAAAATAGCTACTTGAGGGAAAATTGTTGAGCAATTAAACCATCATCAAACCAGTAACACTAGTATACTAGTATTAAACCAGGATTTGCACTGGTTTAATCAAGGTTTACTCAAGGTTTACTCAAGGTTTAATCAAGGTTTAATCAAGGTTTACTCAAGGTTTAATCAAGGTTTAATCAAGGTTTAATCAAGGTTTAATCAAGGTTTAATCAAGGTTTAATCAAGGTTTAATCAAGGTTTAATCAAGGTTTAATCAAGGTTTAATCAAGGTTTAATCAAGGTTTAATCAAGGTTTAATCAAGGTTTAATCAAGGTTTAATCAAGGTTTAATCAAGATTTAACCGGTTTAATCCGGTTTAATCCCGGTTTAATCCCGGTTTAATCCCGGTTTAATCCCGGTTTAATCCCGGTTTAATCCCGGTTTAATTGCTCAACAATGTTCCCTCAACTAGCTATTTTGATGAAATCTATTATAGATAACAAAAATTCAAGAAAATTAACAAAAATGTCTAGAATTAGCTGTCAACGGAATTGAACCCGAAGAAGAACCTCCCCGTTCGCTCTTGAGGCTACCCTCTTATCCACTACACCACCAGCAGACCCGCGTTTGTTTGTGTTGTGGACCTCCCCGAGTTTGTGGACGCCCCAAATAGACCCTAAAAGCGCTTTATCAATTAGCACTGGTTTAATTGCTTATCAATTAGGACTGGCTCAAGCATTGCACTGGTTTAATTGCTCAATTTGGATTGATTTAATGAACTCAGACTGACTCTAGCATTGGTTTAGTTGCCCACTTTAGTTGCCCACTTTAGTTACCGCTTTTCTCACAACCACTTTTCCCACTGACCGCCTTGTCTTCTTCCCTCCAATTGTTTCCCTTGTTGTTCGAGGAAATGTCCTCTTTCTCGATTCACTTTTCCCATTACGAGAAGATTGAGAATCACGACGACGGCACAAGGTAGAACGAAGCATAGGAGAACGTCCAGGAATTCAGAAACAACCTAAAGAATTCGTGAAGGTTTAAAACAGCTTTTCAACTATCGTAATCTCTAGAAATGGTAGAAAGTTGCTTGAAGGAAAAAAAGAAAAGAAAAACTTAATCTTTTATATTTATCTTCATCTATTTATAAGCTTATTAACTTATTTTTATTATTTCCTATTCTTTTTCCAGACTTTTTCCAGACTTTTTCCAGACAAATTCTTGGTTCCTCATTTCTTGAAAATCTCTCGATCTCTAATTGAACGCTAAGCAAACATTGCCCCAAAAAAAGCCTTTCCAAAGATATTGAATATCAGAAAGGAGAAAGAGGAAGGATTTGAAGGCTTCGAGTTATCGCTCAGAGTTATTTAAAGCAATTAGTATGCATGAGGCCATATTGGGGTCATGGGGCTCATTGGTAGAGGTGTGGCTCATTGGTAGAGGTTTGGGTGAGGTGTGGCTCATTGGTAGAGGTGTGGGTGAGGTGTGGCTCATTGGTAGAGGCACAGGTGAGGTGTGGCTCATTGGTAGAACGTTCGCCAGGTAAGGGGTAACGGGCTCGAGTCCCGATGCCACCATTTTGTTTTGTATTCCTTTCCAATGCAACTCTCAATGCAATTCCCAATCACCTGATAATCAGCCTCTCGCAGCACGCATTTCCGACTGTCCACCGCGTTGGCCGGACTTGGGACAAGGTTGATGAACTGAAAATGAAAGAAATCTAGCTCTAATCTTCATGTGATCCTTGTAATAATGTACTAATAAACCTTGTGATCTGAATTCTATTGACTATTCACCTGAAATAGATGTAAAATGAAAGGAATTGGCAGCCAGTAGATGAGCATTTTCCAGCGATCCACATGACCGAACTGGAAATTTCAGTTTTACGGTTTACAAGGATTTTACAAGGATTTGAATTATCTTTAAAGTTGGATTTGAATTTGAAATTTTCTTTAAAATCGATCTCTCTTGTAGAAGTTTGTGTAGAATTTAAAGAATTTTAGGTATGAACAAAAGACTGTAAAGTTCTCAATTTCTTACCTAACTACAGTATTTTCCGGATAAAGATCTAGCTAAAGCTTTTCCACAAAAATTATAAGATCTTTATGGCTTTAAGACTTGAAAACATGAAGGATACGTAAAAATACGTAGTACGTAACAATACGTATTACGTAACAATACGCAGTACCTAGCAATACGTAGTGCGTAGCAATACGTAGTACGTAACAATACGTAATACATAGCAATGCGTAGTACGTAACAATACGTAGTACAGAGCAATACGTAGTACGTAACAATACGTATTACGTAGGAATACGTAGTCCGTAGCAATACGTAGTCCGTAACAATACGTAGTAGGTAACAATATGCAGTACGTAACAATACGCATTACGTAAGAATATGTAGTACGTAACAATACGTAGTACGTAACAATACGTAATACATAGCAATGCGTAGTACGTAACGATACGTAGTACGTAACAATACGTAGTACGTAACAATACGCATTACATAACAATACGCATTACGTAGCAATACGTATTACGCAACAATACGTATTACGCAATAATACGTAGTACGTAACAATACGTAGTACGTAACAATACGTTTTCCATTTACCATCACGTGTTTCAATGGATGAGCGATAGCCAAATAACGCTCAATTGTCAACGCAGCTGTTGCCCACGAAGAAACGTAGGAAGCGACCATTAGGATGTATTCGACGAAAACACACCATTCCCAAGAAACGAAATCAATCTGAATAGATGAATTGAATTTCAGAAACAAAGCTCTTCCAATTGAGCCCCCCTGAAAGAAGCCAGGCTTAGCTCTAGCTCTAGCTCTGTTTATAGACCAAATTAAACTATTAGGTTGGCAACTAAATAATGGCCCTCGCCCTTTTTTGATAAAATCTTTTAATCTTTGCGTTTAATCTACCCTCGCTTGTTGTTAATTGAATATTACTGAATTTCTGGTGCATTATTATACGTTTTTTACTTTCCTTGATTTGATACTTTTCAAATAATTTTGTTTAGAAATGGAAGATCTCAAATATCGAATGCGTGTCTGTCTCTGGTACGACTACAAACAAGACAAAACAGCTGCCGAATCCCACAGAGATTTATTGCGAGTTTTTGGTGATGAAGCTCTTTCCGAAACACAATGTAAGAGATGGTATCGACGGTTCAAGGAAGGGGATGAAAGTCTTGAAGATGAGCCTCGCCAAGGACGACCCGAACTTCTGCAGAACGATATTTTGGAAGCAGCTTTAAAGGAGGATCCAAGTCAAACATCACGCGAGCTAGGGGGTCGATTGGGCTTTTCGCATACTGCAATCGAAAAGCGACTTCATGCATTGGGGAAAAGTAACCGCAGTGGAAAGTGGATTCCGCATGAATTGAGCGAAGAAAATAAGGCTACTCGTGCTATCACAGCTGGAATACTACTAAAACTTGCGAAAAAGGGAAGCTTCTTGGATTCCATTGTCACTTCTGATGAAAAATGGATCTTTTATGATAATCGAACGCGAAAACGACAGTGGCTTAGCACAAACGAAGACCCAAAACCAACTCCGAAGCCGGATATTCACTCAAAGAAAACTCTCCTCTGTGTGTGGTGGAGTTCTCGTGGGTTGGTGCATTTCGAGGTTCTCAAAAGCCGGCAAACGGTTAATTCAGAACTCTATTCGTCTCAACTACATCGTGTAGATCAAGCAATTCGCTCTCAAGGACTCGAACCCTCTTCAATTCATTTTCTCCATGATAACGCAAAACCACACACTGCAAAACTTACAATGGAGAAAATCGATGAGTTGGGCTGGAATGTTCTTCCTCATGCGCCATACAGCCCGGATATGGCGCCTAGTGATTACCATCTTTTTCGATCGATGCAACACTTTCTAGCCGAGAAAAAGTTCAATGACCTTGACGAAGTCCGAATTTCAGTGCAGAAGTTCTTTGACGATCAACCAGAAGAATTTTTCAAGAGAGGAATCCAGTTGCTCCGTCAAAAGTGGAAAGAAGTAATAAAAAATGACGGAGAATACCTTTTGGATTGATGTTGATATTTGTTCATCTTGTTAATAAATTTTTTGTTTTTTACTGAAAAGGGTCATTATTTAGTTGCCAACCTGATATAATCCGAGCTGGCTAGCACTGTAAAGGCTTGACTAGTCTTGACTAGATTAGAAACAAGATTTAGACATACTCGTAAAAGTCTTTAAATCAACTTTAGTCTTTACTCACCTTAAAACATATTAAAAGAACACCAAAGAGGAAAACACTGTCCGCAGCGGTGAGCACAATTAAATAAACATTTGCGGAAATCTAGAAAAATGATTTGATTATGATTTGAGATCTCTTCTTTCTTTCTACTTTCTTCTTCTACTTCTTCTTCTTCTTTCTACTTCTACTTCTACTTCTTCTACTTCCTTCTTCTACTTCTACTTCTTCTTCTTCTACTTCTACTTCTTCTACTTCTACTTCTTCTTCTTCTACTTCTACTTCTTCTTCTACTTCTTCTACTTTCTTCTTCTACTTCCTCTACTTCTTCTTCTATTTCTTCTACTTCTTCTACTTCTACTTTCTTCTTCTTCTTTCTACTTCTACTTCTACTTCTTCTACTTACATGTCGTAATCGTGAATGAAAGATGGTGACAAGGGAGATGATATTCCCGCCTAAGCCCAGTGTGACAATGATCGGCAGAATGAAGAGGTAAACTTCCGATGGACTTTCCCCGTCCATCATCCCTGTTTCATTCATATCTGCAAATGAATTCGGTTTTAAATTTGATAAAGATCAAAGTAAACAAGCTTTTTTTCACAAAATTTCACAAAATTTCACAAAATTTCACAAAATTTCATAAAAATTTCATAAAAATCAAACTTTTTTGATAAATTTGATCATTTCTAAATGAAATTTTGAAAGTTCATTCATTTCTAAATGTAATTTAGATTTAATTTTCTCATTTAAAACATCAAATTTCAGAGGATTCTTTTTAACCATATTGGTTCCAATATGGTTCCAATACGGTTCCAATACGGTTCCAATATGGTTCCAATATAGTTCCAATACGGTTCAGATACGGTTCCAATATGGTTCCAATATAGTTCCAATATGGTTCCAATATAGTTCCAATACGGTTCCAATATGGTTCCAATATGGTTTCAATACGGTTCCAATATGGTTCCAATATAGTTCCAATACGGTTCCAATATGGTTCCAATATGGTTTCAATACGGTTCCAATATGGTTCCAATATAGTTCCAATACGGTTCCAATATGGTTCCAATACGGTTCCAATATAGTTCCAATACGGTTCAGATACGGTTCCAATATGGTTCCAATATGGTTCCAATACGGTTCAGATACGGTTCCAATATGGTTCCAATATGGTTCCAATATGGTTCCAATATAGTTCCAATATAGTTCCAATACGGTTCAGATACGGTTCCAATATGGTCCCAATATGTAAACAATTGTTAATAAAATTAACAATTAAAACTCTTTTTTTTTGGGTTTATTCAAGTATTCTAAATGTTTATAAAGAGAGTTTCTATAAATTTCTATAAATTTCTATAAACTTCCTAAAAATAATCAATTTTTGCAAAGCAATTCTAGGCAATGAACAAATTTTTTGAAGCTTTTTGAAGTTCAAAGCTAAGAAATTCGATAGTCAACCTTTAAGAATTCTGGAATTGTTTTGGAAGAAACAAAAAAGAGATCAATTACTTGAGAAAAATACGAAAAGAAAGGAATTTTGATGAAAATAGGGTTAGTTATTTAGCAAAAAAGTGATTTAGGAATAAAGAAGAAGAAATTTGAAGAAATTTAAAGAAATTTCTCTTTTTTTTGAAGAAAGAAACGAATAAAGAAACAAACAAAAATTAGACTTTCAAATTAGAAATTGATTTGACTCACGTTTAGCTGGGCAACAAAAAAAAGATAATATGATGTTCTTTACGCAATAATATATTCTATTTGAGGAGATGCCTGTGAATGGATAATTTGTAATGATGGGACGGTCAAAGATCAGAAAAAAAAGAGGCAAAATTACTTTGACAGATTGCTTAGACTCTAGTCAAAGTTTGCAGGAGGTTAAGTTTGAGAAATTGCATAAATTTTTGAAGTTAAGAGGTAGAAGTTCGGTTTTTTTTGGTTGTTTTTGGTTGTTTTTGTAAATTTTGTCAAATTTGATAATTAATTGAGTAAAATTGAATATAATAGAGTAAAATTGAATATAATAGAGTGAAAATTGATAAAAATAAACAAGCCGCAAAGAAGAAACAATGACAAATCAATGGACAATATGAAATATGATATTTGAAAAACGATCGTCGAAAAACTTTCGCGCGTCTGTAACTCCCTTGTCTTTGAGTTTATCTTTGAGTTTGTCTTTGAGCTTAAACTATTAGTGTTATACATTTTCTGAAAGCTCTTTTCAACGGCTACACAATGGTAATGTTAATATTTACAAATACGGTAAAGACAAGGGAGTTACAGACGCGCGAAAGGGACGATCGATTTTCAAATATTTTTTCTATGATATTTCATTGTCTAGTAGTGTAGTTTAAAAGAGAAAAAAGAGAAAAAAAAGTGTTTTGATGGAGAAAAATTATTCAGCACATTGTCGTTTCTAAATATATTGATGGAAATTGAAAAAATGAAGAAAAGGGGAGATCAAAAAGGAAAAAGAACAAGTCATCGATGAGAAGAAAGGATTTAGAAAGTTAAAGTTAGTTTAAAGCTTTTAACAAGGCTTCTTTTCGATTGTTTTTAAAGCAAAAGGTTCGAAAAGGATTTTATTGTGAACTTTTGTTGTGAACTTGGATTTAGAGAGATAAGGAACCAAATTTAGAGAGATAAGAAACCAATTTAGAGAGTTGAGGTACCAAATCAAGCGAGAAGAAGCCCAGTTACATTGAAACTCTGATTTTTCGTTACGTTAGTTTCCACTGAAATCGGTGAGATAAGGAATCAAATCAAGAGAAATAAGGAACCAAATCTAGACAGCCAAGGAATCAAATTTAGAGAGATAAAGAACCAAAGATCACTTCATTTTAGTTAACTTGTTTGAAAAACAAAGAACAAAGAACAAAGAACAAAGTTCTTCAAACAAAAGGAGTTTTAGAAAATGGCTTTTAAATTTAGATTAGGATACAAGAATGGAAAAAAAGTATTGAGCTTCCCCTCCGCCCCCTCAGTTTGTTTTTAGTTCAAAATCAAATTTCTATCAATCTTTGGCATAGGCACCGTAAATACTGTAATAGTACCCCACCCCCATAATGACGGTGCGGAGCGTTGCGTAGTCTAGCTTTGGACGCGCTTTTCTCGACACTGGTTTATGCTACAATGCGCGTTTAGGTATCAAAAAATAGCTGAAATTCAGGGCTATTTTTTGATACCAAAGACGCATTTTTTGAAAGTACGGGCGCTTTGAAAAAAATGAAATACTAAAAACTTGTGACTTGCGACTACGCGACTGTACGAGGGGGTGGCACCCCACCTTCCCGTCGTCATCTTCCCTTCACCACCAAAAAAGCTATTTAGTTCCCCATTGAGCTTAGGGTTAGGGAGCCGTCTGTCATGACGTGGGTCAAGTTAAGATATAGCCTAGTATTGTGTGTGTCGTTGTATTGTGATTGATATATTTCGTGTATGCGATAAATTCACCACTGGTAGCCCCAGTCGGTATTTTTTTTTTACCCTAAATACTGTAATAGGGTGCTATACTGTAATAGCACCCTATTACAGTATTTAGGGTAAAAAAAAAATACACGAAATATATCAATCACAATACAACGACACACACAATACTAGGCTATATCTTAACTTAACCCACGTCATGACAGACGGCTCCCTAACCCTAAGCTCAATGGGGAACTAAATAGCTTTTTTGGTGGTGGAAGGGAAGATGACGATAAGGAGCTGGCTTGTCACTTTGAAAAAGAACTGGGGCCACAACCACCAGACTGCCCTCCAGAAAACCTCTCAACTCGAAGGGAAAGGAAATCCGAAGGGGGTGACCATGTCGCATGTGGGGTTCGAACCCTCGACCTTCCGATTAAGATAAAAGACACTTAACCAGTCAGCCACACGTGCTCAACAATAATAATGTTGAAATTCTTCAAATAGAAACATCTTTTCAAACGATTGCCAAACAAACGATAGTGAAAAAGAGAAAAAAAAAAGAATCAATCAAGAATACATTAAGGATTTTAAACCAAAAAATTGTTAAAAAGAAAAAGAAATTCTTTCGAAATACACCGGGTGAATTTTCGCTTTTTGGCTCTTACATTTTCCCTATTCATGCTATGTCGATGATTTTTCGGGTTTTAAGGGTTATTTTTGGTCCTGAATCTAACTACGTTTTCAGTTTTTTTTGTCACTGGCACGGGAGCCGCAGAAAATTGAAATTTAGCGGGTGGCGTATGGTTTTGCACCGCACTGTAGTTAAGTTTTAATGTTTTTTTAAATGTTTTCTAATGTTTTTTAATGATTTTAAAGAATTAGATATAGTTATAACTATTAAAAAATGGATATAGTTTGTCAAAACTATTTTTTTTCGATTTCCTCTTGATCAAAACTATTTTTTTAGATTTTCCCGACGAAGAAGCCCTAAAATTATCATTAAATCCCACAAAATAATCTAAATTTACATTTGTAACGTCTGTTTTTGACCTTTTTGCAGTCTAAATGTTAAAGTAAAGTCATTCAGTGAAGATTAATATAAAATAAAGCATAATTTAGGAAATTAGTGAATCATTGGGAAATTTTCATTCAAATCATTGAAATGATTAAAAGAAATGGTTGGAAATGATTGGAAATGATTTGAAAGTGATTTGGAATCATTCGAAAGTGATTTGAAAGTGATTTGAAATGATTTGAAATTATTTAAAATGATTTGGAATGATTTGGAATGATTGGAAATGATTGGAAATCGTTGGAAATGATTGGAAATCGTTGGAAATCATTGGAAATCATTGGAAATGGTTGGAAATGGTTGGAAAATGATTGGAAATGGTTGGAAATGGTTGGAAATGGTTGGAAATGATTGGAAATGGTTGGAAAATGATTGGAAATGGTTGGAAATGGTTGGAAATGGTTGGAAACGATTGGAAATCGTTGGAAAATGATTGGAAATCGTTGGAAATCGTTGGAAATCGTTGGAAATCATTGGAAATCATTGGAAATGGTTGGAAATGGTTGGAAATGATTGGAAATCGTTGGAAATCATTGGAAATCATTGGAAATGGTTGGAAATGGTTGGAAATGATTGGAAATCGTTGGAAAACGTTGGAAATCATTGGAAATGGTTGGAAATGATTGGAAATGGTTGGAAATCGTTGGAAATGATTGGAAATCATTGGAAATGATTGGAAATCGTTGGAAATCGTTGGAAATGATTGGAAATGATTGGAAATGGTTGGAAATGATTGGAAATGATCAAAAGATCAAATAATCAAATAAATTTTGATCAAATACCATTTCAATCCAATAGAAACTTTGTGTTTGGCCACTATTTTTCAGAAAACAAAGAACTTTGGAGAAGAAATGAGTCATTCTTTATGTTCTTTATGTCCTCTGCCACATTGTTTTGGGTTCAATATGCTAGAAAAGCTTTGTTTAACAAAGCTAGGAGCAAAAAGTTAGAAAATTTCATGAACAACAATCAAAGATATCGAAAAAGAGTGATACAAAGCTCAGAATTTCAACTTTTTCTCAATTCTGACAATTCTAAAAGCTTT